CATTTCTAACAAAATTTTCGAACATCTAAATTTCTAAATCGCGAAGAAGAAGATAAAAACAAATTCCTATTTGAATAATAACGAGAATTAGCCGAAAAATGATCAGGAATTAAAAATCATAAAAAGAATCGCCACCTATTAAGGTGCATTAGCCCATGACTTGTACAAAAACCCTAGTAATTAACCCGCAGGAATATCTCCAACCGACAATATAACAATTAAAAATTATAGAAATTCAAGACAATGCCAATGATTTCTTTTTTCCTTTTCGAAAAATCATGAACGACATTTAAGTGGTTTAAATCAGAGTCCCGCATTCTGGAGTAAATCTAACTTTTGAAAGGGGGAAGAGAGAATGAATCGTGAACGACTACGACTACGACGACGACCCGTAGGATGTCCACTTTGAGGGGGGACACTTTTAATTCACAAGTCGAACGATCGGCCAATCAGGCAAGAGGATATAGGTAATTTCATTTTACTCAAGCGGCCTGCGGGGTCATTGTAACCGATCCCAGAAGCCACCCGCATGTAGGCAACACATCGGCCTATGTATTACACGAACGCACACGAAGCCTTAATAACTTATGGATTGGACGCGCGTTATTGAACGTCCTGTTAGAATCCGGGCATTATCGATAGAGCCGCCGACACTGCCTAACGTCTCGGAGTATAAACGAGAGCATTATGTCAGAAACCTGACTAACACACACGACTACAATATATGCGATCAATCACTCGGTGTTCTCTCCCGCTTTAACACGCTCAAGTACCTCCAAAGGGTCATACTTTTACTAAATCTTTACCAATTCAAACCAACTCAAACTAAACTCAATCTAGTCTCCTATCAATTGCTTCCACGGAACAAGAAAATTAAACAATTAAAGAACTCATCTTTTTTCTGATACTACACAAAATTCTAATCTTTCAATCCAATTAAAATAACAAAAAAAAACATCATCAATAATGGTCCAAAATTTTCTCACGGCAATAAAAAAAGGAAAAATCAAATTTGTTTTCACCTTGCAATCCTGGAGAGGAGGAAAAAGTGTTAGTTGACTGTTTTCGCTGTTTATCTTGTTTTCTTTTTACAACCCTTGGCATTATAAAATAGAACACCCTCTCGGATGAAACGGGTTTTTTTTTTTGCGCCCTTTCCCTCTATTTATTATCAAATTTCTTTATGGATTTACAAGGTTGTCAACGAAGAGCGTTTGTACTGGTGTACACACTTGCACTTTGATGATTCTCTATCCGATCAGTGTGGCGAAATATTACGTCAAGATATAAGGGCTAAGGTAGATCCTTTCGTTTACCGGCGAACTATCATTCATAAAGTAATAAACTTACGAGTGTGTGTATATAAACACCATAGCAGGACATTTACAACCCCTGAGAGAGTAAACCCTCCCCCTTTCCTCCTACACACCCCCTTCTCTCTCTAAGCTTCGTTTACCTGTCCATATGGGTATATCTGAGATTTTTACGACGAGCTGTGTATTCATCGTGTCACTTGGGAGAGGGTTACCAGCGATAAAACGCTCCTGTTCGCGGGATTAACGTCTCTGTGAATCGACGAGGTTCATTAGCCGCGCGACCCCCCAACTATAACACGCAACAATCAATAATTTTCTTTTTGTTAATAAAACACACACACACACTGTCCATCAATAACCCACTTTGATTAGTTTAAAACTGATTCACTTTCATAAAAGGGAGAATTAAAAACGTTAACCAATTTAAATCTTTTCAAAAATTTATTAATTCTAAAACAAAAAGTCAATCACCAAAGTTATAGAGACCATTTTTACCAATTTAGTTTTTCTAAGGATATCAAATTGAGACAAAAAACGTATCACAATTGTTGCATCGCAACAATTTTAATCGTTTTTTGTCTCAATTTATGATATCCTTAGAAAAAATATAAATTCAATTATAGAAAAAATTTCGAAACAATTTACTCCATAAAAACAAATTGACCCTGACACATTTTTTTTCTCAAAAAAAAATTCTCTCACAACACGAATTGTTATTCTAATTGTTAATCTTCTTTGAAATTAAAATCCAACTTTATAAATCAACTATAAAATTCAGCAATTTACAAAATAAAACCCACCTACAAAATTTTGCAATCAAATTTCAATCAAATTTTCAATTTTTGAGAAAACTTGAAAACTACCAATTTTTCAAAACAAAAAAAAAAGAACGCATACATACGATGAAAATTGACTTTTATTAAAATCGAGGTTACGCTTCATTTACGTGAAATTAAACTAATTTATAACGTAACATGACTGCAATGTAGAAATACAATTTGATCAAAATTGAATAAATGTCAAGCGAAGCCAAAATCTGCAAAAGCATATACATATATTGTGACAAAGTTTTATGATTCTTGTAAGCAAAATAAGTAATATTTATATTAAAAAAAAAAAGGAAAAAAAACTCGGACATTTATATCGTAAATAAATTCACGCTAGTGGAAAATTTTTCTTTTTCTGATTCCTAAGATAAAACCCGTAATTATTTTTAATTCTTATCATATCGAATACAAACATTTTTTTAAAAAATGTTAATTTTATGAATCTTTTGTTTTCGGAGTATCCAAACATTGTTCAATTTCATTCAGATAACGGATATTTTCATTTATGTCACGAATATAAACGTCTAATTTTTCTTCAAGAGCAAATATTTCATCTTTCATTAGAATCACTTCGTCTTGTAATTTTATCTTCACTTGCCTCAACAACTCTCTTTTCTATTCAAGAAAAAAATTTGTTTTTTAAAAAACTTAAAAAGATTTTAAAAAAAAGTATTTACAAAACAAAAAAATATTTTAGAAATATTTTAAATAATTAAAAAATATTAAAATTTTTTTGAAATATTTTAAATAATAAATAATGTGGTAAAAAAAATTTTTAAAATGACTAAATCAAATACCTGTTTGTTATAAAATTTGCTTTCATAAAATACTATTTTATCGGTAAATTTATTACTTTTGTATCTATTGTGATTTAAAACTCTGAAAGAATCAATTCTCCATTTATTTATATCGAAAGAGTAATGTAAATTATTGAATAATTAAACTTACTGCTGTTTTACGTTAAAAATTAACCGTCTACCAAAAATTCGAAACATTGTTTTTACTTCAAATGAAGATAAAATAATTTCAATAAAATATCCAGATGTCAAAATTATATTTAACCTGAACGTTCATTCGAAACAAAAGAAAACATCAATAGATTATTCAAAGAAAGATAAGCAACTTTAATTCGTAAAAAATAAATCCAATACCTATGGAAATTTAACAGAAAATAAATTTTCATCTAATAAAGTAAAAATATAATTGCATAATTAGATAAATTCCATTTTAACAAAAAGAGAGAATATTTAAATTTAATATCATCTGGAAAATGTAGTAAATTGTCTCGAAAAAAAATTGTTAATATGTTGATATAAGGGAAGAATTGACTTAAAGGGATAAATAGTAACTAGAGGTGCGTTCTCCCTCGTAAGGGCGGACAGGTGTCAATTATACCGAAATCAAGTGAAAAGGGTGTAGGGGCTAATATTATAGATATTCGTGTATGCATATTAGAGAATGATTGATAGCGCGCGATATAACGTCGACGTATCGATATTCGATGCTGTTAAAATTTCATTATCGGCGTTATAATGATATAAAGTGCTTGGAGTGTAGAAAAAAAAAGAGTTGAAAAAAAATAGAGGGATATGGTGTTGAAGTACCGTCGACACTCGTCCTGCTGTCGATTAACTTCGTTAATTATTATTCGACATTACCAACGAGAGAATTGTCTGAATACCATCGATAACCGGTATTTTCAATCAGATTTTAATCATCATACGACTTTAATTTCATCCCTCGAACAGAATAAGTCATGACTATTTCTCATTGCCTTTCATATTATAATTCATATTTTCAAAGATTTATTCAATTCAGATTTGAATTGAGAGAAAATTATACATTAAAATCGTGTCAGTTAAAGCTTCTAATTACAAAATCCAATTGACACTATATATATATATTTGATTTCTATCATTGATTAATGAAATTATTAACCTATTAAAGATATCGTTCCTACAGAAAGGAAGTCGATAAAAATACTCGTATAATTTATTTATCTTTATTTAAAATTCCAAGTAAATTATTCAGGGTGTCGATTCTTTTTATGATTGTCAATTTCCGGACTATTTTCTTTCTTTTTTACTCTTCTATAATCAAAATATATTTTCTGAATAAAATTATGATAAGTATTTTATTCTTGAGCTACTGGTACTTGATATTCTTGATTTTTAGCAAAATTAAATTAATTAACCGTAGAAATGTTTTTACTTGTAACATGTACGCAAATTGAGACAACAAACGATCAAAATTGTTGCCTTGCATCAATTTTGATACGTTTCTTGTCTCAATTTGATATCCTTGGTATTTAATTTGATTACAATTAAAATTAGAAACTGAAAAAAACCGTCACCCTTTTTTATGCAAACGCCTAATTCAAAAATACTAACAAATTATTTCTTTTTCTGTTGCAGGTAAATATTGGATTCTCTTCCTTAAATTGTCAACAATACAAGGTTTGGAAGTTAAAATTGTAATTAGCTTTTTCTAACTTTAAAAGAAGTGCAAACTACCGATTGTTTAGAATTGAAGGGAAAAAATCGGTTAATCTTTTAGGGGTTTTTAGTGTCCTGGATTTTCGGTTTTCAAAAATTTTTCCTATCCCTTAATATAAATCTTAAATTGCGGGTTCAATCGCCTTGGATTGAAAGGATCAGCATTTTCCTGCTTGTGGGGGAAACTAAGTAAACTTTAACCAAAGTCAAAAATTACTAAAGTTTAAAAATACCAAAATCTAAGGGTCATCATCCTTCGACATGAATTTCGTGATTCGTGTTTTATTTTGACCCCTGAATTAAAATTTTTATTTTTCCAACTCAGTCATTAATAAATACCGTTCGAAAACTGCTTCACCAACCTTGTAGAATCTCCAGCGTCTCCAATCAGCTCCGGATGACATCAATCCTTGTATTTTGAATCACAACCAAATCCATGAAGTCTGTAACAAAAAATGAATGAGGGTTAAAAAGAAGCTCCGATATAATAAATAGTATCAATATAGTAATAAATAGTAACTAAATGGTATCAAATTGCAAAAGAAATGATACCAAAAACGTGGAAACAAATCAAAAATCGATCCTAATTTTTGGCACCAATTTGATCCCAAGTGGAAAAGTTAACGTTAGCTAATGATACTAACGTTAACTAACGTTAGGCCAATGTTAGACTAACGTTAGACTAACGATAGTAACTAAACAATTTCGTGAGATTAAAGTTAGTCTAACGTTAACTTTTCCACCTGGGGTACTTTCAAAAAGACTGTGTTATAAAGTAAAAAATAAAACAGATTGAAAATATCGAAGCAATAGACAGATAAAAAAAAGTGAGACTAAAGGTGGCAATGGTATCGGAGACTCTGAAATGTCACGAGATTTCTGACAAGAATAAGTCGAAGCGGTAATGCACTAATCAACCCCTTGGAAGGCGGATGTATTGCCGCTATAGAAACGAGTACAGGGGTTTCCGTTATAATCGAAGGCTGCTCGAGGGTGTATGATGACTGGGGAAGAACGCAGAAGGGTATATGGACTGCGAGGGGTCAAGGGAGAAACTTGAATTCGAAGGAGGAGACGCTGAATGGAAGGGAGGGTGGACTGGAAAACCAGCCCCACATCTACGTTGCTGCTGTTGTAGCATACACGATGTAAATTTTGCCCGCTGTGCTGGTGTATACTCACACGATAGGGTGGAATCAAATCGATAGCAGACTAAGATATACCTATCAGTCTAATTGTCAGTTCAGAAAGACGGAGAGAGACAGGGCTATCGGAAGAAGGGGGCCAACGACGGAAGGGAAAGGTGGAATGGGACGAGGAGCTCTCTCTCATTCTCTCCTTTACTCTCTCTTTCACTCTCCTTTACTCTCTCCCTTTCTTTCTCTCTCTCTTTTGCAGTGAGAGTAAAGGATAGAGGAAGAGAGAGTAAAGGAGAGAAAGAGAGAGCAAAGGAGAGAAAGAGAGAGTAAAAGAGAGGGAGAGAGACACACAGAGGGTGGGATATGCCAGGCATATAGCTTAATCATCCTCCCGTACCGTTCTTCAACCCCCTTTTACCCCCAAACAACCCTTCTCGAACGTGGTACCGGTTTTCTCCACTACCTCCTACTCCAGACCCTCCGTCTCTTCCTAGAGTAGCCAGCCTTCCGTCGTCCAATAATCAATAATTATACTCAAATAAAGAGAGAGAACGTGGATGGATGAATTGCCAGCAAAGGGTTAGGGAACGAAGCACGAGCTATCGTGTCAGTATAAGATACCGAGAGAGACAAAACTAGAGAAACCATCTACTCGGCTCCTTTCTCTCTCCACGGGACTTCTCCCTCCTCTCTCTCTCTCTCACATCATTCCTCTATATATTTCTCTCTCACACCCGATTCACCTTGTTTCCTTCCACCACCACCACGACAGTCACCACCAAAGTCACCCTTTTCAACCTCTCTCTCCCCCTCCCTTATGTTGCTAGCCCAAAGCAATGCGGGTTTCTGACTTGCTTTCTACATTCATATACTCAATGATCAGGGCTGTCGATCCACTGAACTGATTTTCTTTTTCAAGAAAAAGTTAACTTTTAAACTTTTCCAAGATACATATATATATAACACAATTCTAGAAGAAGGGTGCAATGAAGGAACAAGAAAAGTGCCCTCTGATCGATGCAAAAAAATCCGCATTCACAGTATGGCTAATTAATCACCTCCAATATCCAATATGGCCAAGTCGGCACGCGTTTCCTTCTCTCATTCTCTTTCTACTTCTACCGAACGAAATTAATCGCAATATCTAAATCAAATCTGAAATGACAGAGCAATATCGTAAGAATTAAAAACTACTCTTTGTCATTCGGAAAAATATATTTAATCCAAAAGGAGTAAAAATAGAGGAATCAATTCGGGTTTGATTTTTAAATCATCGCAAAAAAACAGGCATGATTGATGTGTTGTTATTTATAAAATTATTTGCTCTGGATATATACACAGAGGGGTGAAAGAGGTAGAAAGAGAAAGAGAGAGAGAGAGAGAAAGAAAAATAGAAAGTAAGAGAGAGAGAGAGAAAAAAAAGAGAGAGAGAGAGGTATTATAGATAATGTATGTATTTGTTGAACGCCTCAAGTGCGTAATGTGTGTCACCCGATAATTACGTCCCAGTTGAACACATTTGGCGCATTCACTTTCAACCTCGAGCGACAAAACTAAAAGGGGGGTAGGTCATTCACCACGTGGAAAGGGTTAAACGTAGAACGTAGAGACTATGAGCAAGAAAGCGCTTTGAATGGCGAAACGGGGGGAAAGGAAACTGGAGTGAAAGGGGGGAAGAGGAAGGTGGTGAGACTTAAGGGAGACAGAGACGGAGAGCAACGCGGTGTGGAGGGTCGAAGAGCGTCTACTTCGCCACTTCGGAAACTCTTGTAAAGTAGCGGGAATTCCGGACTCGTGCAACCCCTGTAGTAAGCGGGTCAGAAACTTCTTTCGACCCTTCCAACACCACGACATTGCCTGAGGTTAGGGTGTTTTCTTGGTTTTATCCTTTGTTCTTAATTCTTCTCTGTATATTTTCTTCCATATTTACTTTCTTCCCTCTTTTCTCCTCCCTCCCACCCTCCTTCACTCCTCTCTCTTATTTGTCTTATTTACTTTTTCATGTCGAAAAGTTTCCCACCTAACCGAATCCTGTTTCCTTATTTTCTACTCCTTTCTTATTTTGTAATTTCGATTTTTCTCCTCTTCCCTTTCTCTCTCTCTCTTTTTTGCTAGGTCAGATTGAAAATAATTTCCGTTTATCGTAAATTGAAAAATTATGGATGATTTATTTGACAGATGAAGGTACCAATTCAGAAGTTGACTTCGTGGGTAAAAAATACGTATTCAGAAGCAATTTAGCTATCGATATGCTGGATTGCACGCTATTGACGTTATAACCCTTGTCGTCCTTTTCTATCATCCTTTTTCGTACCCATCAATTTTAAAGACTGCATTAAATCACTATTCACCGTATTCATAGTGATTAATTTATAAATAGACTTTTACAAATTTTTATTTTCCCTAAATTCCAATCTTTTAAAATTTAGTTCCTATAATATTGTTAAATATTTGACGTGTTTTGATGAGTTTTTACATGCCAGTTAGTGTCCCTGATATTATTTTCTATTATAAATGAGACCAAACTAAATAACAGTATTTTTTTTAACCTATCGATTTGTTCGGTCTAACGTTTAACGACTCAATTATATACTTTTACGCGGTCGTTTCTTATGTACCTTGCTTTAGCATTAAGAATATGTGATTGGCACACGTGGCGATATGTCGTGGCGAGAACGATTGATTCGATCGGTCATAAATAAACTAACTTGGTCTACGGGGAGAGAGAGAGTTAAGTTTATGTTTCAAGAGTGTCACATCGATACTCAATATAAGATATAAAAAAATTTGCAATCTTTTTGTATTACAAATACACAAATTGAAATCACAAATTCAAGTCTAAATAAATATTAATGAAAGAGAAAAAAAAATTTGATAAGAGTTGATTGAATATAAGAATGGGTGTTCTACCCTTGACAACGATACTTCAAAGTGAACTAGAGCGATATTAAAATTAGAGATTCGTCATTGACGTCTGCGCACAGGTATATGGTAAGAGTGTACCAAGGGGATGCGCACCGACGACGGTAATATTTCGAGAGTGAGCGACGGCAAAAGGATGGAAGAGGGAGAATGGAAATGGAAAGGATGAGAGAAGGGCAAGGGGTCGAAACGTCCGAAAGGGTGTTATACGATAAGGGGGTTGTACCTTAGAGAAGACCACTAGATCAATGAATGCTTTAAAGCACCGGTCAAATATATTTATGGATCTCCATACTCTATATGATATTATTATTTGACCGCACATATCCTTATTTTTATTTCCAAAATCCTCAGGTGAATTCCTCTTTTAATAAAAAAGGAAGTTGTTTCTATGTCATCGGAAGGAGGGAGAGAGGGGGGGAGGGATGACAAAGATGACCTTTGTCGAAGAATATACTTTGGAACAAACGGTCGTAATGGGAATTGAAAAATTATTTGCAAAAACAAGTCGATGTGAGGATGACTCATCATCCCTTTGACGAGGGTGGGTTTTTAATTGAAGAAGAACTTGCCTGCCGTTAAAAGTTTTCCTTTGTGTAAGTGCATATATATACACACACCTGATCGCCCTTACGTTACGATACGTGTCGTTACTCATTCCTCCCTTGTCTCCCTCCCATCGCTTTTGTAGCAAAATGCAAATCTCTTTCTCCTCGCATCTCGGTTTTAAATGTTTCTCTCTTCGTTCCTCATCTCTGCCACCATTACCACCACTCGACGAGAGACGAGCGGCTCCTCCTCTACACTGACTCTTTTTGTCATTGTGGCTTATTCGATATATCGTCCCCATGGACACGGGCAAAAGGGGTCCGTTGGACGGCGAGAGATATTGGAGACAAATGACAGGACAAAAAAAAATTCATACGTGAGAACTCCCTTCGCATCAGAGAATACTAATTCGACTTATGTCTCTCGAGAAACACACATATAGAGAGAATTCACAAAAAAAGAAAATCTGCAAGTTTCTCATTAGCCATAGAAAGGACAATATGAACCTAGTTGTACAATTCTATCTCTCATCCCTTTCATTTCTAGCTCTTCTCTCGTTTCACGATTCACACCTACGAAAACAAGAATTGCACACGTATACAAATTGAAGTCGCGCATAAATGTCAAGAGATTAGCGGCCGTGCATTTCGTATCGAGCAATTCTGTCAATATGCGAGGCGGCAGACACAATAGGGACGATTCGAAAGCCGGCTGATTATGAAATAAACGACCCCAGAAAGCTTGGCAGGCGTTTTTGACGTTTCACACTTTCAGAAAAGTATCACACAGCATAGCAATAATTAACATTCACAATATATATATACTTTTTTTAAAATATCCAATGTTTTGGATAAAAATTAATAGGATTATAAATTGGTAAAACGTTTATCGGCATTTTAGAAAACTTGCTGCTTTTTTTTTTTGTTCTCCTCTGTTACGAATTTTACCGAGTATTACACGGTCGAACGGGCGTCTCGATTCTCCTTCTCTCTCTCTCTCTCTCTACCCCTTTTCCTTTCTCTCGTTTCAATATTTCTCTCCGGCGAATACTCCGACTAATATATGGCTTCTGCCGAACCGACGTATGTATATAGCAAAACCGGGGTGGGCGCAAGTATGTATTCATAAACGTGTAGGTCCTCGTAATGCGGAATCATAGGGTGTATGTGGTTAATATTAATTCTCGGCTTCCCTGATGCCTGATCAAGTTTACTTATTCGCCAAACTTGCAAAATCCACTCGATCGTGAGAGAATCATTTTTCCACTTTCATGCACGATTGAAAATTTATTATTCCCCAAAAAACTGCAATTGAAAAAAAAAATTTCTCTCCCAAGCAAAAATATGAGCAATTAAAGAAAATTTTTATAAAACAATACCCCTTAGTATAAAAAAATAATTTTTTAAAAAGGACCGAAAAAAGAAGAAAGTGAAGAAGCGAAAATGAAAGTACACGGGGAAAGGACTCGAGAGAGATTTTCCGAAATGATTTGAAACGTCGAGGCAATATCACGCGGTCGCAAGTCGTTTCTCCATTGGTATTATACAACTGGCCTTCATATTATACGCACAACGACCACTCTTTCTCTCTTTTTCTCTATGTATATATATATCGAGACATCCTGCATGTAGAAATGGTTTCGGCAAAAGCAGGCAAAAGTGAGCAGAGATTCCACCCTTCCCTCTTCATCTCGCCCTCGATATCCCTCTCCTCCACCCCTCCGCACTCTCGTAATAAGCATAAATCCTCAGAGGCTTATCTAGCGGCGCCCAGATGAACGCTAAAATAAAATATCATACATTTTACCTTTTACCCTCTACGTTATGTTACGACCATCTCTTTTTGTCCTTCCTTTTCATCTCGAATACCATTATGTACCTTGCCAGATAGCTATTGTTCGTATCTTCCCTTAAGCCATAAAAAATTGTCGAAAAGAAGAACAAAAATCGAATTTTTTAATCACACACACCGTTAGGAAAATGTTAGTTGAAGACATGACGTAATGAGACGAGATACAATAGAAGAAGAGCGAGAAGGGACGAAGAGGAGACAAAGAGGAACAGTGGATAGAAAGACAGGAATAGAGAAGGATAGAATAGAAGATGGAGAGAAAGACAGAGAGAAAGATGGACAGAAAGAGTGAGAGGCTGAAGGAGAAGGAGAGGGGGCTAGAACTAAACCCGATCAGTCATTAGACAAGTGGGTATTCACATATATCGAGTTGTAAAATCGATAGGGGTGTCCGTTAGTCGTGTATCCTGTAAGGAGGGTAAAATAGTGGGGATGAGATGCGAGTACCATACACCCCTTTTGATTCCACGATGAGAGAAGACCCCCCCCCCACCCCACCTCCTTTTCCTATATATTTCCCCTTCGACCCCTTTTGTTGCTTCAATCCTTCTCCTTCTCCTCCCCCATCGAAACCTACAGCCTTGGCCAACTACCCTTCCAAATCCCCGTTCTTCCTTCTGTACTGGCATCCTCCTGCTACCGCACGTATCCAGTCCTTGCATATTAATCCTACCCATAATTTCCACTTCCAGTTTCGGCAACCCTTCGTTTCACCAGTAAGAGAAATGATAAAGAGAGAGATAGTCAGCAAAAGAGAAAGATAAAGAAATGAAGGCCTTCTATTGATTGAACTTTCTTTTCCAGCTTGGCTTTTAATTGGCATTCTCCTGCGGCGAGATGAGAGAGAGAGAGAGAGAGAGAGAGAGAGAGAGAGAGAGAGAGAAAGGGGATGGGTTATAAACGCGGAAAAAGATTTTAGAGAAGAATTTTGATTTTGTTTTTAATGTATGAAGATTAAAAAATTAGACGCACATGAGGGGAAGGTCTAATATAAGCTCACGTGTGACGTATTTGTCGAACGTGTGCAACTCGTATACGTTTCATATGTGTATAAGAGTATACACATAAGTGTCAAGAGTATTCCTTGTGTGCGAGAAGATTGATTATACCGCGGGAGAAAATGTGATCAATAGCTCAACAAACAAAAGCTCGACGCCCATAATGCAAATAGCAAAAATCACTGAGGATTTAGGGCCCCACCCATCTCTTTTCTCACCTCCCGTCTATCTCCGTTTTATATACAGCACAAGAAAACAATAGCCATCGCGGCTTTGGCTTATACTTATTATTCCATCGGTCACATTTACCTATATATCGCGAGAAACTTTCCACCCTCGCACCGATTTCTCCCATCATCTATCAAGTCGTTTCCCTACACCACTTTTTTCTCTTTTCCCTAATTTTTATACTTGTATACATATTTTATTTTATGCATTCATTAATTTTTACTTGAAAAACCAATTTTTACTCGGAAATGTAAATAAATCGTCTAATATATTTACTTTTCGAATTAAACATTTTTTTAGAACAAGTAGAAAGAAATTCTGCTTGTACTTATAAAAGATGTTCAATTCGAAAAGTGGTAAACTAGGAATAAATAAATAAACTATAAATATACCCTAAACGGTTTTATGGTGACAACTTTATCAGTTACTAATTGTACCAACAACTTCTTGACACCTCAATATTTAATTCTAACCACACACTTGATCTATACAAGAAACATGTCACTAAGGTATAGCTACTTATAGTTTCGTTTACTGTTTACCGACTATAGACTGTAAATTTCACTTCTTAATGATAGAAACAAATTCAAGTTATTGTCTTTATAATTCACGTAACTTCTATACCAGAAGATGAAAAGTCATCAAATTTCCTACTGCCCTAATAATATTCAATACACCAAATTCTCTTCATTATTTTTTCTTTCCAATTTCCTAATAAAAAGTATCAGATGAATCTAAAACGATCGACATCAGGTCATCGAACGTGAGGGTGTTAACTCCACCTGTCCATTGCAGGGAATTGTCGACTATAACGCAAAGACCCCGGACTGGCGCTAATGGTCACCGCTATTACCAAGTTTGAGAACTTGGCCACGTGGCCGTTCGCTGTATCGAAGTTGATGTATGGCACATCAGTACCTTTGCAAATACCTATAAGTCAAGCACACGTTGCTCGTATTTATCGATTATGAATAACCAGAGGTCAATCGACTCTTGAACAGCCCTCGATTAATAAACTAAACGAACAAAAGAAAACTAAGTTAAACTCTTCGTCAAGGATTCTCGATTATTTTTTAAATACGCACGCAAATTTCCAAAAGTGCGATAATAATAAACAAAACTTTACAAATTTTTAATTTAACAAAAATTCCAAAAAGAATGCTAATTAAATTCTCCTACCCTTTTCTAGACACAATTCCAATTCTAAATAAGGTAATTAATAAATAGATGATGAACTCATTCTTGATTGGCATTTTGTCTCGATCGGACATCAATTGAATACCCCAGATAATTATATTCAATGCCAGTAATTAATGCTCTTACAACAGAGTCTCCCGAGTGAAATGCATTTCCAATAAAATTAATAATGGATTAGCTCTTGAGAGAACTTGAGAACCTCCCCCTCTTCTCAATAAGGGGGTTCTCAAGAAGAAGAATTCTAAAATTACACTTCAATTTTTACAATTTAATTCCTAAACCTTCTTAAATAAATTTTCGTAAATTAATTTTCTAATTTTTCTATTTACAGATTAGCCAATTGGTGGAGGAAATATCAAGGCTTCAACAAAGTCTACAGCGACTTCAAGAATCGAGCGCGCAGACAGCGGCGCGTTTAGAGGACGAATTAGAAGCGCGCCGACAGCACATCAGTAGACTGGAGAGTAAAATAGAAAAGCAAAAAGACTATGATGATCTCAAACGTGAAATTAGCGTCGTAAGGTCTGTCGATCTTTCGCAAATACCCACCAGTGAACCTGGAAAAAGTCTAGAACACCTTCTAATGGAACGTTCTAAAGCACTTCAACAGGCGGAGAATCTCAAACCACCAAACACACCCGACAATCTAGGTAAATTTTTCCCTAATATACTAATTTCTATAAAGACAACAATTTTAAAAAGAAATCGAAAAATTCCAAATAAAAAAGGGAAGACTAACTAATTTCTATGCTGCTGCTCTGATCTTCGGCCCTGACTCTCTCTCCGAGGTTCCGTCATGAAAAAAAAATAATTAAAAATGGGGCCAATCGAGTCCTTTAGAAAAACGTCAAGTATACACTAAAAAAAAAGCTAACCCCGCTTTTGGTTGTGTTCATTATTTATTCTATTTCTTTTCTACCCATCAAAAAAAACTACTTAAAAACTATTTTTGAAACTTTTTTTTAAATACCTAACAAAATTTATTCATCAATTTTGTAATCAATTTTGAATCCATTTTTTATCTATTTTTTTAATCAATTCATTTTGCCTCTTCCCTTTGCCAAAATTCTTTTTTGTTTTTCTTAATCTCACTACATTGCTTAGGCTGCACAATCACCTCTCGAGCTCTCTCCGCCCTTTTCCAAATATTTTTACAGAAACGCAACCAAACAAAACCTACTGTCAATTTTCCTCTGTCTCTCTCTCTATCTCTCTATATATATATCTCTCTCTATCTCTCCAAATTCTGGAGTTCCCATCACCTCGACCAAAACCTGCAAACAACCGAAACTGATAAATCTCCGAGCACGCAAAAAATTTTTTTCTAGACGGTTTTTGTTTCCCCTCCGCAATATTTGCACCAGTACCAAAACCATTGTCTCGTGTACCGGAGTTTATTACGAATCGAAATCGGAGGACAGTGAAAACGAGACGGAGAGGCAGAGGGAGATACTGCAACGTCATCCCAATCCTTCAAACCAACACCAGGATTTCCCAAAATTAAACCCCATTTTTTTGTGAACACACTTAACCCTCACCTTCATATCTTATTATCCCATGTATACCATTCTCAAAATTTACAATTCTCGAGTCAATATATTTCAGTGGTTCATGATAAAGATTCAATGGTTGAAAAGAGAGTGTCGGGATCCGAAGTGTTCGATCAGCTTTATAGGAAGAAGAGAAAAACTCTTTTGAAAGAAAAGCCTCTTTAAGAGAAAGGTTTCTTTAGGAGAAAGGTTTCTTTAAGAGAAGGGTTTCTTTAAGAGAAAGGTTTCTTTAAAAGAAAAGTCTCTTTGAAAGAAAGGTTTCTTTAAAAGAACAATTTCTTTAAAAGAAAAGTCACATCAAACAAGAAACCTCTTTAAAAGAGAAAACTCTTTCAGAAATAGGGAAAAACTCTTTCAAAAAAACCAAATATTCCAAAAAAAACTCCCAAAAAAAAAAGTTTTTTAAAAACGTCTTGATGTTGACCGGATCCCTTGTTTTGTTTGGTGGTTGCAGGTGGACTATCGTCACCCCTGCAGCGTGCCGCGACCGCCTCGCCCCACGGGGTTGTAAACGCACCACCAGTAACCCTCGTAACCTCCCAAACAACTCTCCCAACACGCTCCACTCCAACACCATCATCAGCAACATCGACAAGTTCAAGTCTCCTATTTCCACCACCTCTCCAAAACGTTGAAACCTTCGGTTCCTTCCTCGGCGAGGAGATTGTCGCAAACTGGAGGCGATCGTTGGAAAAGACGATCATGAGCCAACAGCAGCCACAACAAACCTCACAAGCTTCCCAACAACAGCAAGCACAATCAAACCTTCTAGGACTCCATCCGCCAACAATACCAAGTAATCTAAATCACCTTCCATCACCAACAGATCCAAATACACCTGGTAAATCGAGTACACCATTGGGTTCATTGGACGCAACCGAAAAAGCCTTAACACCAATACCCGGTCATGAAACACCAGCTCCACCAACGCCATCATCAACGGCACTAACATCACCGCCAGCCACTCTTCCACCACCGCCACCAACATCAACAACAACACCAATCGATTCAACCCTCAACGGTTCAAATCTATCGAACCAAACACCTAAAAGTCCAGCCGAGGAATCATGCAACAACAACAACAATAGTCATCACTTAACCAACAACAACATTGGCGCACTCAGTGTACTCGACAGTCTAAAGGGCCCCTTTCGTTTCGACGACAGGACACATCCCTTCAGATTTGGTGACGAATTCGGCGCCGCCGGCATGGCTGGAAGACTCGGCGAATCCCTAATACCAAAAGGCGATCCAATGGAGGCGAGACTACAGGAAATGTTACGGTACAACATGGACAAGTACGCATCACAAAACTTGGATACATTAAACATTGCAAGAAGAGTACGTGAATTATTGTCAATACACAACATTGGACAAAGATTATTTGCCAAATATGTTCTCGGTCTAAGTCAAGGAACAGTTAGTGAACTTTTGAGTAAACCAAAGCCATGGGACAAATTGACTGAAAAAGGAAGAGACAGTTATAGAAAAATGCACGGCTGGGCTTGCGACGATAATGCTGTCTTACTACTCAAGTCCCTTATTCCTAAAAAAGGTAAGTTCTTCTCTCTCTCTCTCTCACTCACTCACTCTCGCTCTCTCTCTCTCTCTCTCTCTGTCTATTTCCAATAGATTCCATTGTCAATTTATATTTTTGTCACTAAAAAATATTTTTCCAAAAAGCAAAACTATGACAACTTAAAGCAAAAAGAAAAAAGAAAATATGACAATGGAATCTAAATACTTCTTCGCCTTGCACTGCCGAAAATTAATATTTCATCGATCCACTAACAAACCTATTCTGCTAATATATAGGACTCGTTGGCACTTTGTTAAAATTCAAAAAAAAACAAATTGAAAGTTAAAATTATTTTTCTGACATTCTTCAACATCTCCCAGGTTGATTGCATCCTCGCTGTTATCGATTTTTGCCGCGTTTAGCAGCCATATTGTTTAGACTAATAGCTCTTGGGAATAGAAAGCGAGGGTTTTAGAACAGGGGGGAGGGGGGTTTAGAGGGTAGGTTGGATGGTTTCGCGGAGAGGAGAGACTCCCGAAGAGATTCCAGCAGCTCTGTATTTACGTGAAAGGTAATTTACACTTTTGCTTGATTACGTTGATTACACTTTTACCGGAAGTGTCACTCCACAATTTCTTCAAAACATTCAATTTTTATTTATCGCACCAACCTCAGAGTCAATCAAAATTTTATTTTGAACCAAATATATTTTTCTATGAATTTCAAATTAATTTTTGAATTAGTTTCAAAGTTAAGTACAAAATAGAATAAAACTTTGGATTTACGGTAACAGGTATCGAAACATGGAATGAAAATGTTAGCATTGTCAGTAAATCAAGTGCGAGGATTCTCTGAAAAGGGTCAATGAGGACAGGAAGGAAGTTTCCTAACGAGAGTAACCCTTAACCATTTAACCTCTTCACTATCTCACAAATTATTCCCATTGATCGCTTTTATAGGGATTAAAATAGCTGAAAGATTTAGAAAAGCTTTCCTATTAGTTTATCACTCGATTAGTCCCCGATGATTAATCAAACTCTAAAGAAAACCTTATTCCTCTTACCATCATCATTGTTATCAAGTTTTTGTTCAAATTTCAATAGATACAAAAGAAGCAAAATTTACAAAAGCACCTCAAGTAATGATTTACGACACCCGAAAAAAAAAATTGTTCACAAAACTAAGAAAATAAAAAGATTTCGTAATGAATCGAATTCATCACTGGAATTTGTAATAAACTCCATATAGAGGATTTCCCAACATTCCAAACTGATAATTGGAATGCAACAATTTTTTGGTTTTGCCGCGAGTGTCAACCTGTGGTATTTTCTATTAAGCAATTTTAACTGGTGCTTTTTAATTGTGCCCGGGGAAAACTGTTAAGGAGCAATGGAATGAGGACTGCCAACCGTGTGTATTTCATCGTCAATTACAGCACTCTTGGAACAACTCATAATACTTACAACTACCGGGTGCGAACGAGTTTCATTTCGTTCATTAGCGGGACTCGGGTGATTTTATCGGATTTCTAGCGTCGGTCGGTGCTCGCGTACATATTGCCTTTTCCGCAGGCAACAATGACGACCAAAGTGGGTATTTCAATGCCTCGCCAAGACGAGAAGGCAACAATCGGTGAATTTCTTAAGACTCCAGCGCGGATATATCGGTCGCATTCCCACGAAATTATACCACATTTTGTAACTTATTGTCAGTACGCGTTATTGTGTTTCATTTAACTCTTCATATCGTGTCGCGCACTTGTCAGTTAACAATAAGAAAAAAAACCACAGATATCGCCCCCGTTAAATTTTCATTTATGCGAGAGAAAAAAAATCATTATGAAATTCTAATTACACTCACATGATTCTAAACAATCTTTTCAACATTTTTTTTTCTAATAAAGAAATAAGACCTAATAAAGAACTCAGATTCAAGATAAATACAAACGAATCCTAGAAATTAAAACTAATTTGTAATTTACATATCAATAATTTCTAAATCATTCATAGACTTTTGAATAGAATTTCATCAAAAAGGAATTGCATCTAAATGCCGTACAAACAAATGTCACGGGGATAATTTTACGAGACTATAATTGCCGCAAAATATGATTTCCTTCATGATAGTTATTGTGTTCTTTTTCTTTCCACGTGAAATCTTCATTGTCCTCGAGAAAAGACCGATTGTTTTTTTTTTTTCTTTTTCATTCTTATTAGTGAAAAATATCTTGGCACCTAGATTTCAATGCGTCGGAGAGTCAATTTGAGGCGTTCGTGAAACGAACCGTAACGTTTGTAATAATTATGTTATTAATAACGTTTCGTCATCCTGCGGAAATGGAAATCGGCGGAGAAGTGAGTCATCGAACGCGTCGGTTCAACCGAGCGTGATACATGTACACGCGTTATTTATTATTCTTCCTCGGCATTATAGTTTCTTTATTGTTTATCGCGCGGAACGTAAATCGCTCTGACTTTTTCAACGCAATCCGTGGCAAATAAGCATATAGTGGCGGTCACATTCAATCACTAAATCTACAAATCTGATCCCATTTTTTCAAATTTGAATATAATTTTATATTGTATATTCATTATTTTTCCAAACACTTTATTAAGGATACATTTTCTCTGCGTCTCGCTCTATTTTGTGTATTTATTATTTTTCCAAACACTTTATTAAGAACCAATTTTCTCTGCGTCTCACTCTGTGAGGTAGGGGTATTAGATTTTTTCTAATTGTCGATTTGAATTTCAAGTAGTGGTAGTTAAATTTCAGTATTTGTTTTCCGGATACTAGTTTAGATTGGAAATCGGAGTTGGATGAAAATCACACGAGTAGCCATTGCTCTTCGATGTCTGGCAAGGATTCAAACGTTGCGACAGTACACACAGACATATTGCACCAAAGTGTTGGGTGTACAAAGTTATGGTTGGCTTTCTTCGTATCGCGAACCTCCTTTCTACCGATCCTGCATTCACCACTCCTCCCACTCGTGTCTCTCGAATCCTTTAAATGCTACCATCGTGTAAACAAATTCAAACTTTTTAAAAACAAGAAATTATTCCACGCCTCTCGAAGCATAATTACTCCCTTGTAACTGTAACGAAAAAAAATTCTCTAAAGAACAATTTATCACTAATATAATTTCTCTTTTTTAATTCTTGATTTGAATTGAGTTTTTGAAAAAAAAATCGGGTAGCAAAAAGCTGATTTGACCGAATGTTATGCGTCTGATTGGTCAATTAGATGGAAATCACGTAGGACAAATCTTGTTCGGAGGATATGGGAAGAAGACCATAGGAGTAGATCCCGAGAAGAGGAAATTTTAATTGTCGATGGAATACACTCGAGTGTCATATTCACCAAGGTGTTATTGATTTTACGTTACATTAATTGCTCTCAACCTCGACCCCTATGGCTATCAGAATTGTTTTTACGATCTTGATTGCAAATCGTGTTCAAGAACCTCCAGGATATATATATTGAATTCTCAAGTATATTTTAACATTTCCCTCTTCTATTTTCTTCAATCCTCTCTATGTATTTGATTTGTCATTTCGAAATTTTTCTTAATTATAAATAATTTTATTTATTATTGTCTCAATTTCTGAAAATACAAGAAACCTCTTGTAACACATCCAATTGACTTTTGGATAAACTCCTCGGAAACACGAGGTCGACAGTTGTCAACGAAAATAGACTAATTGATTGATTTCTTGGCACGTCGCTTTGAAAATGAGGGAAATATTTGAAATGGCAGTGCGAAGTATTTTTGTAATAATAAACTCTCTCTTTTTTTTTTTTGTCAAGATTTAGAATATTGATTATCACATTACGAATTTTAGATTAAGATTTTGAATAATTATTTGACATTAACATGCGATCGATTCAGATTTTTTGGTGTTGTAAATTAAACTCAAATGCGTTTAAACAGTCACGCGAGAAAAAAAAGTCTCCATTTTATACCAAGATCATGATTGATATAAGATTCCATTAAAGATTACAAAAACACTAAAATGTAAATCGATCGCTTGGGTATGATTTTTCTAATTTTATAATAAATTCAAAACTACCATTTTCAATTGTTAACTTTTAAAATAAAATCTTGATGCATATAAAAATACTCTCTTTAAAAAATATGATTGACAATGGCAGTTTTTATAATTTCATAAAACGAACAGGATTAGTTTGGATATAACTACATCCCAGCACGTTTATATGTAATCGTATTTCTATAAACGCCTGACCGAGTAAGAACACACCACAAGTTGTGCCTCACCCGTAGAGTATGTTTCAGGCAAGGAGCAGGGAATGCCAGCATTTGCTCGCGGTCCTCAGGACGGCCCACCAGACATGAACGATGAAAGATTTGCTCATATTCTTTCGGAATCTGGTCACCTACAATTAAGAGGTGAACACGAGATCTCAAACGATGCCGATAGCAAGAGTCCAAGTCGTGTTGGCTGTCCAAGTCCATTCAGTAAGGAAAGGCTTGACAGTCAAAATCGTAGACTGAAGAAATACGAGAACGATGACATTCCCCAGGAAAAAGTTGTAAGGATTTATCATGAAGAATTAGCTAAACTCATGGGACGAAGAGTCGACGATCTTCGTGGACCGCGAGACTTCCTTCAAAGGTGACACATCTCTAAATAATATATTTCATCCTCAACATTTCCCATCGCGATACATTTTTTAATAAAACTAAATTTATAACCTAACTTTAAACATTTAAAAGAGATTCAATCGGGTCATCTCTTCGACTATTTTAATTCTTTACGTCCATCAAATTTTCTTCTAAAATCAAATTTGAAAAAAGATTTGAAAAATTTCAATATTAATGAAAATCCACTAGTGAATACACACAAGTGATGATTGATTTTCCCAATAATGAGACAGTTTATTTTTGATATTTATGAATGTTATATCATCTAAGAATAATAACTTATACTAGAATCACATTTAGAATCTATAATAATTGAATTAAAATATTTTTAAGAAATATATTCATCGCACCTGTCACATGTTCTATTAAAAATTCCAATAAAAATATTACTTATTCAAAATTTTTTACTTTTAAATAAATGAAACTCGATTTTCATTCATTTTTATAAAATTCCTTACTCTTCTTTAATTATTGATGAATTATATTTATGTTAAAAGTTTTTCAATATTATTTTTATAGACACAAAAAATGCCACACGTGTCAATCATCATTTACTCGAAAGTTTTTAGTTTTTGTTTTATAAAAATGGAAGTTAATATTTATAAATTTATAAAATCGAAAGAAAAGTAGGTTCAGATAAGGACCCGATTGAAATTTATTGAGGACAGCACGTGACGTCGATTAATGTAGCGCGATGTTTCCAAACTTTTTCAGTGGCACGCCTGGTCTCCAAGGTATGGAACGTTCACAGGACGAAATCCGTATGGCATTGGACGCTTATCATCGAGAATTACAAAAATTGAATGTCGCCTCTGGTCAAAATCCGACGTTAGGTGGACTTCCCCTGTCTGGTTTACCGAGTATTCTTTTGCAACAACAAGCACTTCAACAACATCATCTCGCGACAAATGGTGGCGTTGTTCAAGATTTAAGTTTAGGAAAACTAGATCCAAGAAATAAAATGATGAACGGAGTGACAGAGGAAGAGAAAGAGAAAATGGAGGAGGCTATGAGGCATGCTGGAAGTGCATTTTCGTTGGTGAGGCCTAAGCAGGAACCAACTGGTCCACAATCGACACCAGGTGGTTCCAGTGCCAGTTCACCATTAGGCAATTCAATTCTTCCACCTGCAATGACGCCGAGTGAAGAATTTGCCGGTGCCGCCGCAGCCAGTCCCCTTCAAAGGATGGCATCCATCACTAATAGTTTGATCAGTCAACCGTCCACGCCGACGCATCATTCGGCAAACCAAAGACCTCTTAAAGCCGTTCTTCCTCCAATAACGCAACAGCAGTTTGACATGTACAATAATTTAAATACCGAAGATATTGTCAAGAGGGTAAGTAAAGTGGTAAGTTCTGTTCAATTCGATTCCATAATTAAAAGTATAAAAATAATCTTACATTTCATTTCATTTTTTCCAGGTGAAAGAACAACTCTCACAGTATTCAATTTCACAACGATTGTTTGGCGAATCAGTATTGGGATTATCGCAAGGTTCAGTGTCTGACCTACTCGCCAGACCTAAACCATGGCACATGCTCACGCAAAAGGGACGCGAACCCTTCATCAGGATGAAAATGTTCCTCGAAGACGACAACGCGGTTCATAAATTGGTTGCCAGTCAGTACAAAATCGCACCCGAGAAATTGATGAGGACCGGCGGCTACGGCGGCCTGCCTCGTAAGTTTAACTCAGGTCAATATAGATGTTTTGTTATTTTATTCAATCGTAGTTTGGGAGCTCTCTTTTGTCGTAGCTAACTATCACGTAATTTCCAAGTAATTGACTGTAATTATTTTCAAATTAGAATACATTATCATTTTACCAAGTTATTCTACCAATTTGCGTTGTACAAACAAACTTAAAAATAGTCACTTTTTCATTAGACTAATTACCTCAAGCTAGAAAAAGAACCAACCTTGACCCTACAGCTCTCACGACTAGAATTTTTCTAGTAATTGTAGGACCTTGAGTTTTCTGACGAGCTTCGAGACTATAAATTTCAAAAAAAAGCGGATTTTTAAAATATTTGTTTCTTTCAATTACAGCTTGTGGGACACCTATGAAACCGATGCCGCCGACAAAATTGGTTCAGGAACAACTGCAAAATGCAGCCAAGGCTCAAGCGGCGGTACAGGCTGCAGCTCAAGCTGCTGCTGCAGCACAGCATCAACAGGAAAGTCAGATGCAACTTGGACCACCGCCACAAAATCCTCAACATTCTCAACATCCACAACCACCACCACCAATGATGCTAACACCATCTGGACCCCATCTTCAACATTCTCAACTCAGTATGCAAGAACTCCAGAAAAAACAACAGCAACAACAACAACAACAAATCAATCTCCATTCTCCCCATCATCAAATGGCACCATCGCCACTGAGAAGTCTACATCCTCATATATCACCAAGTGTATACGAAATGGCCGCCCTGACCCAAGATCTCGACACCCAAACAATAACAACAAAAATCAAGGAGGCTCTACTAGCGAACAATATCGGACAGAAAATATTCGGCGAAGCTGTACTGGGACTATCGCAAGGCTCCGTCAGTGAACTCCTGAGTAAACCCAAACCTTGGCACATGCTGAGTATAAAGGGAAGAGAACCCTTCATCAGAATGCAACTCTGGCTGTCTGACGCTCACAATGTCGATAGACTGCAAGCCCTAAAGAACGAACGACGAGAGGCTAACAAAAGACGACGAAGCAGTGGTCCAGGACACGACAACAGTTCCGACACATCGAGCAACGACACTGCCGAATTTTACCATTCGGCATCGCCCGGACCCGGACCAACATCAGCCAAAAAACAACGAGTTCTCTTCAGCGAGGAGCAAAAAGAAGCCCTAAGACTCGCATTTGCCTTAGATCCATATCCCAACGTCTCAACAATCGAATTCCTAGCCGGCGAATTGAGTCTCTCATCAAGAACAATAACAAACTGGTTCCACAATCATCGAATGAGGTTAAAACAACAACCACCCCACGGTCAACCCGAACCACAATCGCCCCGTGAACCCGGACAACCATTCGACGCCGTACAATTTAGATTAATGCTAAATCAAAAACTACTCGACATTCAAAAAGAAAGACTATGTTTAGGCAACGTACCAATGTCCTATCCACCCTATTTCAATCCCAATCTCGCCGCCCTTGTCGGCAATGCCCTCAAGGAACAATGTTCCGGTCTTGATCTCTCAATGGGCTCACTAAAACGTGAACCAATGCAAGAATTCGAAGACGAGGACGACGCAATGAGTAATCTAGGTAGTGAAGACTCCGAAGGTTCAGCGGGCAGTATTAAACGTGAACCAACCGAAACACCAGCACCAACAACCGGCAGGTCAAGTAGGCGGAAACCTGCAGCCCCCCAATGGGTAAATCCCGAATGGCAAGAGCCAACAAGAACAGGCGATGAGGTTATCATCAACGGCGTGTGTGTTATGCAAACCGACGACTACGGTGTTAAGAGAGAAAATGAGGAGACTGTAAGGGTCGAACCAACGCCCGTACAAGACAGATTTGACGATGACGCTCAAAGTGATGTCTCATCCGTCTCCGGTAATAATCCCCAAGACAGAGACAGTCCCCTTCCAAGTCCAAAATCAGGTCAAACAAGTCCCGTAACATCACCGCGACCACCATCCTTACAACAGACACAACAATCCACCGAGGAGAGTCCCAAAGAACTCGTCAAACACGAACCCGAAGAAACGTGGGATTATTAATAAATAAGTTAAGTTTACCCCTTTATTTTTTCTATAACGAAAAAGCCAACAATAGGATTCGGTCACGACTGAGTCCTGCCTAGGACAGGGCATTAGCAAAACAAACCTGAATCAACAAAAACCAAATCAGGATTCTTTTGCAAAAAAAAGGCCGTGGATCAACAAAAAATCAAAAAAAAAAAATTTATAAGTGATGACTGGGGGGGAAAAAGTTATTGTTGTCAAAAAATAAGCATTACAACAGTCTGTTGTATAACAAGAGTATTGTAAAATTAGAATCTTGTAAATATAGTAAAACATGATATGTTGCATTTACCACAAAAAAAATATATAGGCTGTTGTAAATGTAACGAGACATTTTTCTCCATGAGAAGATAGTGAGCAACGAACAAAGTTTTTGAGAGGAAAAAAAAAGAATAAGGAAAGTGTCGAAACGCGCCTATTTCACTCCTTTTAAAGGACTGCGATATTAACGTTCGCTTAAAAGCCAACGTTTATTTTATGTGATTCGCCCTTAAAATGAATTTTTCAAAAGAGAATCTCATACATCTTTGGTTTCTTTTTCTTTCTAAACCAAAAAAAAAAAAAAAATCAAAGCTCACAATAAACCAATTTTGTATGAATTCTCGTTATCAGTGCAATCTTCTATATATTAAAAATTGTTAGATCAAGTTTTTATTATTAATTTTGAAAAAAAAATCTCGCGCAATTAACGAAAATGCGAAAAGAACGCGAGATGTCGCATAATTGTGATTAAAAGTTATATCGTTTATATTGAAAACCCTCATTCTCTCCTTCTTAGCCGTTAAGCTGTTGACGTTAAATATTATTATATATATAAACATATATTTCCAATTCGAATTTTTACCTATCTTCGTTTTATTCGTTATTTAAAAAAAATGCGCAAAGACAACTATTTCTTCGTGCATAAAAAAAAACAAATACACACACCTTCGTCCGTTTTGCTTGCCGAGTATTTATAATTGAATTAAAAAGAGAATTTTTGCTCGAAAGAGATTCGTTTGACGAAATCGTGCAAAAAAAAACTGAGGCCGTTACCAATGTTATTATTACTATTATTATAATTATTATAATAATTATAATTATTATCATTATTATTATTATTATTAATATTATTATTACTTTTATCATTAATATTATTAATATTATTATTTTTATTATTATTTTACTATTATTATAACTATTATTATTATTATTATTATCATTATTACTATTATTATTATTACTATTATTATTACTATTATTACTATTATTATTATTATTATTATTATTAAAATTATTATTATTATTATTATCATTATAATTATAATTATAATAATTATCATTATTATTACTATTATTATTGTAACTATTCTGTAATTAGTTGTATTATAATTACCAATTCCTATTGTAGCGAATTGTAAAGACCTATTAGCCAAAAATTCAGACTTAACGGAAATTTTTTTCTTTTTAATTTTTTTAGTTACTTAAGAGAATAATCACCTCTAAATTTTATGGAAAAAAATGTAATTTTTTTTAATAAGTAATTTTTTGTTAATAGTAAAAAAGTAAATCTTTTTGTTAATAATAGTAAAAAAAAGTGACTCTTTTTGTTAATAGTAAAAAAATAACTCTTTTTGTTAATAGTAAAAAAGTAATTTTTTATTAATCGTAAAAAAGCAATTTTTTTGTTAATTGTAAAAAAAGGTTTTTTTTTTGTTAAATTATAAAAAATAATGTAATTTTTTCGTTAATCGTAAAAAAGTAATTTTTAATAGCAAAAAAATTAATTTTTTAATAGTAAAGAAGTAATTTTTTAATAGTAAAAAAATGTATAATTTCTTTTTTTTATTAATAATCGAGAAAAAATGTAAATATATTTTATTTTCCTTATTTTAAATTAGAGAAATAAAATTTTTGAAAATGATTTTTGAATATATTTTTTTTAAACACAGTGATTATTCTAATTAAAAATCGTATTTTTCGTTCCTTTTTTTAAAAAAAATAAAATTTTTAAAAAAATATAACGACTACAGTCAATATATTTAAATATTATAAAACAATTATTAATTGCTATTGTGTTAATAATGAGAGATGAAAAGGCTTGAGAAGCCAATGTGATAGAGCTTAGGCGCGACAGTGGAGACAAGACAGAAAGATTTGCAAAAAAAAAAAAAAAAAAATCCCCCCCTTCTTCTTTCCCCTACCACGACGACGCACAAAGCTTAGGGAGTTGGTAATGCGGTTTTTTTTCTAAACTCGCACATGTAAATAATATTGTATATATATATAAAAGACGGGACATTGAAAAAAAACGGACACACAGACAAAATTATAATACACAGAATACACCATTTGTACAGTGTACTAACTTATCACAGTTTAATCCTCAACTATATATATATATATATATATATATATATATATATATATATATATGGAAAAAATATATATACATATAAATATATATATATATATTTGCCCGCACGCGAATGCAGTTATCGGCATAAGGGACGATACAATCGTGAACACGCAAACACGACTTTAGGCCTAACAAAAATAACCGCCGAGAGAAAAATGATCGTCGAAAAAAAAAAATACTGAAAATTGTATTAGTCCGATAAAAGCGGGTCCGACTGAGGGAACGAATGATTGTGAATAAATTTTCAAATGTTTTTTTTTCTTCTCTTCGAATGTCAAAATGTATGTGTATAAATAAAAAAAAAGCGAATGAATGAAATAATGTCGCTATTATGAATCAAACTAGTATTTACCAGATTAAGCCACGATTAATCTTCGATTAAATTCTAGTCCGAAAAAGCTAAGTTCATTTTTTTTTTTTGGTTTTTTTTTCTTTTTTTTTGAAATCGTAGGGCATTGTAAATGAGAGACCAGTGATCTTATAATTTTTTTGTTAATAATGTACTAATTTCCTATTTTTCTCTCTCTCTATCTCTTTCTCTGTTTTTAGTTTCATACCAAGTATGATATATATATAAATAATGCAGCGAAACTGCGAAAAAAATGCGATATCAATATTGTAAATATTACAAGCGTCTTGTAACTTAATTCGTCTAGAAAAAAAAGAAACAATAGAAAACGCTCGATTTGTCAAACACTCGACGTTTTTTTAAAAAAAATAAAAGAATTGACTTTCGGGGACCGACCTTCACTGGTCTGTCAAAGAGAACAAAACAAAAATACGATCTCAGACCACTAATACCAAACTAAATTATTTAAAAAAAAAATGAAAGAAAGAAAGAAAGAAATCATCTTAGCCTAAAGACGTTCTTCCAATTTATAATTTTTCTTTTTAATGTATACGAGTGACGATTTTCCCCTTTCCCCTCACCTAAAGAACCGCTCAATCATTTTTCTTTTAAATTTTTAGAAACCCTATTTGTAAGGATTGAAGAGTAGAAACGAAAGACTGAAAAATAGCAAACATTAATTTCCAAATTGTATTTCTTTTTATTTTCGTTTTATCTAATTTTTATTTTTTTAACTGATTTAGATAAACTTTTATTTTCGGTTTTTTATTTTCTTTTAAATATTTTTATTTACATATTTTAATTTTAGAATTCTTTTCAAGAATTAATTACCAAAATAATATTGAAGTGGTTATTAGAGAGGTCGAAGGGGAAAAAATAAAAAAAGGAAGAAGGGTCTAATTTTTCAATCATCGAATCATAAATAGGTTCTTTTAGATACTGAATAGAAAATAGACGATAGCTTTAATTATTTAAAAGAAAAGGTACAGCTTCGAAAGAGCAAGGTGTATATTATTAAAAAAAGCGCAGACTCGTGAGATGTTAGTGAAAAAAGCAATTTCGCCAACATCGAGATCGAGGTAAAAAATCATATCTTAAAACGTAATAATATTTTACAAACTATAAAAAAAACCATGTAGATAGAACATTCAGAAAGAAATCCTTTCACGTAAAAAAAACAGAGAGGTCTATAATTGTACGATCAAAAAAAAACAGAAAAAAAACTAAAAGAACCGAAGAACATGAATTATAATGACATTGTCATCCAGTAGTGAAAATAATTGTATTTAAAAAAAAATCACACGCAGAATGAAACGATTACCTGCAATAATAGTTTACTGATTTGTATTTCATTTCGAACTGTATTATAGCTTAAAGATTATCCTGTACATTGCATAAACACTATTGCACTATTGTTTTAAATTGTACGTTTATGATTATTATACGAAGATAAAAAAAGAAAATAAATAAGGTATACAAAAATATTGAAGATATATGAGAGATTTATTGACGATCTAGCTTGTAAGGATCTTTGACATCTCCTTAATTACGCGCCAGCGTCTCTTCATAAAAAATTTAATTAAAAAACCAAAAAAAAAAATACGATAGCATCCATATCTTCCACAAAAAAATACAATCTACAATCGTTATCGATATTCATTATTGCCATTATATTATTTATCATTGAAAAAAAAATGAGCGTTTCGATATATAGCAAATCAAAAAAAATTAAAATAATAAAAAAACATGCACCAAGTATAAGATTGCATTATAGCTCCGATGTGTTAATTGAGCAGAAAAAGCCCTTAATTAATTGTTATACTTATAACTCTTTTTCAATCAAAGTTCAAAAGTGCACGAACAAAAAAAAAGACTATTATAAATATATATATAGAATAAATAAAAAAAAAATTTACGTTATTGTCTCTGATTATAAAAATCGAAAAGAAAATAAAAATCAGTTACTATTTATTTAATTCTTTATATTTTATATATAGATTCTTCTCTCTATATATATATAAAATATAAAAAAAAAAATATATATATATATAAACCTCGATATTTTGGAATATGTGAGAACGTTAATTAAATAATTATCCTATTGTTTATATTGATTAATTTTGTAATAAATTTTGCGTTAAAGAGTCAAATTTAAATATTCTTAGGTGAATTCTGTCGGTGCACAAATCGCTATTCAGACAAAATATAAATGGAAGATTTTCTTCATTGTATATAACTATATATAATTATATTATTCATATCACTGTCTCCTTTGAACAATTTCTAAATTAAAAAAAACCTGTATTAAACACGTCACGTGAATTATTCGCTACCTCACCCTATTTTTAAATATATTCTCTAGAATTAATTTTTTCAACTAAATTTTATTTCCTTATTTTATTCGGAAGTCGCGAATATAAAAAATAAGAAAAAAGAATGAAAAAAGATCATAAAATTATAGTGAAAATAATAAATAATTAGAATAATTAAATTTTTTCGGTCTCTGTTTTATAATAGTGAAGAATTTCTTTACATTGTCCTATAAACAATTTTAGAGCAAGAAAATTTTTTTTAAAATTTATTTAGGAAATTAAAATTTTCGTTTAAATTTCTTTTTTTAAAGCTACGTTTATTTTAAAAGTTCCCTGGATTATTTTCAGTGGATATCGAAATTTCGGGAAATTATATTGCCGACTAATGATTCGAAGAAGAAGAAATTTCATTTATCATCTATCGATATCAAATTAAAAAAAATGAATTGTGATTATTAATTTTTGTTTGTATTTACGAAACAAAATTTGAAGATAAGAATATTATTTTGTCATAAATAATTTTTTTTAATCAATTAAATTTGCATTGTAGGAAAACCATTTACCAACTGATGGAAACAAATTTCCTGGTTGATAGAGTAATTTTCAATTTTGACAGAAAATAATTAAGGTATTTTTTTAATTCGATTTTTAAATAATTGATTCATTAAAAAGAAAATATTTTAATTCCTATCGTTTTGAAAATTAAAAAAATATCTTTGTAAAAATATCCCAGTGCCAATAATGCAATTTATTTATATTTTCAAATTTTAATTGTTTATTTATTTATCTATTAAATTTTGTTTAAGAAATATTTTTAAAATTAAAATATTAATTGAAAACAAAATTATTTTTTTAAATACAAAAAAAAACATTTTTTTCCAAATATTTATCGTTTTTTTCTTTTATTTTTTATTCTTATTAAAACAAAAGAAAGATTTTCTTCCGTTTTATTAAAATTTTCAAACATAATTTAGCAAATGATAATAATTAATAATAGTAAATAATTAATATTTTTTTAATTCTTCAGCAAATTTCAATAAAGAATTGCAAACATAATTTTTTAACTTCCAAAAAATTTTAGTCTGAATAAACAGATAAAGAATTTAAAATATCGACTTTATTTAAAATAAAGTTTATTTTCAGGTAAAAAAAATACTTTTCATTTGAAAAAAATCAGCAAAAAAGTTAATAATTAATTAAATTATTAACCGACCAATAGTAATAAATAATAATAGTAATAGTAATAGTAATAATAATAATAATAATAATAATAATAATAATAATAATAATAATAATAATAATAATAATAATAATAATAATAATAATAATAATAATAATAGTATTTTAATAGTTTGTTTAACTGAATTTTAATCAATAATCACCGATTGATTTTAAAATTGTAAACAGTAAATTAATAAACTGTTTAAAAAATATCAAATTCATTTTAAATCATAATAAAAATAGATATTTTCAATGTAAAAATTATGAAACATTTCCTTAATCAATAAAGTTTTTGTAATAGAAAAAAAACTAACCTTGAAATCCAAAAAATGAAAGTAGAAATAATCTTTTCGATTAGCCAGAATTTCGAATAAAAAATATTTTAAACCAATAATCTTTGGTACACTTTAGAATATTACGATGGTCTTCCAAAAAACCATTATACCTTTCTAACACACTTTAAATTATTCATAGAATTAAATCCCTGAATTCCTTCAATGAAATCCATTCAAATTTACTTTTTTGTCATTTGGGAGCATTCAACATCACTTTCCTCTAGTGAACAATAGCAATCTGAAACAAAAAATTTTTATTACTTAATATTTTAATTTGTATTTTTTAGCTGCTTACAATAAATATACACACAATAATAAGTTTTTTCCGTTGAATTAAAACATTAGCAACAATGGTCAAACAATCGAAAAACTTGTGCATGGCAACAACATTTTTTGAAAATTCACAAATTCCAAAAGCAAGATTTAGAAAAAATGCATAAATTCCATCCAATTTTCAACAAATGATGTGAATTAGTTGATATTTTTATTGGAAAAACGGAAAAAATATCAAAGTTCCGAAGAACATAACCTAACAATGGTGAGTTTTTCGATTCTTGACATAGGAAAAGTGCAACAAGAATTTATCAAAAATATACGAAATAAACACTAATCAAGTGATAAATAAACTATTTAATACGAAATTAAACATCAAACCAACAAAAATCTTACCTTTTTATTGATTAATTGATCAGGATTGCACTCCAGTAATGCGATCGATATGACACCAAAGACACAACTAAAATGGCGGCGTTGTACGTGAAGTTGACAACGCCATCAGAAAGAAGCAGGGCTACCAACCCATGCGAATGAAAATACATGGCGGGAACGTTTGAATTCAATTTTTCCCGTTTAATTAAAGAAAAGGAGTAAATCTGAAACAAAAATTTTTTATTATTTTACATTTTAATTTGTATTTTTGAGCTGCTTACAATAAACATATACACACAATAATAAGTTTTTTTCGTTGAATTAAAACATTAGCAACAATGGTCAAACAATCGAAAAACTTGGGGGCCGTTCATAAATTACGTAACGCTTCAGGGGGAAGGGTGGGGGGTCAAGATATTTGTTACACTCATTATAAAAATGGCGCTAATTTATGTAAAAGTTTGTTACATGGGGGTGGGGGGGGTCTAAAATGACCAAAAAAAGCGTTATGTAATTTATGAATTGCCCCTTGTACATGGCAACAAAATTTTTGGAAAATTCACAAATTCCAAAAGCAATATTTAGAAAAAATGCATAAATTCCATTCAATTTTCAACAAATGATGAGAATTAGTTGATATTTTTATTGGAAAAACGGAGAAAATATAAAAAGTTTCAAAGAACATAACCAAACAATGGTGAGTTTTTCGATTCTTGACATAGGAAAAGTGCAACAAGAATTTATCAAAAATATACGAAATAAACATTAATCAAGTGATAAATAAACTATTTAGTACAAAATTGAACATCAAACTAACGAAAATCTTACCTTTTTATTGATTAATTGATCAGGATTGCGCTCCAGCAATGCGATCGATATGACACCAAAGACACAACTAAAATGGCGGCATCATATGTGAAGTTAACAACGCCATCAGAAAGAAGCAGGGCTACCAACCCATGCGAATGAAAATACACGGCGGGAACGTTTGAATTCAATTTTTCCCGTTTAATTAAAAAAAGATTAAATACAAATTAGAAAAATGTAAATTATTATTTAAAAAATATTTTCTATTCCTTAAACATAAAATTAAAATGTATTTTACAATTCTAAATTATACAGAATAGAATATTAAATTATACATTAAATATTGAATACAAAATAAAAAATATTGAAAAAAAGTAGCTACAAATTAAAAAAATTAATATTAAAATAACTTTGTCTTTGTTAAGTCAAAATTGATTGTCTAGTATTTTGTTTTCTTTCAATTAGACGATTTTTACACAAACAAAAACGGGCGCTAAATTTTTTATTAAAGGCCCTTTCATATTTCTTTTGGTTGGCAACTGCACTTACAGAAGTGCTGTGAGAGTACCATAAATGGAAAAGAGACTGACGAACATAAATAACATTTATAAACCGAGTCTTTTTTAATAATAATTCTCATTTATCATTAATGACAGTTAAATATTTCCACAATGTTTTTTACCAAGTTAAAAGTTTTAATTCCCTCTACAATGAAAGTGAGAAATATGGGTAAGAAAAAGTTATTTTAAATATTGTAAACATAACCTCACTCTCATTACATGTGTTTTTTCATATTTTTTTCAATTATTTTTATGATTATGTTACTTTATTTTTAATACTTTTACTTATTTTTCATTTATGTTACTTTAGTATTATGTGTGCAATAAATATTATTAATTTCGTACACTGTTCTATAAATTTTCTGTCATTTGTTATTGAATTATTTTGAAATCACTGTGTAAGAGATCAATTTAATAATATGCTTTTAAGTTTATTAAATAATTCTTTTTATTATTACGATTATTTTTATTATTACGATTACTTTTATTATTGTTATGATTACTCTTACCGTTGTTGTTATTATTGTTATTTTTTTATTTTATTGTAATTATTATTGACATGATTATTCCTACGTTGTTGTTATTATTGTTTTTAATTTTTTTTTTATTATTATTTTATTATAATTATTATTTTTTATCTTGTATGTTATTTATTTAATCTTTGTAAACTGTTTATATTTCAGCTACAGTCAAAAGATTTTACAAGCAGGCGACAGTTTTATCGAATGGTGATAAATTTGAAATTGCCCTTGATCATAGAAAATTAAAAACTCCAAAGGGAAAAGTTTTTGAAGTTTCCAGTGAACCTTTGGCTTTTGCAGTAGCCGTTGAATGGGAAAGTCAAAAAGAAACAATCAATAGAAGTGGAATGCATTTGGTAAAGAAATAAAAATTCAGAATAAATTATTTATATTCTTATTTATTATTTACATAGCAAAAACAACAAGTACAATAATTTTTTTTATTAACTTATACATAAACTACTTAAATCATTAAACTATTGCCACTGCCCTTTATACCGTTTCTAATAAAATTGTTTCACAAACTTAAAATATTATTTGAAATACTACTTTTTGTATTAGTTGTATAATAATTTTTATATAATTCATGTCAATTTTATAATAACTTATTTTTTAATTTAATTCTATAATATAATTTTAGTATACTTTTGTATACTTTTATATAATTTTATATCCTAATTTATATCTTATTTTAAATCTTATTATTTTATTTATATATCTTGTAATTTAATATGTATTATTAATATATATTCTTTCTATTCATTCGAAACAGAATTTATCTGTAGAGAACTACCCATTTTAACATTGTTAATTTTCTTGGCTATTTTCTATACGTATTTTTAATTACTTTTCAGACCTCATTATGCAACACGGTTTTGGACAATCCTCACAATAATACAAAAGAGGATATTGTATCCGGAATTGTTCAGTATTTAGAAACAGACACAGTTTTATTTCAGTCAAATGTAAGCAAATTTTTTTTCTTTTCTATCACATTTTTTTGTCGATTCAAATGAAAATCTAATTATTCAATAAATTACTTCCTTCTTTTTATTTTATTAATCTGCGGTAATTTTCATTTATCTTTCAATTAATGACAATCCTAATTAGTAATAATCTAATTATCTTAGTTTTTATCAAATTGATATTTTTTCATTTCAAATAATTATCTAAATGAAGCTACAAATTTTCTAAATTATAATTTTTCTAAATTACAGTCTTTTTAAATTAAAAATTTTCTAAATTAAAATTTTTCTAAATTAGAATGTTTCTAAATTAGAATTTTTCTTTTAATTAACGTGTATATTTATTCGAAAATTTACTGTATATTTAAATGTAGAAAAGATTTGAAACAAAAAATCGTTTCTTTCAGGACGAGGAGGAATTGTATAGTCTGCAGAAAAATAGATGGGATCCTTTAATACAATGGTTTTGTGATCGATTTCAAGTGGACATTATTAAAACTTGTAGTATAGAAGCTCCAATAGTTACGTCAGATACAAAAGACATTATAACAAAGCATTTACTTTCTTATAATTTTGAAGCTATCCACGGTAAGATTATTATTTTTTTTTTTTTGTCTACCGGTATAAAAAATTATAAATCGTATATAAATGTGAAAAAAGAAATTTTTTTTACACAGGTTTTAAGTACGGCGTGGACACGATAAAATCGGTAATTCTAACGCTAGCCGCTTCGGAAAATGTGATCGGGGTCGAAGAAGCCGTTGATCTTTCTCGTTTAGAAGAGGAATATCAGGTATTAAAATTTATTATTAATTTATTAATTATTGTTGATTCGAAAAACAAAACAATTTTAGAGAGTAAAATTCAGAGAATTATAGATTTAAATTTCAGGGAATAATCACTTAAAAATGAATTTAATTTTGTTGAAATTGAACTTCTTTATCGAAAAGTAAAACTAGTTTTTGAAAATAAAATACTTAGGCATAAATTGTATTCTAGATTCTTAAGAACTTAATTGGAATGTAACGATTCAATAAAAAATCAATATAAATTTTATCTGTAGTTATAAAATTAACTAAAAGTTGAATAACTATTTACTACTAACGGAACAAAAAAAAATAATATTACCTGTTAATAAATATTAAATCTCTAAAATGTATTCTTTTTTGTATGAAATTTCAGATCAGTCATTGGGGACGCGTGGAATGGTCACACGAGCTTAGTAAATACGATTTGCAAACACGTTTGGCCGCCGCAATAATTTTCATTCATTTAAATTCCAATTCTAAGACCTCTCAACCGAAACTAGATGAAAGTAGAAAAATGGAAATATAAAAAAAGGTATAAAAAATGCTTACCAAATCTTCTCAGTTGATTTAAATTGGCGCTTTTTTCTTTTTTTTTAATTTTGTACGTATTTAAAATCGCTAGTTATCAAGTTTCTGGCACTTTGACGAAGTACAATTCACTGAAGGTATCGAGCAATCGGTTCCTTCCCAGTCCTTCATACAGATGCAACTAAAAACGTAATGAATAAATTTTTTATTTATTAATAAATTAAATAAAGAAAGAAAATAGAAAGAAAGAAATGTAATTATTAGAAAATTTTTGCTTTTTTGAAACTTTTTTCCATTTTTGGGAAAAATTTGGCCATTTTTCTTTTACCTGTACGTTGGACCGTGATTTAAGCAAACGGCACCGTTTTTACATGAATTGTGTGAACATTCGACACGATGACATTCGCCGACACCTCTTCCGGTCGCTGGACTCGATTTAGTAATTGGGAAGACATTATCTTCTGTGCGTAATTCGATATCGTATATACAACCCGAAAATCCCGTATGAAGGGGCAAATCGTGAGGAAGATTTTCAAAATTCTTCGATTTGTGACCTCCTGAAAAAAAATTTTCATTATTTTTTGAATATTTTGAATATTTTGAATATTTGAAAAGAATTTTCACAGAAAATCTCAATTTTACGCAAACTTCGCAAAAAGAATTTTTGATTCTTGATTAAATGGTTCCTATAATAAAAATTCATATAAATTAAGTTTTTAATAATTGTAAAATCTCACCAATGTAAAGTATCGGTGCGACGTCTAATCTTGTGAGAGAACCAGGAGTTTCTCCAGATATATTTCCAATGCCTTCGATTGAGAGCCAAGCCTCTCTTCCTTTTCTCCCAACTCGCAAAATATGAACTTTTTGAGTTTTCATATTCAAAGGCTTGTCGGTAAATATTCTTCGAATACCTGGCGGAAATCGATTTTGTCCAAATTATAACAAATTTATTATTTTATATTTGAAATTTGAAATTTTAATTTTTAAAATTTTAATTTTAAATTTTAATTTTAAATTTGATAATTGTCGCTTACCAGAACCTAAATCCCATGTCAGCATTATATAGCCACGAACAAAAGTTACTGAAAAATGATCAGTTATCTCAGCTCGAGTTCCTGATTGTCCTAAATAAGCGATTAGAGAAATTTGCTCGACAGTGTGAGGCAATACGCTGAATTTTAATTCCATTCCATCTCTTATACTAGCAGGAACACCATAGGCCATATAGGACGATAAACTCGACATGAATGTTGAAAAAGATGGTTGTAATATCGCAAAATCTAAAACAGAATATTAAACATTAATTTTACAATTTATATTCTCTTTACTTGGAAAGAGAAAATAATTCTTACCCTCTTCGCAATAAAGACCATGCATTCCAAGAGGACAAATGCAAAGAAAAGTTGTTCCTGGATATGTTATACAAGTCGCCCCCAAATGACACGGATTATTGTCGCATGCGGATTTTTCACAAAAATCACCTGAAAAGCTATTGGCAAAATGAAATTTTAATGATTATAATTATAATAATTATAATTTTTATTTTTTATTTATTTAAAAAATATTTTTTATTACCCCAGTGGACATTTGCAACGAATTGTTCCGTCCATTTCCTCGCAGGCTCCAGAATTACTGCAAGGATTTGATAAACACAAAAATGATGTACATTCTTCTACTTGGAATATTTCAATTGAATCTGTCGCAAAATTTCTGTCAATATTATTTATCTGAAAATAGACAAAAATTTTATTTCAATGCCACAATAAATTTAATACGAATAAATTAATTTAATTACAGTTTTTAAGCATTTGTAGAATTACTTAATTTTTCTTAATTACGTAATTATATAATTATAAATAATAAATAAATAAGAAACAAATAAAATACTTAGAAAATTAATTCCAAAATGTTTACAAACTTTAAAATTGAATCTTTTTTCTAAAATTAAGAATTTTAAAAATATTGTACCTTCAGTGAACTCATACAGCCAAGAAATCCTAGTGCAATTTCCGGTAAATTGTAAGTAAATGCAATGGGTATGCCACCTAAATGAAGTCTCGCGATTTGCGGTACAATTTCGTGAGACGGCAAAATTTGTTCTCCACTCATTGCCATTGTATTGTTTAATAATAATGTCGCTGAGCATTTATCTGTTTTTTCCTCCACTATATAGTGAAATCTATAAAAAAAAGAATTAATTAAAAGGAAAAATTAATTCATTTATCATTAATAATAGAAGAAAGATATAATTAATAGCAAAAAATCTTACCTCATTTCAATATTAACATTAAAACCATTATTGATTGGCGAGTCAATTTCTCCAAAAAGCATTGTTTGAAGACCGCAGGAAAATTGAAATTTCAATTGTCCCATTTCTACGTAGAGTAAAATAAATCTCTCGTCATCGAAAAATGCATGAATAATAATTCCACTCTTCGCTTTTGTTCTGATTGTCAATGCAATATGAAAAGTGTCATTTTTTGCAAAAGGCACTTGCTGTCTTATGTAGGATTTTCCATTGAATGCGGCATTTTTTATACTCGAAGTTAGCTTGCAATTGTTTTCATAACTGCAATCGCACTGAAATAAATATAAATATTGTCCCGTTTATATTGTAAATAAAAAATTTATTTTTATTTGATAGTAAAATTAATAAACCTACCTTTGTGAAATTAAACAAACAAAGACTGGTATTGGCACATTGTTGAAGATTACAGGCAAATAAATAGCCATCAGTAGGTGGTGTAATTGTGATACTTTCAAAAGTTGTAAAAGTCGATTTTGGAAATGATTCTTCAGTTGTAATTGAACTTTTGAATGATGTTGAAAGTTCACTCGTTAAAATACTCGATTCAGTGGAAGATGTTACCGACACTGATTTCATTGTCGTTGTTAAAATTGGCATTTTATCCTCAATCGTTGTCATTTCCTCGGGACTTGTCGTTTCCAATAAATTCTTCTGATCAGTCGTTGAAATGGAAAAATTCGATGAAATCGTCGTTGTCATTGGCATTGTCTTAAAACCAGATGTTATCGTTTCTTCTATAAAAATTGTATTACCATTAAAACTTTTCCCATAAATTTCCGTTGTCGTTTGTGTTGAAAAATTACCAAAACTAGTTTCATTTTGTTTCGGTGTCACCTGACCCATGACAGTCTGAAAATTAAAAATTAATTAAATATTTCGGAAAACTTGTACAATAATCGTTCAAATTTCAAATTCTGAAAATTTTGATTCAAATTTTTTTAAACTTACGCTAGGAATTGTTGGACTGACAATGTCAATTGTTACGTTAACACTTTTCGTGATTGGTATTAACGGAGGACTGTCGGTGAAATTAATTTCATTTGAATCGATAAAAGTCGGTGGTGTTGTGATAACATTTTCAGATGAAATTGTAACACTCGTCGTTTCACTTGGCATTGTCGTTGGTCTTGATTTTGAGAAATTGTCATCAATCTCAGGGGGAATTGTCGAAAAATTAAAACCAATATAATCATTACACATTTCGCCGGAGTATTGAATTGGACAGGAACAGGTGAATGAATTGATTCCATCGATACAGGTGCCTCCATTTTCGCATTTGGCGAATTTTGCCGCACAATCGTCATATTTTAATTCGCAAAGAACGCCATGATAATCGGGAACACAGTAGCAAATCGGTTGAAAATCTTCGAATAGACAAATTGCATTATTCTTGCAAGGATTTGGATCGCAGAGAATAATCACTTTATCACAATCTTTTCCGGTGAAACCTAAAATTAAATCAAATTTCCTGTTTATTTTAATCGTATTTCAAATTTTTTCCGGAATTTTTTAATGTTATTAAAATAAAACAATATTTCGAATTGTTTATAATTTAAATTTACCGAATAAACAAGCGCAAGTGTAAGATGCGGGAATATTTATACAAAGGCCTCCATTTTGACAGGGTGATCCTAGACATTCGTTTATATCTTCTTCACAAAATTCTCCAGTCCATCCTGCAAAAAAAAATTTCTATTGAGAATTTAATTCAAATTAATATTCGGTAATTAAATAAAAAAAATTTTTTAATTATCTGGTATAGATATTCTCTATACGTACCTTCTGGGCATCGGCAAGAAAATGTCGATCCCGGGCCTTCCACGCACTCGCCGGAATTTTTGCAAATTGTTTCATTACAAACGGAAACATCAATTTCACAATATTCGCCTGAAAAATTACAGAAATTTGTTATTAATTATATTTCTTGGTAAATTATGATTGTAATTATAATTTTATAAATTATATGAAAAGAAAACCTGAATATCCTTCAGGACATTGGCACATAAATCCATTGTAATCCACACAAGTTCCATTATTCAGACACGGTTGATTTAAACATTCGCTGTATTTTTGCTCACAATTAGAACCTATTTAAATTTAAAACAATTGAAAATTAATTTAAGTATCTTGATTTTAAAGAATTTTAATAAAAATATTGCCAAGAATTAAATTATTTTCAATACAATTTTATTTACATTTTCTCAAAAGAATTTAATTATTTTCAAATTTTTTTTATAAATACTTTACAAGAATTTAATTAATTTAAAAATTTTATAAACATTTAAGAAGAAAAATTATTTAAAAAGTTAGGAAACAAAAAAGGAATACAACGATTATTAATATAGATTATAAATATTAGAAGGCTGAATTAAGATAAAAAAATTATTTCTATTATATAATCTTAATATTAATATGATTATTTTTTTATTTCAGAAATTAGATAATTTATTCTTACCGACGAAGCCTTCAGGACATGAACAATTGTAGGCTGCAACAGCATCATAACATGTAGCACCATTTTCACAAGGATTAGACCAACAATCATCAAAATTAATTTCACAGTTGAGTCCCGTATAGCCATCGATACAGTAGCACGAGTATGAGCTATTTTAAAATAATTTTCTTTTAATTACGTACACAATATAAATTATTTATAAATTATTTATAAATTTTACTTAATTTTAATATTGAATTTGCCATTTCTATAATTTTATTTATTTTCATATCAATTTCAAACAAAAATTTGTTACACTTTTGAAATATGTAACCTTTTTTTTGTTATTAGATTTTAAACTAATTATTATAATGATCAAGACTTTGCTTGTAAATATTTGAAAAAAAAATAATTACAAATTTTATAGAAAAGAAATTTTTCAAATTTCGAAAAAATACATTTTGTTTTTATATTTACCTGTTGTTTTCGTCTAAACAGATACCATTCACACAAGGATGAGAATTACAATGAATCGTCGACGAAACTGTGATGATAAAAAAAGTGGAGAGTAAAATTAAAATAATCTTGTTCCTTCCCTCGAGCAAACATTTTGAAAATCTGAAAACAAAACGAATTTTTTGATTAAATTAATTATTAAATTTTATAATTCTGCGAATAAAAAATTTCTTTCAAGAGAAAAAAGTACTTTAAAAAAAATTCTTCACATAATTAAAAATTGTTTCCAGAACTAAGAAATTGAAATTATTATTAAATTAATAATTAATCAAATAGAAAATTGCTTTCAAGAAAGAAAATTACTTTAAAGAAAAATCTTCAAACAATTAAAAATTGTTTCCAAAACTAAGAACTAGAAATTAATTTAATTATTAAATTAATAATTATTCAAATAGAAAATTGCTTTCAAGAAAGAAAATTACTTTAAAAAAAAATTCTTCAAGCTATTAAAAACTATTTTCAGAACTAAGAACTTAAAATTAATAGAAGTTAAATATTAAATTACTTTTCAATTAAGTACTGATAACAGTAATTAAACAATTAATTATTAATTAAAATAAAAATGAAAAAAAGAAAGGAGAAAAATAAAAAAAATGTAATAAATTTTTTCTAATATTTCAAAAAAATAATTTGTCTTAAGGACATAAATACAGGTTTTTCCCTTTTGTGATAACAACTTCCTTAGTTAAGTACAATGATCCCTTTGGTCATCTATATTGTGTAACATGCATACAATTATGACGTCACAATGTTTTCGAAACGAAATGTTTCTGCCGGCAAAAAAAATCCAAGTGCAATTTAGTCGCGAATTCTACAAACCGCGAAATGAAAAGAAAAGAGATGTTTTCAAAGAGAAAATATTTCAACTTATTCTATAATTAAAGGATTAAATTAAATTTACCTGAACATATTTTATCGATCACTATGGTTTCATAAAAAAAAGTTGTCTATAAACTTAGTACTATTATGTTAGACACATTCAACAACTACAATTGTTTCCGTGGTAACGTATAAACAACAAAAGGGTGTAGAAAGAATTAAAATACGCTTGCGTCAACAATAAAATAAATCTTTGATTGATATTTGATAATAAATAAATAAACAAAGAAATAAATTAAATTACAATAACTTTTATCTACCTTTAACACGCGAAGAATATTTTTGAAATTTTTTCGACTATTTTTCTACATATATATCGTTCTTATTCTTTTATCTTTAAAAAAATTTGTTGTTTTTCTTTTAATTTAATTAAAAATAAAAATAATTCAGTTAATTAATTAAAGTAAAGTAGAAGTAAAATTATTTCTTGTCTGGAGAAATTTGCAATTTATTGCATAAAAAAAATAATGAATTAGATAAAATAAAATACAAGTAAATTTAAAAATCTATTGTTAAATAATTGTTTAAAATAACAAAATAAAATTTAAAAATTACCTGAAACAAATTCTTTTGTTATTTTCATTCTGGACGGTGAAATGTTTTAAATTGTAAGGGCGACGATTATTCAAGACTCGAGACATTCAATAGAGAATTAATTTTTTTTTTAATCGACATGACACTCAACTCTTGGCGATTGGTCCACGAAGTTTGAAAAAATATTTTCCAATATGTGCAAATTGTTATAAAACTCAATTGTTCGTCTTTTCCTGTATAACGGAGGATATGGACTTCCTGTTCGTTCTAATGAATGAGAAAATTCCCCTCAATATTCATTCAGAATTGCATTATTTGTAAAAGTCAAATTTCAAGTTCAATTTGTTCCACTAAAAATGTTTATATTTTCTCCTCTTCCAAAAATGTGTCATTCTAATAAAATTATTTATACCTGTAGAATAACATTTTTAAATATCAAGGATAAATTACATTTCTTTCTATTAATTACATTTATCTAATTTTCTATTAATTCTAATAAATTTCTAATAGTTAATTTCTATAATATTTTATTTTACAGATAAAAATGAATAGCTAAGTAACAAAAAAGGATATTTTAATAATAAAAAATATAATTGATATTTACTTACCTTCGCCCATGATTTATTAAGCCGGTTTAATTGTTACTTATTTTTTGTATAATGCATTAAAAATATAGTATAAAATACAAGAAAATATATTTACTGACGATTTTTTACCACTATTTATAATTATACGGCAACAATAATTATTGTTTTAACTAATTTTCTACTTTTGTTATGCAATTTGCAAGTATTTTGAGGTTATGTGGGTTAAATTTTAATTTTGCAACGATTTTTCAATTGAATAACAAATATATTTCGTATATCTGCTGCTCTCAATTATTTTAAACCTTTTAATTAGTTTCACGGATAAAACACACTTATTTTCAGTAATTAATAAGTTAATAATAATTGTTTGTTTACGTTTTTCACGTATTTTGACCGTTGGATCTAACCCCTAAATGTAGGCAATTCGAATTACTATTCATGTACGACCAATCAAATTGCCCCTTTAGCCATTACTTGTATATTTTAAATTTTCGCGGGCAGTATCAGGAGTACAGCAGAACCAAACAGAGGTTGCGCATTCTCTTAGAAAATAATAAAGAAGCATTCTTATTGGTCGATTAATATTCTATATTCCTATTCCGAGTCTTTCAAATTTTGAATGAAAATGCGCCAGTAATTCCTATACTGTATCAGGAACAGATGCATATTCCTTAAATAAGAAGTGGCACGAAAAGTAAACAATTTATAGGTTAGAATCATCTGTCAAAGTGATCGCAACAATCGCAACTCTGTTTGTGCACATATTTTAACAATATACAAAAAAATTATTTAACATTCGTCTGCAATTAAATTCTAATACTTCCAAAAATTAAAAATAAAAAAAAACACAAAGTCGGATTCACTTGACATGCAAGTTTCTAACCCTAGAAAATAAAAATATCCACAAACTTCTCACAGCGATTGGTTGAATTTTAAAAGTCACGCATGTGAAATACATTTAATACATTTAATTACCTGCATCACACTTTAAATTGATTTTTTTTTGTCATTTTAAAGATGTACTGCCTGACATTTGACAGCTAAACAATACACATTTTTTTCCAAGTGTTCAAAGTAGGTAAAGAAAAAAAATGAATTTATTGTTACAATCCATTTTATAAATATAAAAAATAAAAGACTACACTAAAAGCATCAAGAATTGACTAGTTTTAACAGAAAAAATAATTGTCTTTTTTGTTAAAAATAATATACAAAAAGTGACAATAATGAGTATTATAAAGGAAAAAAATAAAGAGAATGTTGCATTAAATAGTTGTGAAGAAGACAAGGATGATAATGATAATGGAAATAATGAAAATAATTATGTTACGCCTGAAATGGTCCTTCGACTACCAACAATTACAGACAGTGAGTATTTGTTATAAAAAGCTGACGTGTCTTTTTATCATGTCTTCTCTATTTATAAAAATAAGATTTTTAATTCTTTTCTTCTAATTTTTCATCTTAGTTTATTTCGTTTATAAAAAAACGTTTCAAGAAAATGTTAAAATATTAAAGAAATAAGAAAAAAAATTTCAATTTTAATTTGTTGATTTTGATTATTTCTCCTATTTTTCAGAATATTTTTGCCTACCAGAAAAAAATACCTACGAAATTGATTTCACACGATTTCAAATAAGAGACTTGGAGACTGGAACAGTTCTCTTTGAAATTGCAAAGCCACCTGTGAATGGTAAGAATTTTGTCAAAATTCTTCACGAATATTCAATTATTTTCTAAAATAATGAAAATTCCACAGGAATTCAATTATTAAAAATAGAATTTTCATAAATTTTTTCTAAAAAACAAATGTTTGAAACCTTTTTATAAATTTCTTCGCAATAATTCAATTATTTTCATAAATATAATAAAACTCGTTGTAGAATTTAAAATTTAAATTAGTTTTAATACAATTTTTATCGAATTCCTTGTAAAATGTAATTATTCTTAAAAATTTTATTAAAATTTGTGTAAAGAATTCAATTATTTAAATAAATTATCTATGTTTTTATTTAAATAATTGAATTTTCATAGAATTTTCTAATAAAAATGGATTTAAAAATTAATTTTAGATACAGTTGTAGATAATTAATTGAATTTTGAAAAAGTTACTAGTTATTACAATTTTTAGAAATAATTGAATTCTGTAAAAGTTTGAAATTAAAATCTTTAAAAATCTTAATTTTTTATACTTTCAACTAATAATTCTGTAGAATTAATATTTTTTAAAAAGTTTAATTAATTTTTTCTAAAATTATTTGAAGTTTTGATTTTCTAATACATAATTGAAGAATTTTCGAATAATCGAAATTTCGTTTGTGGCAACCCTGTAAAAACAATTTATTTTCCACGAATTAGAACATGATACACCGCGTAAGGAACCACAGCAGGATGAGGCTGGTCGTTTAGATCCAAATGCTGGACGTTTTGTTCGATATCAATTTACGCCACAATTTTTAAAATTAAAAACTGTTGGCGCAACTGTCGAATTTCTAGTTGGAAATCAACCAGTCAATAATTTAAGAATGATTGAACGTCACTTTTTTCGTGACCGATTACTAAAGACGTTTGATTTTGAATTTGGCTTTTGCATACCGAATAGTAAAAATACATGCGAACATATTTACGAATTTCCAACACTTCCTGCTGATTTGAGTAAGTATTTCTTTTTTCGAAACTATTCTAAAATATTTTTTTCCCTTCTTTTGATTTTGTATTCAAAAGTAACTTACTCACAGAAAATATTTGTTTTTCCTTTTTTTAAAGTATAAAAATTTTCAAATAAGAAAAAATCTAATATCGTTTTTTAATAGTTGCAGAAATGATAGCGAATCCATTCGAAACGAGATCTGATTCTTTTTATTTTGTTGACAATCGATTGATAATGCACAATAAAGCAGATTACGCTTATAATGGAGGAATGGAAAAGAAAGACTAAAAAAAGAACTTCAAAACTGAAAAAAAATTTAAATAGTATTCTTTAGATTTTTCATACGTGTGTGAAAATACTTTTTGAAAAAAAGAATTTTCAACAATCTCACTGCAATCTTTATATTTTTCAACAAAAAAAAATCACTGTAATTCTCACTTTTGAAGTTTTGTTTTCAAGTGCGTTACTCAATTTTTAGAAGCACATTATTTTTGTATACTATTTTCTTTCAAGATTTTCTTAATTTGAAATTAAGAAAATTGAATTCACTTTTACACTTATAAAATTGTGATAATTGTACAAAATATTTAATTTTACTATAATAATGTACATAGAGAATAAGCTTTCTAGGCTATTATGAAATTTGCACATTCTATTTTCAATTTGTTTTTACTTCGATGATGATGATGAAAAAATGAAAATATACACACTGTTAATTCACCTCTGAATTTGTGTTTTCGAAAAAAATTTTCCTTCTCTATTCCTTAATTAAGTTTTATTAAAATTTCAATAATTTACAAATATTTTTTTTTCCAGTTCATTCTTTAAAAGTCTTCCGTTCTGGAAGATTTTTTCTATTTTCTTTTTTGGTTAATTATTAGTGAATTCTTTAATTAACGGTTCCTTGATGAAAGTGATGACATTGTTCAAAAATTCACCGGGTTTATCAACATGTACCCAATGTCCTGCTTCTGCTATATAATGAAATTCGGCGGTGGGGAAAAATTTTCTAATTCTCTCGTGATCTGATTTCTTTAAATAATCACTTTCCTCGCCACCGATAAATATCGTTGGTCCCGTGTAAACACGATCTTCCACTTGTGGAAACACAGCGATATTCGATGCGAAATTTTGTTCTAAAATTGGTAAATTCACTCGCCATTTATAAACACCAGCCTTCGCTTCTACAAGATTCATGAGCAAAAACTGAAAATAATTATTAAGAATTATTCTTTTTGTTACTTTTTTTTTGTCTGTATTTAATAAAGAAATTAGAAAATGAAATGAGGGATAAAAAAAATTCCTACCTGACGAATTCTCTCCGAGGGAATTGACTGTGACAATTGTTCGTCAGCAATTTTTCGTGCCTTCGATAATGTCAAAATACCATCGAGTGTCACTGTTTTCATTGCGTGAAATAATTTAATCATTTCAGTGAGACTTGGACTCACTCTCACTGGTGACATATCGACGACAATTAATTTTTCAATTAATTGAGGATAATTTAATGCCACATACATCATTGTACTTCCGCCCATACTGTGTCCAATTAAAATAACTTTCTTCAAATCTACATCTTTTATTAATTGCACAATATCTTCAGACATATGTGAATATGACATGTCTGTAGAATGAGGCGAATCTCCATGATTTCTTGCATCAACAGTTATCACCTATATGCGTTTTAATTGATAATTTTTAATAAATTATACACTTATATTTCGATCGGCAAAAAAAACTCTTCTCTTTTTTTTCAAATCACGCAACGATTCCTTTCATAAAAGAACTTTTATTTTCTTTCCTTTTTTTCCATAAAAAAATATATATTAATTTCTCTAAATTATACCTTACGACCAGTTTGTTGATGAATTGTTTTTGACAATGAATTCCAATTATTTTTTGATCCAAGCAAACCGTGCATTATTATAACTGGACACAAATTCGACGTTTGTGTCACATCTTTTATTGACTCGTAGGAAATAAAGGCTAATTTAACAGGTCGTGATCTGTAAACATTTTAATTCATTAATTAAATATCTAATTAATTAAATACAATTAAATACAATTTTTTTAATAATAATATTGCAAATAAGAATTTAAAAAACAGTATTAATAACAAGTTAACGTAACTTGTTTCAATGAATAATAAATAATAGTAATATTAATAATAATAATAAAAACAATAATAATAATTCAATTATGAATAGTAGTTATTTTAATTATTTATTAATTATTTATATACTCACTGTACAGAAAGAGATCGATAATCTTTAAACCGAAGGTGTTTAATTCGTTTAATTGATGTAACCGGTGAACTAAGATTCTGAAGACACTGTGTGGAGAAATGTCGTAAACGAAATATCATTTTTTCCTTTGTTTTGTATTATTTATTTATTATTTATATTTATTATTATAAAAATAGTTTTCGAAAAATTAAAAAAACATTTTTTAGGTTATGTTTATATCGTCTGCTAGATAGGTAAACTGTGAAGTTGTCTGTAAATGATTGATTCACCAATGAGCGTTGAGCACGTTCTGAGTGCACCTTAAAGTTTTGATGCTATTGCGTCCGTCACAATGGTATCATATCATCAGTGTACATTTAAACATGGCGGACAAAAACATTGTCGAAACATTAAAGGATGATTCTCCAGCAAAAAAAAGGCAAAAAGTGGATCCTGATAATCCTGAAAATGACACAAGTATACATAAGGGTGTTATTAAATTATCAAATTTTCAAATGAAACGCATCCTCAATGTAAATAGTACAAGAAAGCAAGTTATTATTGAAGGCAATTTTGCCGGCCACGATAGTTCGGCAATTGTTATTTTTGAAAAAAAATGCTTTCCCACTGAGGAAATATTTCTAAATCGTGGATTTCTCAATGAGGGTACAATTGTTCGGCAAAATTTCCGAAATGGAATTTATGGGAATTATGAGTGTTTTCCGACAAGGGAGCATAATGGTAAGTATATTTGTTTGCACTCACTATTCTCATTTGATAAATAGTTTTTTTTAATTATTGTTCGTCCTTTGTTTTTCAAGGTGTCAATGCAATTGTTATTCATCCCGCTACCCAATCACACGTAGACAAATATTCCATAAAAGAACTTCATTTCGTAGAAGAGACTTACGAGATCTATAAAAATATAACACTTCCTTTTATAGAATCACAACAATTCTCCTTAACAGTAAGTTAATTAATTATATATTCGGAATTATTATAAAATATTTAAATTATTAATTAATAAAAGAATTACAAAATTCTAATAGTTGGGATTCAATCTTGAATATTATGAATTATATTTGTTTGCAGTGGGTGGACAATATTTTGGAGCACAAAGCTGAACAGGGCAGAATAATTTATGAGGATAAAGATAAAGAAAATGGTTTTATCATGTTACCTGATCTCAAATGGGACGGTAGTCCAGAGTCCTTGAATATTTTGGTACTCTCATTGAAGAGAATTAAATCAATTAGAGAGCTTAATGCTTCACATTTGCCATTGCTTAAGAACATTCGAGACGTGGGAATTGAGACAATTCGTAAAAAGTACAATATCAGTGCAGATCGTCTCCGACTTTATTTACATTATCGTCCGTCTTATTATCACCTTCACGTTCATATCACGTACATTATGTTCGACAGTCCAGGTAAATTTTTTATTCTTAACAGTTTACTGTTTATTATAATTTCAGGCCTCGGATATTATGACTTTTTTCAAGTATTTTAAAAAAAAATGACAAATAAATAATAATAATAATTATTTAAATATTTATTTAATAAAATTATTCAAGTTTTGAATAATTTAATTTTGAAATCAGTGAAAGGGGAAAATCAGAAGAAAACAAAATAAAATTCTTGTGAAATTATTGCATATGAATTAAATAAACAACTTTTTCGACTTTTTTTGTATTTTTAATCGACTAAAAAGACTATTTTTTGCTCCTTAAAGTCTATCCGAGGCCTGTAAATTCTCAAGTTTTTTCTAGAAAGTCTTTCTAATAAAAAAAAAATATTTCCACAGGAATATTTGTCGAGAAGGCACATTTACTTTCCACGGTAATTGGAAATATCGAAATGATGCCCGATTACTATCAAAAAGTAACTCTAACATTTACCGTAGCGGAAAATGATCCTCTGTACAAAAAATATCAGGAACATGGAGTTCTACCCAAGGATGAAACTTCTAATAATAGTTAGATATTGGAAGTAAGTGACGTACAATCATTTTTTTTTTCTATAAATTTACATTAATTCAACAAAAATCAGTCTTTTTTGGACTCTGATATTTTTTATTTTCTTTTCTCCGACTGACAAAAAAAAATTGTCGAAAAAAATTTGTTGACTACGAATAATAAAAGAAAACAAAACACAGATAGTTTTGTTAAAGTATATTTATTAACAAAAGTAAAGATTCTACAAGTTTGCATTAATACTTTCTTCTCTTAAATTTGCGTATATTTTTCACTTTTACACACGACGTTGAATATTAAAACATTGTCTTTTTATTAAAAAGAATGTTATCACACGAGAAGCTTCCAGAAAGCTTTTCACTTTTCTTTTTGTGCTTCAATAAACTGTGTACCGGGCATTTCCACGAAAAAATTGTCCGTGCATCTCTTCTAATTAATATAGAAGCAAAAAATTGACTTGAAAATTTCAAATTAGTTTTTAATTTTCAGCATAATATTAAATTCTTTTATCATCCAGCGGATAGAATTTCTTTTCGTGGAAATGCCCTACTAGTCAATTACATCGAAATTATAGATTATTTTTTTTCAACTAACGAAACTTATCAATAAATAATGCAGACTCTTCATTTATAACTATTCTTAAAATTAAACCATACAATTTTTATTTAAAAACCGTTATGACGTCTGCTTTCTTAAAAATACATTTTTTCTTTCATCAATTTCATTATTGACTTTCTATGAATTTAGAAAATGACAAAAAGTCTCATGAACCTAATCGTACCTTTTTTGAAAATTTAATCAAAATGTCGAGAATTAAAAACTTGTTTAAAAATAATTACAATTAATAAAATTCTAAAAATCTAAAAATAAATAATTAAAAGAAAAATTTAACAATAAACACAATATTGTTCATTTTGAATTTCGATTTACAGTAAAATTCCTTTTTCATTGATCGATAAATGCATATTAAATATTACATATTCGAAATACACTAGACAAAATTTAGAAAAGTATCTTTCAGACACTGTTGATTTAACCAAAAAAAAAATACTCTACATATTTCAAATAACAATTTGGCACGATACGAAACCATTCTATATTTCTTAATTTTTTACACACTTTTCAAGTTTTTAAGCAAAAGTAAGTAAATTAGAGTAGAGTAAGTTAAAAATTGGACTAGAAAAATATTTTCCTGAGAAAAAAAAAATTTTCATCACATTTGCAAAGATAAAAACTTTTTTTTTTAATTAACAGTAGATAAATCTAATCGTAGGATTTTTTTAAAATCCAATTTTTTACGGTTTCTTTTTCTTTTTTTTTGAAATATTGTATACACGATTTAAACTATCTGTGAGGAGCATATGAAATTTTTTTTTTTTTGCATTCGATTTTTTTTTAAATAAAAAAAAAAAGAAAAAAAAGTCAATGCATTACTTATGTAACTATTATATACGTACCTATTATACAAATGTGTGAATTACATTATTGTAAAGTACGTTATTAAAATAATGGAGAGAGAAAGAGACAATCCTTTCTTTCTTATTTGCGTATTCACTAAAAATTATTTTACAAATGATGTCGACTGTAGAGAAATAAAATATTTCCCTTTATCACTGTATCGTCTCACTTTTTCCTCTCTTTATTCTTCTTCATTTTTGTGATTTGAGAATGACAGCTCTTCACTGACTAGTTTATTTTTATGTTCTTTTTTTTTGGCAAAACTCACTCGCAGTTTATTAATTTGTTCCTGTAAAACAAATTTGCTTCGATTAATTAAATAATGATGATAAAATATGTCTCATTTAGAAAAATGTTAATTACCTCATGTTTTCACTTTCAAGCCACTTTTGATGAATCCATTTCGGTTTTTGCCATTTTTCGCAAAGCCGTTCACTTTTCCCTTTCGATGCTCGAATAAAACATCATCTGAATCCGTGTCTGATTCTGATAAAACCATTTTGTGCGGCGAGACTAAAAAGAAAATTGTTTTCGATAAACGAAAATTTATCTTATTACACAATCGAAGTATTTTAATCTTGAAAAATAATTTTCAGTTAATTGTCTTTTAATAAGAATTTTATAAGGAGAAATTTGTAGACACCTTGTATTATTTTCTTACTGAATTAATTCAAAATCTAAACGAATTTAATCGAAATAAAATCAATAAAATTATGGAGAAAATGTTAAATATAATTTAATTTAAAATTAATTGAAAATTTTTGAAAACTTACATGTACTGCTTTCTTCATCAGCGTCCGGTTGAAGAAGTGAATAACGAGGCGGTTTCTTCTTCGAGCGAGAATTTCGCTTTTTTCCAGTACAAATTCTCTGGCATAAACATATTAATCCCCATAGGAATCCCACCCAGCATAAAACCAAAGAAAGTAAAGCTATTATCACGTACAAAATACTCCAATCTGTAAAAAATGGTTTTTTATTTATTTTACAATTAAACGAAAAAATTGGAGCGAATCAAAGGAATAAATCTTTTACATATAAATTTCTTACCACAATTCGATTCACCATTGCCAAAGTATTTTTGAATTAGATTTTGCATCCAAAATGCCTCGCACATGCATTCTCTTGTTTCTTCATCGCAACCCCCGTGTCCTGAATGGAGAAAATAATTAAAAATTTGTAATTTCGAATTTATTCCACTCTTCTTGGTAGTTAATAATTAAAAATTCTTCGTTAATTAAAAATTTGCTATTACTATTTATTTAAATACTATTTTATTCTTATTAAATAGAATGTTTTCATATTATTGTTTAAAATACCACTTTAGTTAAAAAAACGAATAAAAAATTTATCAAAAATAGATAAAAAAAAATATATAAAATATTCAAAAGGAAATAATTATAATATATATTATAATTATTATATAATATATTATAATTAAATTTGTTTACCGGAACAATTATTCTGGCATTTGGCAGTTTCAATTCTAGCAACTGACAATTGTAAAATTCCCGAATCTTGTCTCATTTTCTCCTTCAATTTGTCAACAACTTCTGGTCCAGTCATTGTTGATTTTCCATCTTTTTTCTCGACGTAGAAAAAGATAATGAGTTTTCCAGTTCTTGGCTCTGATTTTAAGTTTCGAACGACAATTGTCACTTCCTCGCGAAGCAACATTTGTAATTTGACAACTAGAGAATTTTTTTGTGATTCAGTTATTAAATGAGCTCCAACATTTAACGTCAGCTCAACTAAATTATAGAGTTGTGGATCTGAAAAAAGTTTACGTTATTCGTATTAAATAATTCGTGGCGTAATTTTAATCGAATTTATTATTTAAAAACTAAAGTATCGATTTGAATTATATTAAATTAAAATATTTTTACTTTCTTCTACTTTACTTTAATCAAAAATAAAAATTCTTTAATTTGAAGAATCATTTTGTGATTGAACAAAATTTTAAATTCATATTTAGAATTTAGTTAATTCAATTTTTACCAGGTTTTATAATAACAGAGACTGTATCCTCATTAGTGAGACCATCATCGTCTATTACTTTCAATTTAAAAACATATCTGCCTGGAACAACGTCTGTTAGCTGAAAAAGAAACATTTCATTTGATGAGCTCTTGATGAAAAAATCTTTCGAAAATTTTTAATTCGTTATAGTTTTCTAAGAATTTACTCAAGTGAAGTGAAACGAAACATCCCAAGAAATTTATGTATATTTCTTTAATAATATATAATACAAAAAAAAAAATAAATTAAAATTCTGTAATTTTAATAAATTAAATTTTTAGGTTTAAATAAATAAAAATACTGACTATTAAAATTGGAGATTTATCAGTTCCCTCAACGATAGAACCAATAGCAAGACTCGTTGGTTCTCGAGTCCATAACCATTGCGCTATTCTTAAATCATCACTGGATTGTGAACCATTTAATATCACAGCCGCAATTGGAGCAACAAATGTCTGATCACCGCCGGCGTTTGCTTTCGGCGGAGCATTTTTCGCTGAAAAAATATAAATTTTAAAATTTCTACTATTTTTTGATGTTTAATTTATGAAAATACTTACTTTGCGTTACTCTCACTTTCACTTTATCAGAATCCTTATTTCCATTATCGTCAATAACAGTTAATTTGAATTCGTAATCTCCTTTAGTAAGTTTCGTAATGTTCGTTATACTTTCGTTAACTGCACGAAATTCCGCCTTACTGGGTCCTCTTAATTGAAAAATTGATTATTAACCATTAATACAATTCGTTGAATAAAGTAAAATAAAAAAATTAATAACCAATGAATAATTCGTTAGGTTATTAACTGTTTTTATTTTATTCATTAGATTATTAATTTTTTTTATTTTATTCATTAGGTTGTTAATATTTTTTTCAGATTGGTAAAAATATTCTCACCGTATTTGTTCCCAATGATAGGAAACAATTTTAATATCGTCCTTACTGCGACTGCCATTCAGAACAGTTTCAGTTTGTGGTAGAGCAATTGTTATGTCATCTCCAGCATTTGCTGTAAAAAAATCAATTTTGTAATTGTAAATATTATTAATATTTATTAATAATTAATTAACTAATTTTGTAAATAATGGGACTTCTTTGCAATAATTTACCTTTTGGAGGTTTATTAGTGGGTGGTTTAACGAAAACATGAACTTCCGCCGTCGACGACTGATCCGAATTGTCAGTGACTTTCAAAACAAACGTGTACATTCCCTCTTCTAAATTCGACAATTGTAAATACGGCGTTCGCGTATTTTGCATATCAACCGCTTTATTTTGGTCCGATGGACTTTTTGTCCACTGCCAACTTTCGATTCCTCGATCGTCAGTGCTCAAACTTCCATTCAACGTTAAAGTATTTTGCGGTAAGTAAATAATTATATCCTGTCCTGCATTCGCACTTGGCGGATAATCAGTCACTTTCAGGACAGTTATATTTGCCACTGTGAAATTTGTCGCGTGATCCGAATCCTCAACGGTTAATCTAAAAGTAGAAAATAATTTTTTTTTACTTTTCGTTCATTTCATTGTTTTTTAATTTTTCATTTTCTTTATAGTTTTTTATTCACGAAAATAATTTTTCTGAGTGAAAAACTTAAAATGGAAATTTTATAATGAAATATCTACATTTATATAGTAAATAACTAACAAAAGGAAAAAAAAAGTTAGAAGTAAAAAATCGGTTCGTTTGAAGGAAAAGAAAAGGAAAGAAATCAAGGGAAACGTTTATAAGTTTAAAGAGGAAATTAAGAACAAAACATACTTGAAAGTGTAATTTCCGGGAATGAGATTGTCGAGTTGAAGAGTAGGCGTGTCGACAAGATTAGGTTGATAGCCAATAGGTCCTTGTTGGAGTTCCCAATGGTAGGCAATAACTTTATCGTCATCTTTACTTGAAGATCCATCGAGAACGGCTCCGGTATTTGGTAGTTTCACGACTTGCGATGCTGGCGAAATTATTGCAATCGGAGCTTGATTTATCCGTTTTGCTACAAAAATCACAAATTTTATTTTACACTTGTCCTCTACAAGGGGATTTCGAAAAAAAATATTTTTTCTCCTTCAATAATTATAATAATTATATTAATATAGTTAATAATAAAAAATATAGTTAAGTTCATTTCCATAAAATGATGATAAGATTTTTAATGAAAACTTACGTGGTAAAACGCTGACATTTGCATAAGCTTCTCCATAAGCAGTTGGACTATTAACGGCGACTTTAAATTTATACAAGCCCTCAGACAAGTTACTTAATTTAACTGTATTACTATTTTGATCTGTCATAGTGCCTGTGTGTCCTTCCGGTTGACTCAAGAGGCTCCACGCATAATTATAATGTTCCCCTGACAATTCAGCAGGAACTGTAAAAGCCGACAGTGTGACTTCATTTTCAGGAAGTCGCACTTCTTTCGATACGGCAGAAACTAATAGTTGCTTCATTGGGGGTTTTATCGACGACGCACCAGATTCTTTTGTCCCATGATATTGTGCATATTCCGGCGTGACTCCATAGTCGCGATTTTCCTGCTCTTCACTTTGTGTACATAATCCTGCCAATTAAAAATAATTTTAAAAAAGAAAACTAGAACTCAATCAAATAAGGGAAATTAAATATAATTAATATTAATTTAAAGAAGGAAAATTGAATTTTTAAATTAATTTAAAGAAAGAAAATTGAATTTTTAAATTAATTTAAAGAAGGAAAATTAAATTTTCTAATTAATGTAAAGAAGAAAAATTAAATTCTTAATTTAAAAATAAGTCTCAATTTTTTAATAGAATATTTTTTAATCTTTTTGAATAGAAGAATTTAAAAAGAAGTTCACCGGCGATATTTCTAGTAGATCCTCGCGAACACTCACAGATACCAAATTCCGATTTTGTATTTCGTTTCCGGCAGATTTCATTTTCTGCACAATCGGTTTGGCCATTTATGCATCGAACTCCATCGAACCCGAAAACTGCGTGATTTATGTTTTCCACATCCATCAGTCTATTGCTGGAAAAGAAAATTATTCGAAATGATTATATTAATTTATTTTCAAAACTTTTTTAAAAATCTCGTCAACACTTCAATTATCTTTATAAACAGCGAAATTCAATTATGATCAGGAATTTTAATAAAATTCATTGTAAAATTCAATTATTTTCATTAATAACAATATTCATAGTAAGAATTCAATTATATTCCAAAATTAATTAAATTCTTCGCAAAAATTAAATTATTTTCAAAAAATCTAAAAAAAATTGACGTCAAAATTTCAATTATCTTTATAAATGAATAGCGAAATTCTTCGACAAAATTCAATTATTTTCAGGAATCTTAATCAAATTCATTCCAAAATTCAATTATTTTCAGAAATTAATACAATTATTCGACAAAATTCAATTATTTTCAAGAATTTTTTATTAACATCTGATTAAATTCAGGGTTCCTACAGAATCTGAAAATCATGGAAATCATGGAAATGGTATGGAATTTTTAAAAGGCTTCTGGAAATCAGGGAAATCATGGAAAAGGCCTGGAATTTTTAGAATTTTCAAAATTTTTTCTGTTTTCCATTTTTTCTCTTGAATAGAAATTCAAATAATAATAAAGCTAAATGGCATGAAAGACAAGAAAAAATGTTGAATTTTAAGAAATTCGGTTTTTTGAATTTTTCATAATTTTCGATAATTTTAGATTTTTTACCAAAGAGTCGAGACTATTAAATAAGTAAAGTATTTTCCAAGAGCACAAAAATAATGAAGCTAAATCCCTTAAAAAAGAGGAAAAAATGTTGAATTTTAAGAAATTCGGTTTTTTTAATTTTTCATAATTTTCGATAATTTTAGATTTTTTACCAAAGAGTCGAGACTATTAAATAAGTAAAGTATTTTCCAAGAGCACAAAAATAATGAAGCTAAATCCCATAAAAGAGAGCAAAAAATGTTGAATTTTAAGAAATTCGGTTTTTTTAATTTTTCATAATTTTCGATAATTTTAGATTTTTTACCAAAGAGTCGAGACTATTAAATAAGTAAAGTATTTTCCAAGAGCACAAAAATAATGAAGCTAAATCCCATAAAAGAGAGGAAAAAATGTTGTATTTTAAGAAATTTGGATTTTTGAATTTTTGATAATTTTCGATAATTTTAGATTTTTTACCAAAGAGTCGAGACTATTAAATAAGTAAAGTATTTTCCAAGAGCACAAAAATAATGAAGCTAAATCCCATAAAAGAGAGCAAAAAATGTTGAATTTTAAGAAATTCGGGTTTTTGAATTTTTGTTAATTTTCGATAATTTTAGATTTTTTACCAAAGAGTCGAGACTATACAATAATGTAGCTAAATCCCATAAAAGAAAGGAAAAAATGTTGAATTTTAAGAAATTCGGTTTTTTGAATTTTTCATAATTTTCGATAATTTTAGATTTTTTACCAAAGAGTCGAGACTATTAAATAAGTAAAGTATTTTCCAAGAGCACAAAAATAATGAAGCTAAATCCCATAAAAGAGAGCAAAAAATGTTGAATTTTAAGAAATTCGGTTTTTTTAATTTTTCATAATTTTCGATAATTTTAGATTTTTTACCAAAGAGTCGAGACTATTAAATAAGTAAAGTATTTTCCAAGAGCACAAAAATAATGAAGCTAAATCCCATAAAAGAGAGGAAAAAATGTTGTATTTTAAGAAATTTGGATTTTTGAATTTTTGATAATTTTCGATAATTTTAGATTTTTTACCAAAGAGTCGAGACTATTAAATAAGTAAAGTATTTTCCAAGAGCACAAAAATAATGAAGCTAAATCCCATAAAAGAGAGCAAAAAATGTTGAATTTTAAGAAATTCGGGTTTTTGAATTTTTGTTAATTTTCGATAATTTTAGATTTTTTACCAAAGAGTCGAGACTATACAATAATGTAGCTAAATCCCATAAAAGAAAGGAAAAAATGTTGAATTTTAAGAAATTCGGTTTTTTGAATTTTTCATAATTTTCGATAATTTTAGATTTTTTACCAAAGAGTCGAGACTATTAAATAAGTAAAGTATTTTCCAAGAGCACAAAAATAATGAAGCTAAATCCCATAAAAGAGAGCAAAAAATGTTGAATTTTAAGAAATTCGGATTTTTGAATTTTTGAGAATTATGGATAATTTTAGATTTTTTACCAAAGAGTCGAGACTATTAAATAAGTAAAGTATTTTCCAAGAGCACAAAAATAATGAAGCTAAATCCCATAAAAGAGAGGAAAAAATGTTGTATTTTAAGAAATTTGGATTTTTGAATTTTTGATAATTTTCGATAATTTTAGATTTTTTACCAAAGAGTCGAGACTATTAAATAAGTAAAGTATTTTCCAAGAGCACAAAAATAATGAAGCTAAATCCCATAAAAGAGAGCAAAAAATGTTGAATTTTAAGAAATTCGGGTTTTTGAATTTTTGTTAATTTTCGATAATTTTAGATTTTTTACCAAAGAGTCGAGACTATACAATAATGTAGCTAAATCCCATAAAAGAAAGGAAAAAATGTTGAATTTTAAGAAATTCGGTTTTTTGAATTTTTCATAATTTTCGATAATTTTAGATTTTTTACCAAAGAGTCGAGACTATTAAATAAGTAAAGTATTTTCCAAGAGCACAAAAATAATGAAGCTAAATCCCATAAAAGAGAGCAAAAAATGTTGAATTTTAAGAAATTCGGATTTTTGAATTTTTGATAATTATGGATAATTTTAGATTTTTTACCAAAGAGTCGAGACTATTAAATAAGTAAAGTATTTTCCAAGAGCACAAAAATAATGAAGCTAAATCCCATAAAAGAGAGCAAAAAATGTTGAATTTTAAGAAATTCGGATTTTTGAATTTTTGATAATTATGGATAATTTTAGATTTTTTACCAAAGAGTCGAGACTATTAAATAAGTAAAGTATTTTCCAAGAGCACAAAAATCATGAAGCTAAATCCCATAAAAGAGAGCAAAAAATGTTGAATTTTAAGAAATTCGGGTTTTTGAATTTTTGTTAATTTTCGATAATTTTAGATTTTTTACCAAAGAGTCGAGACTATTAAATAAGTAAAGTATTTTCCAAAAGCACAAAAATAGTGAAGCTAAATACCATAAAAAAGAAGAAAAAATGTTGAATTTTAAGAAATTCGGATTTTTGAATTTTTTATAATTTTCGATAATTTTAGATTTTTTACCAAAGAGTCGAGACTATTAAATAAGTAAAGTATTTTCCAAGAGCACAAAAATAATGAAGCTAAATCCCATAAAAGAGAGGAAAGAATGTTGAATTTTAAGAAATTCGGTTTTTTGAATTTTTCATAATTTTAGATTGTTTACCAAAGGGTGGTAACTATTAATTAAGTAAAGTGTTTTTGAAGAGCCCAAAAATAATGAAGCAAAATACTATCAAAGAGAAGAAAAACTGTTGAATTTTAAGAAATTCGGTTTTTCGAATTTTTGATAAATTTTGATAATTTTTAGAATTTTTACCAATGAGTGGAGACTAGTAAATAAGTAAAGTGTTTTTAAAGGGCCCAAAAATAATAAAAATTAGATTTAAAATTTCACTGGAATTTCGTAAAAATTCTTTAGTGTCAGGAAAAAAGTGAAAATTTTCTCTGGATATCCGGGAAAAGTCAGGAAAAAACAAAATTAAAATATTTGTGCCAATCCTGTAAAAAAAAGAAAAAACTATTGAAATTTCCCTAATTTTCCATTGTTGAGAAAATAATTATTTTTTTCGAATTATTAATTTATATTTAAATGATTAATTTTGAATTTATTGAGTTATATACTCGTGACTTAATGTAATGCAAATGAGAGATAATCTCATATTACTCACTCTGTATCCTCCATTTCTAAAATATCTTGCCACTCTTCATCATCCTCTACTGGCTTAACGAGTACCATACTCGGTGGATTATTATTCGCAAATTCTGGTCTATATAATGGTATACACATTTTCGAATTTGCACAACGTACATTATAACATGTACTATTATGAATCATAGCAACATTACATTGCGATTGTTGACAACAATCAGCGACACATTGCTTCAAATTATTTATATCTGCTTTTGGCGTGTAAAACAAATATTCCGTTAAATTACCCAATGGTGCGTAACTTGTGAAAATTTTTGGAAACAATCCTCCACATATCGTCTGTCTCTTCGTCTTCCATTCATATTCACCGAAGCACACACTCAGGAATAGTAAATAACTGACAAAATATATACTTGACATTGTGCTGCAAAAAAAAATTTAATTAATTTTCACTCTTAAAATAAAAAAGCTACGGAAAATGTAGAAACAATTTTTTCAATTCTTTAGGGCAAATTAATCAAAAATAAATTTTGTAAAACATTTAAAACACGTTTATTTCTGATTGAAACTATTGAAGAATTTCACATGTGAGGTTAAGTGTTACGTTCGGAGAACTAAGTATATTTAAGAGGCCGAAAACAAATTTGATTTCGATCTTAGAAATTAGCATAACAAACATATGTTTTCCAGACACATGTATTTTCGTCTTAACATACATTAAATACTAATTATCAACGGCAGAAGTTAATCAAACATAGGGGTCTTTATCTAATTTTACTTCCCGTCAAACCGGAATTTCCTACATTACTATATTGTTAATTGTTGATAAAAACTTCACTAAAAAAAAAGGAAAACTCACCCAACATACAATTTTTGAGGTCGTAAATCTACACCTCTTTTTAATAATATAAAAAACTTTAATCTAACATGTATCCATTTATTTTGATCAATTTTGACAGATAAATGACAGCACCTCTAGTCACTCTTGTCCCTCTAGTCTTGGAAACTGGAACTATTTCTATTTAATGTGAACAATGTGAACGCCACTTTATGTGTTAATGTCACACATACAGTCATACACAAATTCAGAATAATGTATACACATAATAATCAGAGTAATTTGCTATAGCCGTTTTTTTTATTAAAGAATATATTCTTTTTCATTGAATCACGAATGAGTAAATTGTTGTCTTCAACACTTTAAATTTTCAAATTGTCTTTACTTGGTTGCGAAAATTTACAATAGTATAGAAAGTAAATGCTACGGTGAAATTTTGACGTCACAAAAGCAAAATGTCAGACATCGATAAATGGATAGATATTGCTAAAGAATGCAAATACTTACCTGAAAATGATCTCAAGGTAAATAATCAACGTTTTTTTCCATTTTTCCACATTTGGAAATTATTATATTTGCTGTAATTTTGATAAATCTTTGCGATGTTTGCAATCATGACAGTTTATAGGTTACGTACATTTTCCTATTGCTTATCACTTATTAATTCGTTTTTCTTTTCAAAAAACAGAAACTTTGTGACATTGTTTGTGATTTACTGCTAGAGGAGTCCAATATTCAACCAGTTTCTACACCTGTAACCGTCTGTGGAGATATTCATGGCCAGGTTAGTTTAAATTATTTTTTATAACCTCAAAATCAAAGTTTACGATATGGCATCAATTTTTTCGTTATTGTAAATCTGTATTATTTATTATTAAAACTTTCTCTTCTTGTGCTCCTGGTAAATTGCAGTTGTACTCTCTATTAGATGATTAAAACGACAAATCTTCAAACTTTTCTTATTTATCTTCAAAAGTCTTTAAACTAAACAAAAAAAAATTCTTCAGATTTTCTTTTTCAATATTTTGAATTTTAAAAATTGCACTGAAAATTATTAAAATCTTGCAAAGTTTTTATCCGAAAATTTAAAAATAATTATTGTATTTTTCAACAAAAGAAGTATATTTTTTTAGTGAATTTCTATTGATGAAAAATTTAGAATTTGAAATTGTAAAAGTCGAAAAATAATTTAGAAATCGTATTAAAATTTAGTTTTCTTTTTTAATAATAAATATAAATTCCTTTAAAAAAAATGAAGTTAATTGAAGTTAATTTTTTGTAGTTTTACGATCTGGAGGAACTTTTCCGAAATGGAGGTCCCATTCCCGATACAAATTACATATTTATGGGAGATTTTGTGGACCGAGGGTATTACAGTTTAGAAACTTTTACTCGTCTTTTGACATTAAAGGCAAAATGGTCCAACAGAATAACTTTATTGCGAGGAAATCACGAGTCTCGCCAAATTACGCACGTTTATGGATTTTATGGTAAGCTCTCTATTTTCCTATTCATTTTTCACTTTTGAATCGATAAGAATTTAAATTTCTTTTCAAATTTTTCTTCTGCGGCAATGAAACTATTTTTGTTTCAATAATTGCCACCTTAGTTTTTCCTTATAGTGTCTCTTGTGCTTCTTGTGCTCCAAAAATCATTACTCATTCTTTTTTAAATTACGCGGCATTTTTTCTACGCATGTGCCATTTTTTTGTGCTCAATTTGGCAACAGTGTTTAATTATCAGTTTTCGAAAACGTGGTTCTTTTGCGGTTTCTCCGGTTCTTTCAAATTGTTCGAGAATATTTTGTATACTTGAACCCTTTGAATACTTGAATTAAATGATAATTTAGTGTTATACTTATTTAATTGCAATTTGTAAATATATTGCATAATTATGTTTATAACGCCGGAAGTGCACATGTTTTTAAGAAACTAACCTAAAATTTCGAACGAACAACAAACGAAAGTTTCTAAAAATCATTAAAATGTATTATTTAGAAATTTCTGTGATTATAAAAGAACCTCAAATATCGGTGAATTCGAATATAATCGAAACTTGCATAATGAAGTGTTTGAAACAGTTTGTCGGCGAAGAGGGATGCAAGGATAAATTTGAGATTCTCAAGTACGATGATTCTAATCAGAAGATAATTCTTCGTTGTAGTAATGAATCTTACATTCGATTGAGAGCATCTTTGGTACTCAGTAACAATTGCGAAGAGCAGACACCATTTAGTTTTGTAATTAATAGAGCAACGGAAAATTTATTGAGTCTTAGATGTAACAGCAGGACATTCAAGCACGGTGGCAATTAGAAAATACTACTTTTCCTCACACTTTTCTTTAAAGCGCTATTTTTTTTAATTAAATTCCAGACGAGTGTCAAAATAAATATGGAAATGCGAATGCATGGAAATATTGCTGTAGGGTATTTGATCTGCTCACAATTGCTGCCGTAAGTAAACAAAAATTATTTTTTATTTTTCTGTATTGTTGGCGAGTTAATATATTATATTCATTATTTTATTGCAGTTAATCGATGAACAAGTTCTATGTGTACACGGTGGTTTATCTCCATTAATTAGGACATTAGATCAAATTAGAACGATTGAAAGAAATCAGGAAATACCGCATAGAGGTGCATTTTGTGATTTGGTTTGGTCAGATCCTGATGACGTTGACACGTGGACTGTGAGCCCACGTGGAGCGGGTTGGCTCTTTGGGAGTAAGGCAACTCACATGTTCACGGAAATTAATGACCTGAAATTAATTTGTAGAGCGCATCAATTAGTCCAAGAAGGTATATTTTTTTAAATTTTAATGTTAATAAAATATATTTGTCAGTGCTCGAACTAGGATCGTAAATCCCGTAAAGGTCCGTAAATTTGGTTGATAAAGTCAATTCTGTAGAATTAATTTCTTTTTGAGAAAGTTTAATTGTATTTTTTTTAAAATTATTTGTAGTTTTTATTTTCTAACAGATAATATTTTAATTGAAGAATTTCTGAATAATACAAATTTCTGTAAAATTTAATTGTAAACAAATCGGTTTGAAAATTTGCAAAGAATTTTTTTAAAAATTATTAAAAATAATTGTTTTAAAAGAGAATTATAAAAACATTTTAAAATTTAATAATTTAAAAAATTTTAGATACCCTAAAAAACCTGAATTTTGAATAAGTTACAAATGATTACAGAAATTAAATTATTTTCAAAAGTAATAAAATTCTTCACAGAAATTCAATTATGTTCACAAATTATTTAAATTCTCTTCAAAATTTCAATTATCTTTATAAATAATATTCTCCAAAATTCAATTGTTTTCAAAAATTTTAATAAAATTCTTGACAAAATTTCAATTATTTTCAAAAATTTTCCTCAATTCAATGACTTTCGATATCATCTGTTTTAATCAAATTTTTCAAAAGAATTTAATTATTTAAAAAAATGAAATAAAATTCGTTGCAAGAATTTTATTGACTCGGATTGGTTATATTTTTGTCAGTAATTGGTCCGTAATTTTTAATTTTTGATCCGTAAAGTCCGTATTTTTAAATACTTTCATTGGTTCGAGCCCTGATAGTATTTTTCAATTAATATTCAATACTAAAATATAAATTTACCGAATTTTAGGTTATAGGTACATGTTCAATGATAAATTAATAACAGTGTGGTCAGCGCCGAATTATTGTTATCGTTGCGGTAATATTGCGAGTATATTGCAATTCACAACAGTGGACGATAGAAAACCGGTGCTATTTCAAGCGGTGCCAGATTCGGAGCGTGTGATTCCTCCAATAATCACCACACCATATTTTTTGTGATTCAACAATCGACTCCACATGTTTGGATCAAGAAGAGAGGGCCTGATCTAAACTTTATGGAGTTAACATGACTGTTTTCGTGATCTGGTGAATCCGGCAGGTTAAATTTTCCAAATGACGTACCGCAGTTTTATGATAAAAAAAAAATATATTATAGAATCTTTATGTTTCCCTTGGAAAAAAAATTAATTGGATTCCAAGGTTTGGCGAGCGATTTTCGGCGGGAACGACTTAATCATGAGATTACTTATTGAGCTTACGTTCCAAAGGACCTTTTTAAAATGAACACTTGAAAAGAAGGCTGAACCTCCTTTTTTTTTTATTTTTATCGCGATAAATCTGTTGCGATTAGTCCAATCATTTTTTAAATGTGTGGCAGGTTTTGTCGTGCGCATGCAAAATTTAAAAACGCTCTGTGGTCTAGATGCTTTAGCTGCCTCAACACGTTTTTTACGAAACATTTACAACTCGGGAATTTCTTTTCTACTCTTTTTAAAACATTCGAAACTTTTTGACGAAACTCCTGACAAGTTTATTAAGGCAAAAAAAAAACATTCCGTGAAAAACTCGAGATGTAAATGTTACCAGTGCTGTAAAAAAAAGCGTTTGGAATTCAGGTTTCTCCAATCGGGAGCATTTTTAGAAAATAAATAATAAGGTCTTCCTAATAACGCAAAACTTTTTCCGCTTTTCTCAAGTTTTGATCTTTTATTCTCCAAAAACGTCCCTAGTCTTAAATGAATTAAAATATTTGTCTAGTTAGAACAACTAATTTTAGTCAAAAAGGCTGAAAATTGAAAATAAATTTTTACTTTTTTAGTCTTAGCAAACTATACACAGTTCATTATCGACAAAAAGTTTTTTTTATTCAAAATAATAAATTACTTGATTATAATCAAATAAATAAATCACGAGCCATATAATTTTTTATTTAAATACAAGAAATATTTAATTATTTACAATTTGCTTAATAATCGAGTGAAAAATTTGAAAAAGAAAATTTTATTTGTCGTGTCCGGGGGGAGCAACTTTTCAGTAACAAAAAAAAAGCACCGAAACCCTTAGCAAATGTGCCTCTAAATTAATAAGCGTTTGTGTAATATAGCGTTACTGGTAATATTTAATAAAAACGTGAGAAGAATTAGTGAAACCTGAATTTTAAACGCTGACAACGCATTTCCATGTCCCGATCACAGACCCAATTTTTCGATTATTCGTCACTAGGAACAATAATCGAAGAGAAAAACCTTGAACCTGCTCTATTTTCAATTTTGTGATATGGATTGTGCTGAGTCTTGAAAATCGAGAAAATTCTATTATCAAACTCTGTGTGCAAATTTGAAAAAAAAAACATTTTTTTCTCTTCAATTTTCAAACCCCTGAACAGTGCCTTCAAATGTATAAGACGGCAATTTTAAAATAACGTTTTATACCAATAGATTTGTGATCGAGAGGTTGAAAAAAACCGCACTTGTTTTTTGTCATGCTTCCTATTTTTTTATTTTGCAAATAATGTAACAATCGCTGGTACGAGAAATTTTTGTATTTTTATTTTCATAGATAATATTTCAACTAAGTTTATAAAATTTCCAAAACAAAAATTTCGCTAGATTTCTATTTTTGTGAGAAAGAATTTTTTTTCTACGTGGTGCCAATAAGAAATTACAACACGTGCGATTTTTTTTCTTTCAGAAAACAAAAGAAGAAAAACCCTTTTTATATTTTTTCCTATAATTTTTTTAACGTAGGTTTTTTAAAATGCACGGATTTTGTAAACTATTTTTTATCGATGAAGTCATTCTTATTTGAAATTGATTTCTTTAAAGTTAATTAATTTACTAATTCAACTAATAATTTCCATATATAGGAAGATTTTTTTGAAAATTTAAACACAGAGTTGGTGATAGAAAAAAGGAAAATTCGATTGAAAAGTCTCTTATTATAATGATATAGAAATGGCGAGAAAAATGAGAGAGTTGCATGGCGGATTAAAACTTATTGAATGAAAAAAGAAATTTTAGAAAAGTATTAGAATCCGCTGTCGTCTTGCCAATCACAGATTTCTCGCCCACGTGTTTTATGCCTCTGTCTGTGATCGCTTTAAATCTTTTATCAAGATGTCCAAGCGTTTATTAAAAAATAAAAAAATAAAAAAAAAATAATAATATAAATTTTTATTTGGCTTTTGTTTTTTTTGTTACAAAGTTTCCATTAGCGAAAAAAATTCAGAACTTTTTCTTATATTTTAAATAAACGAGAATTAATTTATTTCGAAATAAAATAATTTATTTTAATGACGAAAAAACATATCATTTTTGAAAATTTCAATATTTTCGATAAAATAAATTCAATTTCTAATTTTTTTTAATTCACACTTTGCTTTGTATATATTTTTTTTGCGATTCTTTTAGTTGCGAATCGTCTCTGCTGAATGTTTTCTAATTTTATTAATTTTCACAAAAGCTTTTCTTTATTATTCATCTGCTATAAAAAATCATTCATATAAATGTGCAAACATTGTAAATAATAATCGAAATTTTCAAATAATCACAAATTTTTCTTTGAGAATATTTTTCCATACTGTGTATAATTTTTTTTGTCGAACAATATAAAAAATTTATTCTTCCCTAATATTTTAATCTTTGATTTAGGGAATCAAGTGTATTCTAATATATCGATAAATAGCAAGAGAAAATTGAGTGTGAAATGTTTTTTGTAAACTGCAAACAATGAATTTATTAAGAAGTTTGAAACACGCCTTAAAATGTAAAAAAAGAAATACAAACAAAAGCAACTTTTAAACTAGATGACTTAACATACAACGACTAGATTGTGGTGTAGATTTAAATGAAATTAGCTTCCTTAATATGAATCCCCAGAGACGATTCTCATAAATGAATCGAGACAATTTTTTTTTTTGTTAATAAATCGCACACCAACATTACGTTTGGTCCTTAAAGATCTCACAGGTAGACGTCATATTGTAACGATCATCATGTACCTTGAAAGTATAGAACTTTGTTATGTTAACGTAATGAAACATCTGTAATAAAAAGAAATACCTTATAAAATTATCTATTTATTATAACGTTTGAATATATAATTTAATTTTTTTGCCTTTTTAAACTCAGACGTTTTTTTTGCACGAATTATGAATACTAATTTTTATACACGTTGAATTAATTATTATGATTGTAAAAATTAAATTTACAACAAAATTTTATGTAATTATATTGCAGGATTGCCACAATTATTTTCAAAAATTAATACAATTCTTCCCAGAAATTCAATTATTTTCAAAAAGTCTAAAAAAATTTTCGTCAACATTTCAATTATCTTTATAAACTAATAGCAAAATTCTTCGACAAAATTCAATTATTTTCAGGAATTTTAATAAAATTCAATTATTTTCAGAAATTAATACAATTCTTCGCAGAAATTCAATTATTTTCAGGAATTTTAATATAAATCATTGAAAAATTCAATTATTTTCAAAACTAATATTATTCATCACAAGAATTCAATTATTTTCAAAAATTAATAAAATTCTTCTCAGAAATACAATTATTTTCAAAAAATCTAAAAAAAATTTTCGTCAATATTTCAATTATCTTTGTAAACTAATAGCAAAATTCTTCGACAAAATTCAATTATTTTCAGGAATTTTAATAAAATTCATTGCAAAATTCAATTATTTTCAGAAATTAATACAATTCTTCGACAAAATTCAATTATTTTCAGGAATTTTAATAAAATTCATTGCAAAATTCAATTATTTTCATAAATAACAATACTCATTACAATAATTTAATTAGTTTCAAAAATTTTAATAAAATTCATTGCAAAATTTCAATTATTTTCTAAAATAATGAAAATTTCACAGAAATTCAATTATTAAAAATAGAATTTCCTTAAATTTTTTCGAAAACAACCAATTGTTTGAAACTTTTTTTTATAAAATTCTTCGTAATAATTAAATTATGTTCATAAATGTAATAAAACTCATTTCAGAATTTCAATTATTTTTAATTCAATTTTAATCGAATTTCTCGAAAAATGTTATTATTCTTAAAGAATTTTATTAAGATTCGTCAAAAAAATTCAATTATTTAAAAATTTGTTGATAAAATTATGAATAAGAATTGAGTTTTAGAGAAGTTACTAATAATTGCAATTTTTAGAAATAATTGAATTTTGTAAACGTTTCAAACTAAAATCTTTGAAAATTTGAATTTTCCATACTTTTAATTACAAATTCTATGCAATTAATTTTTTTTTCAATAAACTTAATCGAAATTCTTTCAAAATTATTTTTATTTTCTAATGTAGGTGAAGAATTTTCAAATAATCAAAATTTCACGTATAATTGAATTATAAACAAATGAATTTTAAAATTCTCAAAGAACTTTGTCAAAAGTTATTAAAAATAATTGATTTAAGAAATAATTGTAGTTAAAAAATCTAGAAAATAATAATTGAATTGAAATGAAGATAATAATTTATTAAAGAAGTTACAGTAACAATATTCTTATATATTATATTACCTTTAATTATTAAAAAACAAAAAATTGAATTTGTTTTCGTAAATTAAAGACTTAATACTTAAAAATGGTTAACAAATTATTTCTTTTAATTACCTATGTGGATTCTATGGATTTTAAACATTTTAAATTAATAACGAAAAAAAAATTTGACATAACCTCAAAATCGTGATGTTTTGACGCTTTTAACCAGAGTTGAAATTACATTTCTATATTAATAATATTTTTAGAGAAAATAAATAGACTTATGACTCAGTTGTAAATATTTTTGAATAAACTCGTATGACCGGTGTCAAAAAAAGTTTCAACAATGAAGTTTAGTTGAATGTGGCGCCATCAGTGACGGAAATCACTCGACGAGGACGTCTTCGTCTTCGCCACGGGGAGCGAAATATCATTTCTCTCCTGAACATATTTAAGGGTGGGTCCAACGCATTTTTAACGGAACTATTCTGCATGCGGGTAAGCAGTCTTGTTAACTAAAAAGATCCATTGAATTCGAAAAGAAATAATAAACAGTGTCAGTGTGTAGCTTTCTCGGCGTGTGAATAGGGCGTACCCTGGACGTTGGAAAAAGAGTAGAAAAATTCAAGAGTGTTTTTTATCATTGTATAAAGAATTGTACATGGGATATTTGGAACTCCAGGATTATCCTCGAGGAAAAAAAAACCGGCTCGTACATGGATGAATAATAATATCCTCAATCGAAATACCTCCCTTTCCCCTGTACCCCGTATCCATTTCGTCCCTCTTTCCCCATAACGGCTCCCCCATAAAGTCCACAGCAGTTCATGGCTGCTGCTGCTGCTGCTTTGTAGAGAGGGGGAAAAACAAGCGGCCCTGTCTGCTTGAAATTGGAGTACTTTATGAAGGAATATGTCAAGTTTAAAAATCGGTAAGTGTCAGATCAGCTGTCATTTGGCCATCATTTAGTTTAGTAGCACTTAGTTTTTTGAGTTCTGTGAATTTTTATGTTGTATTTCCTGCCGGAAGCCCTCTACGATCTGTGTGCATTCTGATGAAATGCGACAGTTTTTCGGTATTTTTTTTACCTATTTCTTTATAAAGTATTTATTCTCTTTAAACTTTAAAACATTTTTTTTGTCAATCAAAATTTTTTTTTTCAATTTTTGGAAATTTTACTCTTAGAATTTAGTTTTTAAAAGTACAAATTTGGTGAAGTGTTTATTTCCTTAAGTGTTTGTTATTATTTAAAATCTATTTTTGGAAATTTTCCTAAAAAAAAAATGAGAATGTAAAAGGAAGAATTTAAATACAAAGTAAAAACGTAGAGTAGCCTATGAATCATCACTCTGATAAACTGGATGGACTTGTGACATTTTTATCTATTTCTATTTTATTCTAATGATACTAAATAACAATTAACAGAGTAAAAATTATTTTTAAACTTTCATGGTCAGAAATAAACAATATACTTATTACAATGTAATATTCGTCGTGTGCACAGAGCGTTGAATTTCTAATGACATCTTTTACGAGATAGTTCCATTGTTTTAGTTTTTTTTTAAAGTATTATATAAACATCACATGCATTTAAAGCTTTTAATATCTAGTTTATTGGGCGAAAATAAACATAGTATAATTGTAAATCGATAAGTATTTTGTGAACTTGTTGAAATCGAAATCGTTGAGAGTTGAATTCCAAATGTCAAGTTTGAGGTTAGAATTATTGATTTTCAGTGCTTATACCAGAAATAACTTTACGAATTTTAATTCACTCTGTTCAAGTTCATGTTAACTTTTTAAATTCTATATGATAAGACAAGAATATTTCGTTTCTTTGAACTAATTATTTACTTTTTTCAATTTAATTATTCACTTTTTTTTCAAATAAAAAGTTGGATGAATTTTTAAATAACATATTGTTTATTTGATTTTAAAACAAAATGAATGACAATGCAGTATAAGAATTGATAAAACTTGTGATAATATTTTTGTAAGCAAACTTAAAAGTGATTCAGATTTTGTTTAATGAATCATAAAAGTCTTTTCAAAAACTTCTGTATTTTATCTGCAGTGAAAGTAAATAAAATATTGGTCTTGTTAATGTTTGAGTTGCACGATAAATTATTTTTTGGATGATACAACACGTATTGTTTCAATTAAGATTTCCGAATTTATTTATTTTTTCAGTTAATCATTTATCAAACTTTTAGTCTTCAGTATGTATGTAATTTATTTTCATTCGTTCTTTTTAACGATTTCCAAATAATTTTTTGACACTTAGAAATATGTATTTATACACAGGGTTGTCATAGGTCAGGAAAATAAGGGGAAAATCAGAGATTTTTTTATTAAAATACTGGAAAAAATTGAATTTTGGAAGACATGATTGCAGAAATTCGATTATTTTCAAAAGTAATAAAATTCTTTGTAGAAATTCAATTATGTTGAAATATTTTTAAATATTCTCTTCAACATTTCAATTATCTTTATACAAAATGAATAGCAAAATTCTTCGATAAAATTAAATTATTTTCAGGAATTTTAATATAATTCATGGCAAAGTTTCAATTATTTTCAAAAATTGTCCTCAATTAAATGATTTTCAATATCTACTATTTTAATACAATTTTTCAAAAGAATTCAATTATTTTAAAACAAATGTTGATAACATTCTAGGCCAACATTTAATTATTTTCATAAATAATAAAAATTTCACAGGAATTCAACTATTTACAAAATTTTTATAAATATCTTCGCAATAATTCAATTATTTTCATAAATAATAAAACTCATCATAGAATTTCAATTATTTTTAATACAATTTTAATCGAATTCTTCGAAAAATGTAATTAAATTAAAAAAATTAATTAAAAATTTAAAAAATTAATTAAATTTTAAGAAGCATTCATTTATTTAATAAATTATTTATTTTTGTATTTTAAATAATTGAATTCATGTGAAAAATTTTATTACTTGTAAAAGTGATTGAATCTTGGGAAGGATTTTATTAAAAATTTTGTAAATAATTTAATTTCGACAAATTTTTGAAATTAATTAAATTTTTAAGAACAATTTTAATAAAAATGTTTTATAATAATGAAATTCTTTCTAGAAATTTAATTTAAAATGTACTTAAAATAATTATTAAATTCTAATAAACAAATTATATCAAAATTCTTTAAAATAATTGAATTCTTACGAAGAATTTATCACATTTAAAAAAAATGAATTCTATCAACAAATTTTGTTCAACTTTTTAAAAATAAATAAATTCCTAAATTCTATTATATAATTAAAATAAAACTAAATAATTGAATTTTTTGGAGAATTTTTATTTAAAGAATAGATATTGCAAAGAATTGAATTTTGACAAATTTTTTAAATTAAATTTCCACCAAGAATTTTATTAAAATTTTTTGAAATTAATTCAGATTTTTATGAAGAATTTCATTAAAATTTTTTTAAAAATAATTAAATTCTTTCTAGAAATTTAATTAAAAATGTACTTAAAATAATTATTTAATTCTAATAAACAAATTATATCAAAATTAATTAAAATAATTGAATTCCCAAGAAGAATTTTATTATTTATAAAAATAATTGAATTTTTGCAACGAATTTTATTACATTTTTTAAATAATTGAATTCTTTTCATATTGAATAATTGAAGTTGTATTTTTACAAATTTTTTTTTTTATTTTTGTGTATTATTTTTATAAATAATAATATTGTCGCAGAAATTCAATTACTTATTTAATTTCAATCGTTTTTAATACAGTTTAAATGAATTCTTCGAAAAATGCAATTTATTCTTGAAATTTTTATTGCAATTCTTCGAAAGAATTCAATTATTCAATAAATTATTTATTTTTCTATTTAAATTATTGAATTCTCGTAGAACTTTCTTATAAGAATTGACTTAATTATTTAATTCTAATAAACAAATTGTATTAAAGTTCATTAAAACAATTGAATTCTTGAGAAGAATTTTATTATTTATAAAAATAATTGAATTCTTTTGAGAAATTTTATTAAAATTGTAGATTTTTAAAATATATATTTGAACTTCAGCGATGAATTTCATTATTCGTGAAATTTGAATGTTTGAAAATTTTAATTCCTGTGGGAAAATATTAATGATTTAATATTTATTTAAATATGAAGTTATTGTTTTTGAATAATTTTACTTTTGAATAAATTTGTAAATAAATTAAATAGAACATTTTTTTGAGTATCTAATAATTTTTAGAGTGAATCAGAATTTTACTTTAGATTCAGGAAAAAAGTCAAAATTTTCTCTAGAAATCAGGAAAAAACAAAATTAATTTTTTTAGTGCCAACCCTGATATTGTAGTTAGTCCGCACTGCATGTTTATTTTTTTTTTTTAAATAAACATAAAAGTTTGTGTCGCAGCAATAAAAGGATTTTTCGTAATTTTGTTAATTACTAAACAAAAAACGGTACAAGACTGAAAATTAAAAAGAAAAATATAAAGAAAATAAAAATTAGAAGAGTTTCACAGTTAAATTCGAATATTATGTAATAATTATTTTCTTCTTCAAAGTGTTGGTAACGCACTTGTTTGCCGATGGATCCTGAATCAAGAAATCAGAAGGTGTAGGAAGATTAAATACAAAAAGCAAAATAATGAATGCCGGGTGCACTCGTGCTGTCGACACAACACAAGCAGATTTACAATTCTTTCAAGTAGTACGTGAGTAGCGGAACTCACACCACTCTCAGTCGTATAAACCTTCCTGTTTTCGCACATGGCAGCCATGAAGCATGGTACGTTTTTATTTTGTTGTTGTTGTTGTTCTGTTGTTGAAACTTGCTTTAAATGTTTGACCTTTTTTTTCTTTTTTTACCAGTAAAATTTCTATTTTAAAAGTTTATTTAGTAAAAGTGTTGAAATTTATTTGTCAATTTGGTAAAAATTTTATTTAAACTTTAGTAAATTTAGTAAAAAAAAGGAAAGAATATTTAAATTTGAGTAAATTTAGTAAAAACGGAAAGAATATTTAAATTTTAGTAAATTTGTTGGAAGAAAAAATATTGGAAAACTTATGAATTGAATAATTGCAGGTAAAACGAGTCAAGACGACGTGTGTTACGTTGTCGCCAAATACGATTACGAAGCTCAGGGTGCACAGGAGTTGGACCTTCGTAAAAATGAGAGATACCTTTTGCTGGACGACTCGAAGCATTGGTGGCGAGTACAGAGTGCAAGAGGTCAAGCGGGCTACGTGCCGAGTAATTACGTGAAAAAGGAGAAACCCTCAATATTCGATAGTATCAAGAAAAAGGTTAAAAAAGGTTCCGGTTCAAAGACATTGCCCTCAAGTAATTCACCGTCCCGTGCTGTTGAATCGCCAATAATGGCAAGGCGATTGCCGGCAGATCCTAGTGAAGCAATTGGCACCGCTGTCGTTAAATACAATTATCAAGCGCAACAAGCCGATGAACTTTCTTTAGTGAAGGGAACGCGAATTTTAATTCTCGAAAAGAGTAACGATGGCTGGTGGCGAGGGCAAAGTGGCAATCAAGCTGGATGGTTCCCATCGAATTACACGCAGGAGGAGGGCGACGCCGACGATACGTTACACACATACGCAATGGCCGAGAATGTTCTCGATATTGTTGTCGCCTTATATTCATTCTCGTCGAATAACGATCAGGAACTCTCATTTGAGAAGGGCGACAGACTTGAGATTTTAGATCGTCCACCTGCCGATCCAGAATGGTATAAGGCGAGAAATGGCCATGGACAAATTGGTCTTGTTCCACGTAATTACCTCCAGGAACTCAGTGAATATCTCACGCAGCCATATCGCGAACGGGGAATGCAGAGCAATGAAATGGGAGTCGGCGACTCTTTGGAAAGAAGGCCTGATCCTGGTGACAGGCCACATCTCGTTGGAAAACCTTGGTACTATGGGAGAATCACTCGTTTGCAATGTGACTCGCTTCTCAATCAACATGGACACGATGGCGATTTTTTGATACGAGACAGCGAAACCAATGTGAGTTATTTACTTTCATTTCAGGCTTCGTACTACTAAAACCTATTTACTATTTTTTTAATTCAAAAAACGAAATTGAATTTGAATTCAAAACGATTTGGTACTCTATTTGGATACTTTTTCTAGATTTTTTACACTAAAAGACACTTTTTTCTATTTTCGAGAATTTACACTACTTTAAATTCGCTAATAATTGAAAAAAAATCCTTCTCAAAAGTTTTAATACAATTAGAAATAATTCAAGAAATTTTAATAAGATTCTTTCAAGCGATTCAATTGTTTTCGAAAACATTTTCCAAATTCAATTTTCAATATCTACTATATTAATAATAAAAACTTTTCCCCAAAAAAATTCAATTATTAAAAAGAAATATTATAAAATTATTTACAAATATTTAATTAATTTCATTAATAATAAAATTTTCCCAGGAATTCAATTATTTAAAACTCAAATTACATAAAGCTATTTGAAAAAAATCAATTTTTTAAAAATATTTTTATAAAATTCTTCGCAAGAATTCAATTATTTTTTGTTTATAATAAAATTTTTCCCAGGAATTCAATTATTTTTTGTAAATAATAAAATTCTTCCCATGAATTCAATTATTTTCGTAAATAATAAAATTCTTTCCATAGGAATTCAATTATTCCAACAAAATTTTAATATAATTTGTTTATTAGAAGTTGATAATTATTTTTAATACATTTTTGAATTAAATTTCTTGAAAGAATTTAATTATTTTTAAAAATTTTTATGAAATTCTTCATAACAATTCAATTATTTTCAAAAAATTGTAATTAAATTCTTCGCAAGAATTCAATTATTCTTTGTTTATAATAAAATTCTTGTCAGGAATTCAATTATTTTTTCTAAATAATAAAATTCTACCCAGGAATTCAATTATTTTCATAAACATTAAAATTGTTCCCATAGGAATTCAATTAATCCAACAAAATTTTAATATAATTTGTTTATTAGAATTTGATAATTATTTTTAATACGTTTTTAATTTTAAATTTTTGAAAGAATTAAATGCTTTCAAAAAATTTTAATGAAATTCTTCGTAACAATTCAATTATTTTCAAATAATTTTAATAAAATTCATGGTAAAAATTTGATTATTTTCAATTTGTCCAAATTGGATTGTTTTCAATATCTACTATTCAGATAGAATTTCCCAGAAGAATTCAATTATTTAAAAAAAATGTTTAATGTAATTCGTCTCAAGAATTCAAAAAATTCCATAAATTTTTGGAAACAATCGATTATTTTCAATAGAATTTGATTCAATTATTTAGTTTTATTTTAATTATTTAATAGAATTTAGAATTCAATTATTTTTAATAAGTTGAACAAAATTTGTGTATAGAATTTACTTATTTTGAAAAATTGTGATAAATTCTTGGCAAGAATTCAATTATTTTTTTCAGGATTTCAATTATTCCAAAAAAATTTCACATAATTTGTTTAGCAGAATCTAATAATAGAATTTAATAATAATAATTTAAGCATTTTCAATATATTTTTGATTAAATTTCTTAAAAGAATTTAATTATTTTCAAATATTTTAATGAAATTCTTGGTAACAGTTCAATTATTTTCAACAATTTTTATTAAAATTCTTTGTAGAAATATAATTAATTTGAAAAATTTGTCGAAAATCAATTATTTCTATAAATAATAAAATTCTTCTCAAGAATACAATTATTCCAAAAGTATTTTAATAAAATTTGTTTATTAGAATTTAATATTTATTTGAAATACATTTTTAATTAAATTTCTTGAAAGAATTTAATTATTTTTGAAAATTTTTATTAAAATTCTTCTTAGAAATTTAATTAATTTCAAAAACTTGTCGTAATTCAATTATTTTCAAAAATTTTAATCAAATTGTTTGCCAGAATTCAATTATTTTTAAAAATTTTAATAAAATTGTTTGCAAGAATTCAATTATTTTTAAAACAATTTTAAAACAATTTTAATCAAATTTTTCGAAAGAATTATGTTATTTTTAAATATTATTATAAAATTCTTCGCAAAAATTCACTTATTTTTAATAGAATTTGAAAAACCTTTCTTGATAAAATAGAATCTAATAATTTTTAAAAAGTTTAACAAAATTTTTTGAAATAATTTACTTAGTTTTAATTATTTAAAAAAAATGTTGATAAAGTTCTTTATAAGAATTCAATTTTAAGAAATATTCAATTATTCAATAAATTATTTATTTTTCTATTTAAATAATTGAATTCTCGTAGAACTTTCTAATAAGAATTGACTTAAAATTGAATTTCAGTAAAAATTATAGATAATAATTTAATATTAGAAGCGTTGAAGTGTGAATTTTTAGAAATAATTAAATTTCAAAAGATTTTTTGTATAATTTCAAAAAAAGACTAATTAATTTATTGAAGAATTTTAAATAAAAATTTTAAACATGATTTTTTTCTTCAAAATGTTAAAAATAATTGTAAAATGTCATTATTTTTTTAATCGAAAATCAAAAATATTGAAAATAATTGAATTTCAAAACATTTGAATGTAAACATTCTGAGAATTAGTTTATTCAAAAATATTTTAATATTATTTTTATAACCTAATTTTCGTTAGGTTTCATTTTTATTTTCACACTTGAAGTTCAATTACTTCCCAAATTGTCAATTAAAATTCTTTAAAAGTTATTTTTCTTTTCAAAAATTGTAATATAATACGTGAAAAAAAATAATTTTTAATAAAATTTTACAAAATTTCAATTATTTAAAATCTTTTTAATTGTATATTTCAAAAATTTAATTAGAAAAATTATCCAAAAAATAACTTTTGAAACATTTTTCTATTAGTTATATATTTTTCATAGTTTAAAAATCGAAATAAGTTGTATTTTATACTAAAAATGTGGTATTTTGTTGCAAAATCTGGAAGAAAAGTCGAAAAAGTCACAATTTTTTAATTTAAGTCGATAAAAGTTGCATTATTCGAAAATAGTCGAAGAAAGTCAAAAAAGACCTCATCCGAGGCCTGTAAATATTTAAAAAAAGTATTCTATTTTTCAAATGTAATTTAATTTAGAAATAATGAAAAAATTGAGTCTTTTCGATAGCTACTTTTTTACTGCTTTTTTTTCATTCATAAAGCTACTTTTTTAAAAGTAAATCATCGAGAATAAAGCCTGTCATTTGATTTGAAATTAAGTTTTCGAAAAAAAAAGTTCTTTTGAATTAAAAAACAATTTTTTTTCCAGATGGGAGACTATTCGGTATCTCTAAAGGCACCGGGACGGAATAAACATTTTAGGGTACATGTCGAGGGCGCTTTGTATTGTATCGGACAGAGGAAATTCCACACGCTGGATCAGCTTGTCGATCACTATCAGCGGGCTCCAATTTACACGAATAAACAAGGCGAAAAATTATATCTGGTGCGGCCTCTGCCAAAGGGCAATCCCAGTAGTAACGGCTGTTAGGTTAATAATCTCATTTAAACTAATAATTTGTCCTCAGCAATGATTCGAGCGCTTTAGGATAATCGTGAAAAGCGATGCCTCTGCCTAGTATAATATCGATATCATCTCGTACATTTATACAATAACGATTAACACATAATTGGTCAAGTCGTAATAATAGTGTGTTTTTTCACGATAATTTTTCTCCTCCCTTTCTCTCTCTCTCTACCAATTTCCCTTCTCTCTCCCCCCCTCCCCAATAATTTATTACTCTAAGTAATAACAAAAATAACTCATCGACGCTTCCGAACAAATTAGCGAAAAATAAAAAAAATTGTCAACTAGGATTTTTTCTTTTTTGTACTTTTTAATCTTTTTTTTTTAAATTTATACTCATAGAACCGCGTCAAACTCCATATTTATATACCAAAATTTTTAACAGCAATGACGCGAGAAAAAAAACACATTTTTACAATTTATTACTCGTAAAATACACAATAATCTAGCCTTCAAGTATAACGAACAAGTAATTATAGTTGTAATATGCAAGTATGATGATCGATCTACCAGTAATAAGTTAAATAAAAAAACAAAGACTAAGTGTTCATTTGTGATTTTGTATTTATTAGAAAGTTTCTAAGCGAATAAAACGTATTTAAGTGTGCACTATTACCATCGTCGTAATTTTATTTCTCGAAAACATTAGTCTGTGTGCTTCCAAAACAATTTTTTTTTTAATTCACTTAAACTAGAACATTCGCAAAAATAGATTTTTTTTTGTTTTATCTAACGCCACTATAAAAATAATACGATTTTTCCTAATCAGATCCCTTATCTAATCACATGCGATCCAATCTAAAACAGATTAATACTTTCTTGTTCGAAATAGTTTTTTTCTTTTCAAATTATTTTCATAAATATCGATTACAATAATTTATACGTATAATTTGATATAAATTACAATTAGTTTGACATCTAATGTCATTGAATATTTAGATGGAATGAAACGACGGAATTCTTTTTTCATTTTCATTTCGATTTGCATTTTTTTAATTTTCATTCACCCATTGAATTTTAAAGCTCTAAAAACAAAAATTACTTATTAAATTGTCGCAAGTGGCTGAAATATTTCATTAATATATTAAACCTGGTAACAGTAATATTTTAATTTGTAAATTATTTTTTCATAAATAAACGCATTACTTATTTTATATTGAATAGAAGAGATTGGTGCTCCTAAGGGTAAACGTTAATGGCACTAATTGCCAATCAAGTCATGTTTCTTTTTTAAAAAAACAATTTTTTTTACTAAGCTAAGCTTAATTAAATTTTCGCAAATTTGTTTTTTTTTGTTCGTAAGTCTGTTTTTTAAGGAGTTTTATAACTTGATCACAAGAATGGATTGTTCGAATTTCTTGTCATGTCGCCAATACCAGATCCCACCTGAAAGAAAATTCATAATTTTAGATAAATGAACTTTTATTTACTTCAACTAGAAAGTATTTTAATTCAATTTCAATTCAAATTCTCACAAAAGAATCTGAATGAAGTGAATGAAATGAATAAAATGAAGAGAAAATTAATTCTGTGGAAAAAAAAACTGAAAATACGAATAAAATATAAAAAAAGGCGATAATTGAAAAGAAGGATTACAAAACATTTTTAAATGTTATCACTTGAGTATTTTTCCAACTCACGATCGATTCGTGACTGGCATTAAAAATTAAAAACGAGTAATGGAAAAACAAAGTATTAATAATTAGCAAATGTTACGCGTGCGGAAAGCTGTATTTAATTTATGCCAAATTTTTTTTTTTTTTTAAACATTAACTACAATTTTTGAATTATGTTAGATTCCAAAATTAAAAAAGATAATAAGATTTCTTATTAACTAATTATTATTTACTACTTTATAACATATTAATAAAATTCTTCGCTGGAATTCAATAATTTTTGAAAGTAAATAAAATTCTTATCAAGAATTCAATTATTTTCAAAAATGATAAAATTCTTCGCTGGAATTCAATTTTTTTTTGTAAATAAAAAATTAGTTAGAGAAATTCAATTATTTTCAATACAATTTCAACAAATTTTCTTGATGAAGTTAATTATTTAAAAAAATTTTAATGAAATTTTCTGAGATAATTCAATTATTTTCTGTACAATTTTAATTCCTAAATTCTTTGAAAGAATTAAATTATTTCCGTACAATTTTAACTCATAAATTCTTCAAAAGAATTGAAAAAAATTTCTCTCGAAACAATTGAATTTGCATTTTTACAGAATTTTATTATTTTCAAAAATTATTTCCATAAAATTTGTTTATTAGAATTCAATTAATTTCAGTGCAATTTTAATTGAATTTCTTGAAAGAATTGAATTATTTGCTCCAATAAAATTTTTAATAAAATTCTTCGAAACAATTCAATTCTTTTCAAAAATTTTAATAAAATAAAATTATTTCTGATTGGAATTTATAAAAGTTAATAAAATTAGGATAACATTTTTTAAACAAAAATTTAAAAATTTAAAAAATTCACTTACTAACGAGAAATTATGGAAAATAATATAATTTCTAAATTTTTCTTGAGATAATATTTCTAAAAAACTTATTATTTGAATAAATTTGAATTAGTATTAGATAAATCTGAATTAGTAAAAATTTTAACTCAGAATAATTTTTAATTAAAAACAATTTTGTTTAATTAATTTTTGTTAGTTTTTAATATTTAAAGCACGAAATCAGAATTTTATGAATTTAAAAATTCGAAACTTTATTTAAAAAGAAAAATTGAGAAAAAAAATTAGGAAACCAAAAAGTAAACAAATAAATAAACAAAAATAATTGATTTTAAACTGCGAAAAAAATATCGGAATACAACGATTATTAATATAAATTGAAGAATATTGAAATATTTTAAGGAAAACATAAATAATTTATATAATTTTAATTCTGAAAAGGTCCTCTAATAATTTGCTTCGAACAATTGCTATTTAAAAACAAAAAAAACTCTTATATAAGGTACTTTCTGCTTTTATTCTATATATTTGCGAGTCTATTTAAAGCTCCTACATTGCACTGTCGGCTCAAATGACGTTTCTGACACGCGTATTGCGAAAAGACTTATGACGTTAAAAGACAAAGAAGAAAGAAAAAAAAAGAGAGAAAGAAAATTTGCTGATAAAAAAATTATAAACATCTTTATTACTTAAGCGCCAAGATACTAATAACCGAATTGAGCAAATTGATCGTATCTCAATTAAATACCACGCAAGGGGCTTTCCAGTATTATCAAAATGACCTTTTTAAATAAACAATAATTGCAATAGAAACTAAAATTTCTTTATTCTGCATATACGAACTTTAAAATTAATTAAAAGAAGCTAAAATTCAGTTTTTTCGAATGATGCAAAAATTGTACAATAAAAGTAAATTCGATAGGGAAATAAATAAATTTCCTTCAAGTGAATTCTTAGAACTTTAGGATCATGAGAACTTAAATAATAAATAAATACGAAAAACTTTAAATAAACAAATTCCGTTCTTTTCATTTTTTTTAATTCTTTCTTTCGTTTCTTAACAAATTGAGAACTTTAGAATTAGAATCATGAAATTTTAATAAATTAGTGAGAAAAAAGTAGATTTTTTAATTATAGAAAATTTTGATTCAATTTCGAAATAAGTGTTAAAAGCATTCTTTTTTTCCGTTTGTCAATTGCCATTTGTCAAAGAATGATCTAAATGTTTGTTTTCAATTGATACGATAATAAAAATACTAATGGACTCTGAATGAGCGCATTGTAAAATTAATTATATTCAAGTCATGAGTAAAACAGCTTTAAATAGTCACTGTTTACGTTATAGTGCTACAACTTTTTTTTCAATATAATTTTAAAAATCATCTTAATTATAATTAATGTAAAATTGTTGCAAAAAAAAAAAAAAATGTTAACTTACGACAAATGGATTTGCGTGATAAGCGGCAACTGACGGTTGCCACGTTTTGTTCGGGAATGACGTCATTAGTTGACTAGATGGAATAACATCCTCATTATTTCGCGATTCCTTCGATGCCCAAAGTGTGTCTATAATCATTAAATTTTATTAATTAATAAAATATTAATTTTATTACTAATTCGTTTATTATTTGAAAGAATAAAAAGAAAGTATTTTAAATATTAAATTTCAAATACATTACCAAACGCACTGCCGTTATTGACTGAAAATTGAATTTGTCTAAACGGATTTGCCGAATTATTAAGAGTGTTATCAGAAATTTGCACATTATTATTGATTAAATTATTGGACGGTCGCCATAGATCATTAGCCGTAAACGGATTGGAAATAACTTGAGATCCTTGATTATTATATCCACCCCAAATGGAATTTGATACTGGAAATAATATAATTATTAATTATAATGGAAAATTATTATTAATTATTTATTATTATTGCTCGCAAATGTTACGCGCTATTATTCAATTTATTATTATTATGCAAATTACAAAAATTTTTAAATAATTTCGTAATCAAAATTTCAGAAATTTTAATATAATTCTTCAGAAAAATTCAATTATTTTTTTAAATAGTAAAATCTTTGCAAACATTCAATTTTTTCCTTCTCGTTTCCTTCTGGGTATTAAACATTATTTTCAGTAAAATTCCTCAATTTTCAAAACGTTTAATAAATTTCTTGAAAAATATTTAAAATTAAAAAATATTTTAAAAATTCAATTATTTCTAAAATTGTCTATAAAATTTATTTCAAAAATTCAATTATTTCTAAAATTGTAAAATTTATTTCAAAAATTCAATTATTTTTATAAATTCTTTATGGGAATTAAATTTCTTTTCATAGAATTTTAAATCTTCGGAAAAATTCAATTATTTTGATAAATTCTTTATGGGAATTCAATTATTTTCAATACAATTTTTATAAAATTCCACGAAATATTTCAAATAAATTTGTTCCAATTTTTAATAACATTTTTCAAAAGAATTCAATCATTTTCTAAACAATTATTAACAAAATCGATTATATTCAATAAATTAAAGAAATTTTTTGAAATAATTCAATTATTGTTAAATCCTTTAATAATATTTATTCTCCGAAAGAATTTAATTATTTTTGTATTTTAATAAAATTTCTTGAATAAAAAATTTAATAATGAAAATAATTAATAAATAAAATTTTTTGATATTTTAGAAAATTGTAATAAAATTCTAAAAGGAATTTAATTATTTTCTAAAAATTTTAATAAACTTCAATATCTAGTTAAATGTTTAACTTCAATTGTTAAGAAACAGGATTATTTCGGAGGAATTCAATTATTTTTAAATTTAATTTTAGTAAAATTTCTCGAAAGAATACTATTTTCAAAAATTCTGATAAAATTCTTCGCAAGAATTCAATTATTTTTATAAATAATAAAATTCTTCAAAGGAATTCAATTATTTTTAATGCAATTTTAATAAAATTTCTTGAAAGAATAGAATTATTTTTAAAAATATTAAATAAAATTTAATTATTTTCAACAGTTTTGATAAAATTTTTAAGAAAAATTAATCTTTTTTTCAACGTTTTAATAAAAGTTTTGGATTGAATCCAATTATTTTAAAACATTGAATTATTTAATTGAATTTTCATTGAAACATTCATGACATTAATTTTAAAATTGAAAATATTTAAAAAGAAATAGTTTATTTGGAAAATAATTAAAAATTGAAAATTTATTTTGTGCGTAACTAAACTCACAATTGGAGTTATTCGTATTCCAAGTAGTAGATCCAACAGGAGGATTTTCTTCCTTTATTTGCGCTTGCTTCATTAAGCAATCCAAATCCTTTAGTGCAGCGTAACGATCCTCCGATGGTGGGGAACTAATTCCATTAAAATTCGGCGATAAACAACCAGCCGATTGATTCATACTTCCAGTGCCTGGAAATAATAGTTTCTTTTTTAGAATTTCTTAATTTACCCCAATTCTGAAATTTTTCAATAAAATATATTTTATAAAATACTTTTTTCAATAAAATATATTTTCTTTCAATACTTTCTTCAATAAAATATATTTTATAAAATACTTTTTTCAATTATATTTTTTAAAAATACGTTCTTAATTCTTTCTTTTTTTGAAAAAAAACTAGAAAATCTACCTTTAGGTGAATTGAAAATAGGATTATTGTCAAAATTCGCAAACGACGGCTGAGAAATAATAGGCTGATTGTAGTTGGTTGGCGTTGCTGGAAGATAGGGATCAGGAACTTTACTAAAATCTGCGACAAAATCCATGGATCCAAAGGAATTTGATTTTGATGTTTCATTATTAATTAATGTTGAATTTGGCGTGGACGTTGCTTGTGGCGATTCAGAATTTGAAATTCTCGTAAGGCTCGAATTATTCGACTCTTTGGATTGTGTTTTTGTTGTTGTCTTTTTTGAAACTTCGGACGGAGTTATGTAATATCTCTTCATTTCATACCTTTCAATCATCATTTCCTTCATTTTTTGCTCATCCTTCGAATCGGCGTACGTAAAATCATTGTGTGGTTGCAAAGCGAGCCATGTACTTCGACAATATTCATTTCCACGTTCCTTGAGAAAATTAATATCGTCCAGATTGAATGTTGCCATTGAAATTGATTTAACTCGATGTGGTGGCGTCAAGCCTCGTCTGAAAAAAAAGAAAAAATGCGTTTATATTTAATTGTCGAATTAAAATATTTTATTCGACAAATATTTATAGAATTTAAATATTTTATTCGATAAATATTTATAGAATTTAAATATTTTATTCGATAAATATTTATAGAATTCAAATATTTTATTCTCATATTCTAACAATATTTTATTTTACACTGAGTAAATAAAATAGTGGACAAAAATATTTTATGGACAAAAAAAGAAGTAATTGTTCACTATTGTTGCCATTTAACAACAAATTTTTGGAATTCTCTCAAATTATAAATTTAATTACACTGTTTCTATTTTATGAATAGACAAAGGAAACATGAAGAATAAAATTGATTTTTCTAGTCAAAGAGAAAAAAAGAAATACATACGACAGATAATCAACTAATTAACTCTTGTAAAAACAAGTTCTTTTTGTTTCTATTTAACATCACGTATCTTTTCATGTCACTGTGTCACTAAGGATAAAATTATCGTTCAAGTGCTTCCTTTCAGTTTCGAGAGACTTTCTAATTATCGATGCTTATCGATCTACTTTATTCGAATTTTTTACTATTTTGAATTTCAAGTTCAAGAATTATTATTACGAAAAGAAAATATTAGAAAATTGATTAAAAGTAAAGAGTCAAAATTACAAATAACGGCAATTATTTTTCTCCAACTAACGGTAGTTTTACTTTCAAACAACAAGTTTTCATTAAGGATATTTTCAAACAAACAAAAAATTGAAAGAGAAAAGAAATTAATAGAAAAAGGAAATTTCATCAGGATTGCCACAAAAATTTTATTTTATTTTTCCCCGACTTTTATTTTCCACGCTATATACCTGATGCTTTTAATATTCAAATTATAATTTAAACTTTTTAAGTGAAATTCATTTTTTAATCAATTTTTATTAGAAAATTTATCGAGAATTGAATTATTTAAATACAAAAATGAATAATTTATTAAATAATTGAATATTTCTTAAAATTGAATTTTTATGAAGAATATTATCAAAATTTTTAAAAAATAATTAAATTCTTTCGGCGAATTTGAACAAAAATTTTAAGAATAAATGCAATTTTTTATTATTTTATTTAAAATTGTATAAATAATAAAACGAAATTCTACGATAAGTTTTATTTATGAAAATATTTGAATTCTTGCAACGAATTTCATTAAACATTTTTTTAAAGAATCTATTTCCTGTGAAGAATTTTTTTTGTGAAAATAATTGAATTCCGGAGAAAAATATTATTATTTATGAAAATATTCAATTTCTTGTAAAGAATTTTATTCAAATTTTTTTTGAATAATTGAATTTCTCAGAATTTTTAAAAACTTTTTGAAAATAATTAAATTCCATCGAGAAATTTCATTAAAAAATTGAAAATATTTGAAATCTGAGGAAGAATAAAAGAAATTTTTTTTTAAATAATTGAATTCCTGTGAAAATGTTTATCTGTGAAAAGAATTTTATTAAAATTTCTTAAATAATTGAATTGTTTCGAAGAATTTTATTTTTTACGAAAATAATTGAATTGTTTCGAAGATTTTTAGAAATTTATAAAGCATTTCATCAAATTTTTTTAAATAATTGAATTCTCGAGAAAAATTTTATTAGGATTAATGAAAATAATTGATTTCTTGCTAAGAATTTTATTTCAATTTTTTAAAATAATTATATTGTATAGGAAAATTTTATTAAAATTGCAATTTTATTAAATAAATCTTGTTAAGAATTTTGTCAAAATTTTTTTAAATAATAGAATTTTTAAAATTAATTTAAAAAATTTTTTAATTTAAATTAAATTTAATTTTTTCGAATTATAATTGAATTTCTCAGAACTATTTTTTTTTACAATTCTCTGAATATGTTTAAATTCTTTCAAAAAACTTCATTAAAACATTAAAAATAATTGAATTGGTGTGAAGAAATTTATAAAAAAATTAGTAAGTACTTGAATTCCTGTGAAGTTTTTATTAAAATTTTGTTTAAATAATTGAATTCTTTTGGAAAATTTTATTAAAATAGTAGATATTAAAAATAATTGAAATGAGGAAAATTTTTGAAAATAATTGAAATTTTGACGAGAATTTTTAAAAATTTTTTGAAAATAATTGAATTTTTGTAAGCAGTAGTTGTTCTTAAAATTTCAATATTTAAATTGATAAAAAATTGATATTTCTTCAGAATTCAGAATTTTTTTTATAAAATCTGAAAACTTAATTTTTTCCAGTACTTTTAATAAAAGTTCCTGACTTTTCCCTGATCAATTTTAATTTTCCTGAATTCCCTGACTTCTCTGACCTGTGTTCATAAAAATTAGTTCAAAAAGTAGTTTCAAAATATTTTATCACACATTCCTCGAAAGTTTACATTCTATATCTTTGGGATTTTGCTGATTCCACAGAATTTTAGTTTTGAAATGTAATATTAAGTCTAGACAGTGTCTGTTTGTTTTAGAAATTCATTTTCTAATGCTAGGCATTTATAAACACGAGGTCGAGAGTGAAAGGTTGCATTTGTGTAATATATTTATAAAAACTAATGCTTCTTCGTTTAACATATATCTACAAATAATATGCAAACTTGTTTAGATACAAAAATTAAAAATTCCAGGTGCTAAATCATTTTAGTATTGGTCTTTTGTTTTTAAATAATGGAAAATTTATTTTCTTCTATAAAAATCTCTCCTACTTGTCACACTTATGACTCATAGTTTTAAAAAAATTGATAGGAAAAAAATTATTCCCCTTTTGTATTTAACTATTTGTTATTCTTTTTTCTTTGAAAATTATTTGTAATAAAAATAAAAAAAAAAGTATAGTTGAGAAGAAAAATTAAATTTCTGATCAAGGTTATGGAAATACTGTTTGCAATTTAAATGAAAATTACACAACTCAGTGAGAATGCATTAAGAAAAATTATTGTTTATTCAAGTAAAAATTAAACAACTTGCAAAACTTTGCGTTTACGCAATTAATCTTTTTTTTCTAAACGTATACGTTATGAAACTGGACCAAAAAAAATTGTTTCGAAAAAAGAAAATTAAAAAAAAAAATTATTTATCTAAATATTGTACTTTGTGAGTCAAATCTCTTTCTTTTTTCTGAGAAATTCCATCAACTGTTATACTCTGATTCATACTCTCAAAAACACAAAGCCACCTGTCAGTGGAAATTCTTTAAAGAAACTTCTAGTTTAAAATACCAATGAAACCAAAAAAGAATAAAACATTTTCAATTAAAGGTTTACATTTATATAGTTAAAAAATTGATTTAAAAATTATTTCGTTTTTTTCTCTTTCTCTTTATCAAAAAAGGAAACAACTTTGAGATAAAGTCAGAATTAACGGATGTCTTTTGTGTGTTACCAGGAAGTGGAGAAAAATGAATGAACTTACAATAATCCTGAGCAGGACATGCAAACGTACGATCCTATTGTCATGTTCACATAAGTTGGACCTCGTTGCCGGCAATCGAAGCATTCTTTGTTTCCCGGTTGCGAGACCAGCTCGCGTAACGTCTTCAGGTTTTTCTCATCTTGCTTTCTCTTCGCGGACGCCATGATCTAAATGTTTATTAACAATTATAGAATTAAAAAAGGCTTCTTCTTATGCGTCAACACAAACTAAAGTAACAGTGATTAAACATTAAACTAAACTCGATAAATAAACTGCTTTGTAAAACACATTCACTTATCGTCTGATATCAGTCCACCTCTGAGCGACATGCTCCGATTTTTTTTCACTCCTATTTTGACGTCGTAAATCATTTGGGAGTCATCGGAGTCATCATCATCTGGGAAGTCAAGTTTTAAGTCGCGTTTCCATTAAAGAGACTTCGTCTCTAATTTACAAAATGACCGGGAATATTTAAACTGATAAATCTGTTTTACAAGAACAGTTTTTTTTATCTTTCATTACTTTTCTTATTTTGGTACAATTAAAATGATTCTTGAAACTTACCATATTCTGCATTTTTTTCTATAGCAAATTTTTAATAAAAACTTTTCAATTTTATTCTTCTTTAAACATTAATTTTGTCGTGTTCTTCCTTGTTTAATTAAGATTTCATATCCAGAACGTAGAATATATAAATCAAAGATTCTAAAATACTTATTCAAATGTTTTTTTATTTTCTGCGCCCATAAAAAATGACGAAATTGTCAACACAAAAATAGTAAACATAACCTCAAAATTCAATTTCTCATTTTGTTTGATAACTCAGAGAACTTGTAATTTCTATAATAATTATGTAAATAAACTATCGCATCTCTGAGCTCTTTAAATCAATAACTTCTCTTTTTCAATTAAAGAAACACTGACAAAATTTTGTTTCTATTTATTCCTATGACATGTGTATAGTGTTAATAATAAAATCTTGCACTTAATAAAATGTAAACATAATAAAACTTTTGATAAATATAGCTTAATTGTAACCAAATAAACGATTTGCAATCACAGTACAATTTTAAAATCAATTAAAAACTTGGAATTAATTAATGACAAAACACGTTAGATCCAGCTTATCTACTTTGCATGCTTTGCATAGACTGACAGGTCAGACAAGATTTTGCTAATTAATACAATAATAATATAAAATATAATACTAATATTTTTTAATAATTAACTAAATTATACCTTTTTAAATGATCTACAATCATATTACAACAATAAAAACAATAATTAATTATGTTAATTAATTAATTTAAGTGAAAAATCGTTAGTTTCGAGTTTGTCCGCAAGATATAGGTAGATGTCGCCCCAAAAAACGGCCTTTTTTGGTAGTTTTTGAGTTTTCCATTTAATTCGTCTTCGTCCAAACTAGCGTCCTCATTGGTTAGATTCAAATTTGCGCGCGAACTGAGCCGGCCAATGAGAGTATTGTAAAACCTAAAGGCGCATTTACACATGGTACGCAGTAATTGGTCTGCTATTCCCGCGCTAATTTGAATCTAGCCAATGACAGCTCCAGTTGCGACAAAGGCGAATTCAATGGAAAACTTGAAAACTACCAAAAAAGACCGTTTTTGGGGCGACATCTACCTATATCTTGCGGACAAACCCGGAACTAACGATTTTTCACTTAAATTAATTAATTAACGCAATTAATAATTGTTTTTATTGTTGTAATATGATTGTAAATCATTTACAAGTATATAAATGAAATATTTATCGAATAAGATTATTATTATAATGCTAAATAGTATATATAATCATTATTAAATTTTAATAAGAATTTTTTTCTTAATTTTTCAACCTAATTGAATTTTTGCGAAGAATTTTATTCAATATAAAAATAATTGAATTTCGGTTTAAAATTTTATTATTTCTAAAAATCATTGAATTGTTGAAAAGAACTTTGTTAAATTTTTTTTAAATAATTGAATTCTTGCGAAGAATTTTATAAAAATCTTTTTAAATAATTGATATTTTTCAAAAAAAAACTTATGAAATTTTGTATTTTAAATAATTGAATTGCTGTGAAAATTTTATTACTTATTATGTAAATAATTAAATTATTTCGAAGAAATTTATTTAAAATTTTGTAAATAATTTAATTCTTGTAAAATTTTGCCAAGAAAATATTAGTTTTGAATAATTCAAAGTTTAAAATTTAAAAAGATTTATTGCAAAAGAAAAATTAAATGAATAAACATGACTAAAATATTTTAAATCATTATTTTATTCTTTCTTAATTAAATAGTAACATTTTTTTTTACAAATTTTATCGAAATCTATATTCTTAGAGGTATATTTTTAATTATATTTTCAATTTTTTGGAGATGTTCGACAAATGGTTTCGTAAATTTCTTTTGGTAAAATATTTCGATTTTCACGATTAACATCAATAATTTTACATCTAGAGTCTTGGTAAAATTTTTTAAAAAATGAAATATATTTCGGTGGAACTTTATGCATTTGAGGAATTGTGGCGATAATAATGTTCTTCTTAATGTCTCCTTCAAAAAAAAGATTATTCACAGTAGAAAAAAATTTATCGCTGAATAATTCCATCTTTCCGATTTCATCGATAAACAATACGTCCTGCAAAAAAAGGAAATAATTTCAAAATATTTTTTAAATAACTAATTTGCAAATTTAATTATTTTTTTGTTGTAAATTATTTATATTCACCATTTTTGAATCCAAATTTGCTAATGCAGTGCTTTCGAAATTTTCAATAAAGACGTGATAATTTCCAACGCAATGTTTTTGAAATTGTTGTGGCTTCAATACGTTCCTAAATTGAAAAAAAAATAAATTTAATAATTATTATTCATAACTGGTTTTCAATTTTATAATTACAATCAAACACAAAAATACAATATTAGAAATTTTTAAAAAGAAAATTAGAATTTTGAAACACTTACGCGACACGAGCAAGTGGAGATCGAATTTCAGAATTTTTTATTGAAACTACATCGAAACCAATTCTTTTTTTACTTGAATCACGAACTTCTTCTGTATAAAATCCATCAATGGAATATTGTTTCTCTAACAAGGAAATTAGTTGTTTACATATCGTTGTTTTTCCAATTCCTATAAAAATAAAAATATTGTATTGCTTTAAATAATAATGTAAACAAAACCTTTCTTTTTCGAGTATTTAATAAAGACAATCTAAAAATTTATTTAATAATTTCATTATTTATAAAACATAACTATAATAATATAACTTTACAATAGAATCTTTATTTAAATTACAATTAAAATAAAAAAAGTAAACATAACCTAAAAAAATCATTTCTTTTCCTTTGAACTAAAATTAAAAAATTTTACCATTATTTAAAACAAAAAAATATAATAAAAAATTTATCACTTTGCAGAAATGTTAAATTCGTAGAAAACAATTTAAATTAATAATTAGGATAATTAGAAACATATTTATTATTACCTATCAGCAGTCACAAGTTTTTTTTATGTTATTCATTCATACTAAAAAAAGTAATAACATTTCTTTAAAATACCATCTTATGATTAACAATCTTTGAAATTTGTTATTCTTTCTATAATTTTTTATATAAAACATTTTTAAAGATTTTTCTACACTTGTAAAACTTGTAAACAATTACACAGAATAACAGTGTTGACAGCTGACAGGTGGAACATATACTAATATGATTATATATGGGGCATTCCACGCCAAGTCGGACACCTTTTGACTTTTGCATCTCCGATTTTTTTCAAATATTTTTTTTCTTTTAGTGCTCGTTGAAATGAGCTACCATGATTTTTTTCAAATTTTTTCATTAAGCGGTTTAAGAGATACAGGTTTTTGAAAAATCACGTTTTTTACGTAAATTTTTTTCTGAAATGCTTATAACTCGGACAAAAATTGATCAATTTTGACGTTCGATATATGAAAATTTTTGTTTTTACACGTAGTTTTTGATAAAAATATTAAAAATTTTTTTTTTTAAATTTACCAAAAAAATTTTAAATTTTAAAAATAAAATTTAATTTTTAAGAATGTATGTATCGATCGATTTTTTTCAAAATTTTTTGTAAGAAACTGGTACTAAATTAAGAATTTTTAAGCCTAGTCTGATGATGGGCAAACGATGGGATCTATTTGTTTCTGATTTTTCAATTTTTATATTTATAGCTAAAAGTATGAAAAATGAATTACAAGACGTTCAGGATATTAATTACTTTATTGTAATTTTGAGAAAGCATATTCATATGTAGAAAAACATTTAATTTCGTGACCGTTTAAATATTTTAAAGGTTTGAGATGTAGCGGATGAACGCAGCGCGTAAAATAGAAAAAGGCCAACGCACAATGAAATCTTAAGACGTGAACTTATAACAAAACAATGAGATAGAAGAGGACAGGAGCTTTGTCTGTCCTTCTCTATTGCATTCTTACGATAATTCATTCATTTTTCATACTTTTAGCTATAAATATAAAAATTGAAAAATCAGAAACAAATAGATCCCATCGTTTGCCCATCATCAGACTATGCTTAAAAATTCTTAATTTAGTACCAGTTTCTCACAAAAAATTTTGAAAAAAATCGATCGATACATACATTCTTAAAAATTAAATTTTATTTTTAAAATTTAAATTTTTTTTGGTAAATTTAAAAAAAAAATTTTTTAATATTTTTATCAAAAACTACGTGTAAAAACAAAAATTTTCATATATCGAACGTCAAAATTGATCAATTTTTGTCCGAGTTTAAGCATTTCAGAAAAAAATTTACGTAAAAAACGTGATTTTTCAAAAACCTGTATCTCTTAAACCGCTTGATGAAAAAATTTCAAAAAAATCATGGTAGCTCATTTCAACGAGCACTAAAAGAAAAAAAATATTTGAAAAAAATCGGAGATGCAAAAGTCAAAAGGTGTCCGACTTGGCGTGGAATGCCCCATATACTATTTAGCATCATAATAATAATTTTATTCGATAAATAATTAATTTATATACTTGTAAATGATTTACAATCATATTACAACAATAAAAACAATTATTAATTGCGTTAATTAATTAATTAAGGTAAAAAATCGTTAGTTCCGGGTTTGTCCGCAAGATATAGGTAGATGTCGCCCCAAAAAACGTCCTTTTTTTGTAGTTTTCGAGTTTTGCATTGAATTCGCCTTTGTCGCAACTAGAGTTCTCATTGGCTAGATTTAAATTAGCGCGGGAATAGCAGACCAATTACTGCGTGCCATGTGTGAATGCGCCTTTAGGTTTTACAATACTCTCATTGGCCGGCTCAGTTCGCGCGCAAATTTGAATCTAGCCAATTAGGGCGCTAGTTTGGACGAAGACGAATTTAATGGAAAACTCAAAAACTACCAAAAAAGGCTGTTTTTTGGGGCGACATCTACCTATATCTCGTGGACAAACCCGGAACTAACGACTTTTAACTTAAATTAATTAATTAACGCAATTAATAATTGTTTTTATTGTTGTAATATGATTGTAGATCATTTAAAAAGGTATAATTTAGTTAATTATTAAAAAATATTAGTATTATATTTTATATTATTATATTAGTTAGAAAAATCTTGACAGAACTGTCAGTCTATGCAGAGCACGCAAAGTAGAAACTGGATCTAACGTGTTTTGTCATTAATTAATTCCAAGTTTTTAATTGACTTTACAATTGTAATGTGATTGTAAATCATTTACTAGGTCACAATTAAGCTATTTATCAAAAGAGTTTTATTATCTTTACATTTCATTAAGTGCAATGTAATTTTGTTATTGACACTACGTTATGGGTATGAATGTAAACAAACTTTTGTCAGTGTTCGTTTAATTTAAAAAGAAAAGTTATTGATTTAAAATGATCGGAGAATATTTAAAGATAGTTCATTTACATAATTATTAAAGAAATTACAAGTTATCTAAATTACTAAACAAAATAATAAATTGAATTTTGAGGTTATGTTTACTTGTTTTCTTAATTTTAAAAATTGAATTTTTAATTGTTATAAGAATTGAAAGTTTAGTAAATTGAGTTTTATTGAAAAATTAAATGTTTAATTGAATTAAAAATAACTGAACTGTGATAATTTATTGCTACTTTTTGGAATTCGTCACAAAAGTATATAGAAAATTATGGAGATTTTCATAAAAATTAAATAATTTTATTAAAAATTTCAATTTATTTACTTAATTTTTTTTCTCTTTCTCAAAAGAATTGCTCGATCGTAGAAGTTGGAAATAAATTAAAATGAATAAATTACTTTAATTAGAATCGATCTCCCTGAGCAATCAGTTTTATTACCAGTAAAATTAACAATTATAATTAATTAAATAATATTGATTTACAACTTACTGAATAATTATTTTGTCAATAATAATAAAAAATTGAAAAAAATACTGTCAAAATTATCTATACAATTACATACGGATTATAATTATAAAAGATTTATCTTGTGTTTTTTAAAATTGATAATCATTATAATAAATAATTCAAAATTAATAAATATATACCTGGTGGTCCAGTGAGAAGTATTCTTGTGAACCGTGTCGCGTCGCCAGTTGTCATATTCACTTTCAGAAAAGTAGTAGCACCGGTTGTCTTTATAAATTATAATTTTTCCCAATAAAAATTATTTTCTCTAATGCGAAGTTAAATTTTACACTTTCAACATTTTAATAATGGACCAAGTAAATAGTCAAAAGAACTTTCAGAAAACGTTGAGAAATGAAAAATATTCACAAACTTGGAGCAAAGTGAAGTGACTGAAAACAAATCAGATCAGCTGATTTCAAAGAAAGGATATTCCTGTGTACGTTTTTTTTCAAGTATATATTGTGTGTATGTGTATTCCGTCATTTTGTCCGATGTTTGTTTCAATTGCACAATTATTTGCAAAATTATTGAGAATTTAAGATTGGTTTTTTTTTGATAATCAAACATAATTATTTTAAATAAACGGTGAAGAATTTTGATAAACAAATAATGGTTTATTAATTATATGAAGAAAGTAACAGTGCTCGAGAATGGTGAGAATCTAATGGAAAGATTATAATAGCGAGGAAAAATAAAATTTTGGAGTCGAAAAGAAAATGGCTTATCCAACACTTTACAATCCATTGTCGTTTGTTATTAATCGACAAATTAATGATAAAATTAATCATCGTCAAAGATTGGTAAAGGCAAGATTTGAACATTCGGAAAATCTCTTTAGAAAAAATCTTCTTTCACATTATGGATGCGTGAATGCAATCGAATTTTCAAAGTACGGCGATCTTCTTGTGTCAGGTAAAAAATTTTATTCAATAGATTTTTTTTTCTCTATATAAAAACGAAGACTCGATTTGGTTCGATCATTTATTTTTGAAAGAGAATATTCTGGGCCCGAACCATAATGTATGTTAATTTTCTTCTGTATTTTTTATTTTATTTTTAAAAACACTTTCTATTGAAGTACTGAAGGAATATTTATAAAACGATTAATATCCATTAAATATTTCGATATCATTAGTGATAGTAAAATCTTTTTTTCGATATTTTTTTACATTCTTTTTTTAAATGTATTCTTACAGAAATGTTTAATATTTTCATGTCAATTGTGACATTTTTTCTTTCCTTTAAATTTAAGAATAAAAATAATTATTTTTTCCCCAATTCTCATATTGATTTTATTTTAATTTTTTTTTTTTTTGAAATTTTAACAAAACAAGTATTGATAGTATAAAAATCGTTACAATATGGAACCATTTTAATTAATTAAATATTCAATTTTAGAAAAAATTATATTAATTTAAAATCATTTTTCCACTTTCGTAATTTTTTTCTTGCTTAAACTATCAAATATTTGCTGAATTTGCAAAAAAAAAGAATCCAAAGTACGGAATAAGTAAAAAAAAAATGTTAAAAAGAGAAATATGTTTTTTAAAAAAAATCTTTTTGTAGGAGGTGATGACAGAAGAGTTCTATTATGGAAAGTGGAACAAGCGATTCAGGGAACGGAGAAACCTGCCGTGATGAGAGCCGAACATTCAAGCAATATATTTTGTTTAGGTTTCGATAACAGTACATCAAAAATATTTTCAGCCGGAAATGACGATCAAGTTATTGTTCATAATCTTCAAACGTAAGAATAATCATCTCCTCATATCTGAAAATTAATTACTAAAATAATTAACGAAAATTTAGTTTCAAAACAAATCCATTACAATTTATTTTCAATTTTAATTATTATAATATTTGTATAATTAATTGCATTAAAATTTTTAACGGAATTTCTTCTTCAATTTAAAATTAATTAAATTTATTAAATTTATTAAATTATTTTCAATTTAAATATTTCTGAATATCCAAAAGAACGAAATTTATTTATTTCTTCTTTAAATTAAATTTTTATCTCAGTAAGTTTGCATCACTTTAAAAGAAGCTTCCTTCACGAGGAGAAAAATTAATTTTTAAAGTAAAAAATGTAAAAATTAAGATTTTTGAATGTAAAATTTAAGATTTTTATTTTTTATTCCAATCAGTAATTTCTGACAATATTTTTAATAAAAAATATTTCTGTAATTTGAACATTCAAAACTTGTTGATCATTAAATTGTAAAAAATGTAAGTTTAACATTTACTTGGTTTAGAATTAATTGAATTAATTAATTTTGTGTACAAAATAATATCATGTTCTTTAATTTTATTTAAAAATTCAAAAAACTAATAGAATTCTGGAAGAATATCAATTATAATTTTTAGAAATTATTAAATTTCAAACGGTTTTGCATTTTATTTAAAAATTTTAATTCCTGTTGACAAATAAATAACAATAAGTAAGATTTAAATATTTATTTAACAAAAAATATCTAAATTTGATAAATTTAATTTAGAAATCCTGAAAAACCAGGTTTTTGAAAAATTGTAATTCAAATTTTTAGTTAACAATTCTTCAAAAATACAATTATGTTTTAAAAATAATGTTTAACATTGAAACAATTGGAAATTTTCTCAAATTTCATTCAAATAAAATAAAAAATTTTAAGAATTTTATTTTTTCACTTTTAAAAATTATTTTCAAAACATTTGTAATTTTGAAGAATTGTTAACTAAAAATTTGGAAAATAATTGAATTTTACAAAAAATTTCATGTTTTAATAATTAAATTCTCGTAGTTAAATTCTGCTAAGAATTAATTTAAAAAAAATTCAATTGAGAATTTAGAAAATAATTGAATATCAGAAGCGTTATAAAATAGGAATTTTAAGAAATATTTCAATTTTGAAAGGTTTTTAAATTTAAATCTTTGAAAATTATAATCGTTGTAAAATTATATCTAATAATATTTAAATGTTTATTATAAAGTAATATTAAGATATTACTTTCCTTTAAAAAGTTATTACGGTTTTGAATAATTTTAATCAAAAATTTTATAAAATAATTGAATTTTGGAAGATTTGCAATTGTAATTTTTAGAAATAATCAAATTTGAAAAGGATTTACATTGAAGTTATTTGAAATTTCAATTCCTTTGAAAAAATATATAGCAATACGTAAGATTTAAATATTTATTTAACAAACATTATTTCAATTTGAAAAATTTAATTTAGAAATTCTGAAAAAAATAAGTTTTTGAAAAATTGTAATTAAAATTTTTAGTTTAATTTACAAAAATGATTTTAAAAAATTTAAACAATTGGAATTTTTCTCAGATTTGATTAAAATAAAACTTAAATTTTGAAGAATTTTATTTTTCACTTTTAAAAATTATTTTCAAAACATAATTGTATTTTTTTAACTAAAAATTTTGAAAATAATTGAATTTTATAAAAAATTTGATGTTTAATGAAATAAATTCTCGTATTTGAAATTTGAATTCTGGTAAAAATAAATTAAACAAAAAATTTAGTTGAAATTTTAGAAAAATAATTAAATATTAAAAGCACTATAACAGTAACTTTAAGAAATAATTCAATTTTAAAAGATTTTTTAATTCAAAACTTTGAAAATTGTAATCGCTGTAAAAGTATAATTGTATTTAAATGTTTATTATAAAAAGTTATTAATATATTATTTTCCAATAAAAATAATTAAAGTTTTGAATAATTTTAATAAAAAAATGTTATAAAACTGAATTCAAGTAAGAATTGAATTAATTAATTAAAATTGAATTTTGGAAGACTTGCAATTTTAATTTTTAGAAATAATTAAATTTGAAAAGGGTTTTACATTGAATTTATTTGAAATTTCAATTCCTGTCTAAAAATAAATAATGAAATTTTAAATTGTTAATTTTACAAAAATATTGAATTTTTGTATAATTTAATTTAGAAATTGTGAATAAATTAGGTTTTTTAAAAAATGTAATTAAAATATTTTTATTTTTATTTTCTGTTTAAAATTTATTTTTTTCAAAAAGTTTGATTATTATCATTGTAATTTATTTCGTTTGATTTGACAAATCCTTTTACTTTGATTCTCTGTTTTTTAGGGGAGATCCACTAAATTATTTTCTCCACGAGAAGGCAGTTTTTGGTCTGTCAATTCATCCGCAAAATGATTTTGTTTTTGGAAGTGCTTGCGACGATGGGAGAATTCTCATTTACGATATTCGAGGTTCCAAGGAGTCTCTGTGTTTGGCACAATATAAAAGTGCTTTTCATTCTGTTATGTTCAATCCAATTGATTCGAAAATGTTGGCAACTGCAAACGCAAAAGAAGGCGCCAGCATATGGGACATTCGAAAACCATTAAAGTAATTCTTCTTTTAAATTTCTAATTCTATTCTAATTTTTAATAATTCTAATTTTTTAATTTTTCTTATTGAAAAAAAGTAGTGGTCAAAAAGTTACTCGATTTTTAAATACTTTTATCTCGATTTACTATAATAAATACTTTTATTATAATATAAATATGTCGATTTCGAATACATATCGATTTCTTGAATTATTATTATAGAATAAATTTTATGTTTGTTTTGTATTATTTTAGAATAAATTCTTATAAATTTGTGTACAATTTTTCAGACCCGTTTTACAATATGGAACGGAAGGACCATCGCAAAGTTGTATGTACGTGAGATTTAATTCAGCGGGAAATAAATTACTCGCCCTTCGAAGGCGATTACCACCGATTTTGTATTCAATCGATTCTCCGAAACATCTTTGTCAATTCGATCACTACGAGTACTACAATAGTTGTACCATGAAATCCTGTTGCTTTGCAGGAGACAATGATGAATATGTTCTATCAGGCAAGATGTTTTTTTAATCAAAAATAGTATTTTTACTATAAATAGTATTTTATTTTTTTAAACTCAATTTTATACCTAATTTTTATTACCTTGTTTTATATTTAATCTAAGCGAATTATTGTCAATTAATTTAAAGAGAGAGATAAATTAAAGTTTAAAATTCTTTTTTCTTACAGGTTCTGACGATTTTAATTTATACATGTGGAAAATACCAGCCGATGACATTCAGTGGGTAGATTCGGCACATATGAAACTATGCGGTCATCGATCGATTGTAAATCAAGTGCGTTACAATAAAAGTAGTTGTATTCTCGCATCCTCGGGAGTGGAAAAAATGATCAAACTCTGGAGTCCATTTTCCCTGGGCTATGAATGTTTGGGCGGACTAAAAGTAAAATTGAAGAACTAATTTTTTGAATTTTTTCGATAGAGGATACAAAAAAAATTACAATTCTTTTCTTTTTGTAGAAAAATTGCGGAATTCAGGAAAAGCAACGAAGAGTATTCGCGCACAGTGAATATATTGAATTGGTTCTACGAAGTGGACATTTTATGACTCACGACTACAGTCATCAATCGACAAAGGAAGATCCTCGAATGATGGCCTTTTTTGATTCTCTCGTTCAACGTGAAATCGAAGACTGGAGTTCCGAGGACGTAACAGCGCCGCAAACACCAAGCGATAATGATAATTCCCTCGTGAATAATACTTTCAACGCAACCGATTCAGATGGTAGTTTTAATCAAATTTATTCCTCATTAAATAATTATTAATTAATATTTATTAAAAAAAAATAATTATTAATTATTATTAATATAAAAAATATTCCAGATTCAACAGCATCGGATCGTCAATTAATGCTCTCATTTCTCGGCCCGACGGTTAATTCACGAAATATATCCGCTGGAATGGCACCCGAGCGTTCATCAAAATCTCCAAATCGAATAACACGTCTCATAATTAATTGTCGAACAAAATTAATGAGATTGGCTGGTAAGGAAATACCGGAGGCAGCAACAATATCACCGAATGCAAATGGTGCCAGTGTTGTTACTGCTTCTGAAACTGGAAGTACATCGAAATTAAAATCAAAATTAAAAGGCGCAAAGAGAAAAACGAGTAAATCTTCATCAACGACTACAACAACAACAGGAGCAGCAACAACAACAGCAACAACCACAACGAGTGCTAGTAGAACAAGAAAAAGATCATCGACATTGATTGAAATTCAAAACGATGAGCAATTGGATACAATGCAACCGAGTACAAGTTCAGGTCTTGTTTCACAGGTTTCAAAATACAATTCAACATCGTATTCGGATAAACAATCGAGTGAGAGTAATTCTGATGATAATGATAATGATGGTGCTGCAGTTAAGAGGAAAATAACAAAAGTTGATTTAGATAGTTCGCCAAAATGTCAAAAAAAGAAGCACAAAAAATGTAAGCATCATGCTAAACGTGAAAGTGGAAAGAGTTGTAAAAAGAAGCAAAAAGTTGAAAACGAAAGCGATGATGAGTGGTGGAAAGAAATGGGTATGTAACCATTTTTTATTTATTAACAAAGACAAATTATTTAATTAATACGTTTTAATTTCAAAAAAATATTCAAAATAATATTTAAAAAAATATTCAAAATAATTATGTTAAAAAATAAATATTTTATAGGTATTTATATTTATTTATTTATATTTATGATTTTCGAAAGAATTCGTTTGCGAATATTTTCAATTCTTTTTTTCCAAATTAATTTCTAGTGAAGTTCCAAAAATTTTAAACGTTCAAGTGAATAAATTATTTTCGACAAAAATGTTTAAAAAAAATTTCTAACTTTATTAAAAATCGAAAGCGTAAATTAAACATTTAAGAATTTTATAAATTAACTTTATACACGTAGCGCAATTTCTTTTTTGTTTCCTAATTCTTTTGATATTTTATTTCAAAATGTTTTGAACTTTAAAATAAATGAAATTTAAATTTCATGTTTTGAATTGAAAATCAGAATTTAATTTTTAAATTTAATTTAAAATTCTATAACATGAAAATTGTTACTGAACTGATTAATTCAATAATTCTTAATTAATAAAGATTAAGTAAGTAATTAAATAATTAATAAAATAGCTTAAAAATTTCCTTCATGAATATAAAACATAATATGTTTGTTAAAATTAATTCATAATTTTTGTAATTTTTATAACTTTGGATCTGAAATATTTTTATTCTTGCATAGAATTTTATTAAAATTTTTTAAAGTAATTTGTTTCAAAAAATTTCTTTTATTAAAATTTAAGGAAATAATTGAATTCTTAGGAAGAATTTTATTAAAAGTTTTGAAAATAATTGGATTTCTGCGAGTTCTCCGAATATTTTATTTCAATTTTAAAAAATAATTGAATTCTTTCATAAAATTTGATAATTGTTTTGAAAATAATTGAATTCTTAAGAAGAATTTTATTAAAAGTTTTGAAAATAATTGAATTTTTGCGGGTTCTCCGAATATTTTATTTCAATTTTAAAAAATAATTTAATTCTTTCATAAAATTTGAAAATTGTTTTCAAAATAATTGAATTCTTAAGAAGAATATTATTAAAAGTTTTGAAAATAATTGAATTCTATCGAAAAATTTGCTCAACATTTTTTTAAAAATAATTGAATTATTGGGGAGAATTTAATTAAATTTTATAGAAATAATTGAATTCTATCGAAAAATTCGCTGCAAATTGTTTTGAAAATAATTGAATTATTGGGAAGAATTTCATTAAAATTTTTGAAAATAATTGAATTCTTGAGACGATTCTATTTAAATTTTGGAAAATATTGGATTTCCTGCAGGTTTTGTGAATATTTTATTACAATTTTAAAAAGCAATTGAATTATTTTAAAAAATTTAAAGAAAATTGTTTTGAATATTTTTGAAAATAATTGAATTCTTGGGAAGAATTTTATTACAAATTTTGAAAATAATTCAATTCTTTCGAAAAATTTGAAGTAACTTGTTTTGAAAATAATTGAATTCTTGAGAAGAATTTCATTAAAATTGTTTGAAAATAATTGAATTTCTGCAAATGATTTTATTATTTTTGAAAATAATTGAATTCTTGAGATGATTCTATTAAAAGTTTTGAAAATAATTGATTTTCTGCGGGTTTTGCGAATATTTTATTACAATGTTAAAAAATAATTGAATTCTGTCAAAGAATTTGATGAAAATTGGTTTAAAAATAATAATTGAATATTTGGGAAGAATTTCATTAATATTTTTGAAAATAATTGATTTTTTGCAAAAAAATTTATTATAATTTTTAAAAGAATTGAATTCTTGCAAAGAATTATATTAAAATTTTCGAAAATTTACTTGTTCAATAAGTGAATTTATTTTTAATTTTGAAAATGAAATTATTCAGAAATTAAAGTTTATTTGAAAAATAAATTTTCTTCATTTTGAAATTTCAAGACTTTAGAGAAACCATTGAAATTGTATTAATAACGTACCTACAATTTATTGGAATTAATAATTAGAAATCGAATATTTTTATTTTTATTTCCAATAATTTTCAAAAAAAACTTTGAATGGATTTTGTATATTTTAATTTTAATTTTTTTGTTTTCTAATAAAAATGAACTAATAAAAATCTAAAATAGAACAAAAATTAAAAAAAGTAGAATAAATAATAAATATATACAGAATAAAATAAAATTACTAAAAATAAAATATCAAAAATTGTTACAGTTCTAGGTACTAAATCGGAAAGCAATCAAAATGAAACGCCGGCAAAACGAACGAATAAATTAGCGAAACAATTATGTTCAACTCCAGACAGTGGAATGGGTATATCGACATCAGAAAAAAGTCAATCGTCCGCCCAAAGTAATAGCAAAAGTGCCGAGACTTCAGATGACGAGGAAAATTTACGAACTTTTCAGTCATTTAAAAAGAAAGTTGACGCTATAAAACGCACTTATCGTAAACGTACCATGTCAGAAGCGTCCGATTCTTCTGACTAAAAACAAAAAAATCTAACCACTTTTTTTTTATTTTTTTCCTCTTTGTAAATAATGGAGCTGTGATTCCTTTTCCTTGAGATATTTTTCTAATACTAAGTTAAAATCCCAAACAAAACGAAAATTTATCATATATATAATATAATTATTTTATTCATTTTTTTTTCTTTCGCGTTTTTTCTTTTCTTTAACATTTTATTGTTCATTGTACCCATCATCGCTTTCAATTAAAATAAAAACAATCATTTTTATTCAAATTTCGATTCAAAATTGATTTAAAGAAAAAAAAAAACTTATACGATTCTGTATTTTTTTCTATTTATAAATATAAAAACTGTAATTTTTCTTTTATTCGACAACTGAGTCAGAAATTGATTAAAAATGATTAAATATTTTTCAGATAGTTATCTAAATGTTTTTAGGTGAACTAAAATAGTACTTTGATGTATTTAAAAAAAACTCGAGAATTATCGATTTTTGAATTTTAAATTTTTTAAACTTCGATAATTTTCGAAGTCAATATATAGTTATACAATAGTTGCAAACTACTTTGTATATAAACACACATATATGTACTTGTATTCACCATCGCTGTTTTTTATAAAAACAGTTAAAAAAAAATATTTCCAAGTAAATAAATTAATTCTAACTTGTATTTTTTCTTTCTCTCTTTAAGATTTTTTTTCTCTGAAAATCTTCTCTAAAAAAAGGAAAAACACTCAATTAGTCATCTACTCTTATCAAAATCACAACTCTTGAGTGTGTGGGAGGAAACAGTGACGATTCTATTGTTTCATAAATAAATCATCTAAATTTGATTCGTGAGAAAAAATTAAATATCAAAGGAAAATATTGTGATTAAAATAAGCAAATAATGTTTTTATTGTTAATTTCATTGTTGTCGATTGTTAAATTGTGGGCCTATAATGTCGACGTGGATAATGCAAAAATATTCCATTATCCCAAGGATAATAATGAAAATGGGAGGAAAAATTATTTTGGCTTTTCAGTTGCTTTATATGTTGATGAGAATTTTTTGGAAAATTCTTTAATTCTCGTTGGTGCACCGCGGGCAAATGTGAGTCAAATTAAAACGGTCATTGAACCCGGGAGTATCTTTAAATGTTCAATTCAGTCAAATGAATCCTGTAAGGAGTGGATTTTGGATCCGACCGAGGATGGTGATATTAAATTTCGAAGTCTCACTGCTGTTCAATTGAGAGATAACGCCTGGACCGGAGCTACAATTGCTGTCAAAAGTGGAATCAATCCCACAGTTGTGGTATTTATTATTATTTATTTTTCAAAAAGAAAAAAAATTCCATTTCTAATTTAATTTCTAAATTTTAGTTTTAATTTTTGCTTTTTTGTTGAAGGTTTGTGCGCCTCGTTGGAAGGTGAGAATTCGACGGAGATCAAATCAATATGATTGGTTTTTAAATGGAATTTGCTATCGAACGCGTGCGAATGATTCGAATTTTTTCGAGACGGAAATCAATTCATTGTTTGAGAGTAAAATATCGCCATTTTATTATTATCGTCAAGTGAAAATGGTCGATGGACGTTATCAATATTTTTTTGCCATGGGACAAGCGGGCTTTTCATTGCACATGGTGCCAAATAATGAGGATTTAATTCTTGGCAGTCCGGGAATTTTGAATTGGACTGGTGTTCCATTATTGGTACAAGTCGAGGAGCGTGTGCCAACGCGAGAGGAAATTATTTACAAAAATATCAAAAGTTTCTCAGTTAAATATAATAATGTTTACGATACAATTGAAGCCATACAAGAGCAACCTTCGATTCATTACAATGAATATTTTGGTATTTATAAATTTTTTCTATCATTTTGTTTTAAATTTTTTTATCTTATAATATTTCTTAATTATAATTTTGAATTTGAAATAATTGAATTTTTGGAAAGAAATTTATCCAAATTTTTCAAAATAATTAAATTTTATTGCGAAAAATTTTATTAAAATCTTCAAAAATTATTGAATTCTCATGATAATTTGATAAAAATAACATTAAAAATATTTAAATTCTTAAAGTTTTATCAAAACTTTTTAATATAATTGTATTTCTGCAAATAATGTTATTAACATTTATTTAAATAATTGAATTCTTTCGAGAAATGTTATTAATTATGATATAATAAAAATATTGGTAAGAATTTTATTATTCAGAAAAAGAGTTAAATTTTTTCAAAGTATTTAAATAATTTTATTTAAAATTTTTGTGAAAAATGTTATTAAAATTCTTTAAAATAATTAAATTTCAAAAATCTGGTAAATAAAGTAAATACCAAATTTCTAAAAATTTTATAATTTTATAAAAATAATTAAAATTTTGCTAAAAAATGTTATTAAAACTTTCCAATTTATTAAAATGTAATTAAAGTTTTGATAAAAAATTTTATTAAAACTTTCGAAAATAATTGGATTTTTCAAAGGAATTTTATTAAAATTTTATTGAAAATATTTCAATTCTCATAAAGAATTTAATCAAAATTTTTCAAAATAATTTGAATATTTGCGAATAATTTTATTAAAATTTTTGCAGATCCTAATTAAATTCTTTTAGAGAATTTCTTTGAATTTTTTGAAAACAATAGAGTGATAACTTATACAGATTTGTTGAAATTTCCTAAAAATTTTAAATGATAATTAAATTCTTCTCAGAATTTTATTACAATTTTTTAAAATAATTTAATTTATTTCAAGAAATTTCATTAAAATATTGAAAATACTTGAATTCTTTAAAAACAATTTCCTTAATTTTTTTAATACAAATCGATTTTGTTAATAATTGTAATAAATAATTTTACTGTTAAATTTTATTAAAATTATTAATAGAAAATTAAATTCTTATTTTAACAAAGTTTTTGTAAGTAATTAAATTCTTTGGTACAATTTCTTTAAATTTTCTGAAAATAATGTAATTTTTTTAATAATTTTAATTGAAAATCATAAAAATAATTGAATTAAACAAAGAATTTTTTTTAACTTTTTTTTAAATATTCGTTTCTGTTAATAATTATAATTAAAAATTTCATTATTGAATTTCATTAAAATTTTGTTGAAAATAATTGAATTCCGGCAAAAAATTTCACTATGTATTTATAAGAAAAACTGAATTTTTGCGAAGAACTTTATTAAAATTTTTAAAAAATAATTTAATTAGTGAAAAATTATTAAAATTTTATTGAAAATAATAATTGAATTAATTGCTAAGAATTTTATTATTTAAGAAAATAATTGAATTTTTGCAAAGAATCTATTTAAAATTTAAAATAAAAATTAAATTTGTGAAACGTTATTAAAATTGTATTGAAAATAATTGAATTCTTGCGAAGAATTTTATTAAAGTTTTTGAAAATAATAAACAATATTAATTATTTAGTTAATAAATTAATTTTTGAAAATTTTAAATATAAAATCATTTAAAAATTAGTTGAATTTGATATGTGAAAATAAAAAATTTTGTAATTTGCAATTTTTGAATTTAGAAGAAATTAAATTGTTACTAATATTAATGTTGAATATTTCTTTAGGATACTCGGTGAGTTCTGGTTGTTATTTTCAAAGAGAAGAACGATGGTATTCGTCGGGAATTCCCAGAGGGGATAATTTAAATGGAAGAGTTTTAATATTCTCCCATCCGAACAGAAGCACCAAGCAGGATTTTATTATAAAAAATACATTGAACGGAGAGCAGCACGGGGAATATTTTGGTTACACTTTGGCGTCGTGCGATTTGAATAATGACGAAAAAGACGATTTAGTTGTCGGTGCTCCATTGTGGACGAATAATTTGGAAGAGGGCAGAGTCTACGTTTTCAGTAGCAAGGGCAACGATAATGTAAGAAACAATTTGGAAAAATTAATTTCAACAACATTTTACTGTTAATTAATTTCAACAAAATTTTACTGTTAATTAACAAAATTTTAATTTAAGTTAATATCATTTTAATTTTAATTAACAACATTTTTATTTTAATTAGAATTATAATTAGAAAACTAATTCTAAGGAAAAATAGTTTAATTTACGATGTAGTTTGGAAAAAACCAGAATTTTAGTTGATAAAATATTTATAATACTATTTTCCATTTTTCTAATTTTCAGGATTATTTGGAAGCTCAGTACATTCATGGCGAGGCAATTAGAGGACGATTTGGCTCAACTTTAGCCTGTATCGGTGATATTGATTATGATAATTATGGCGATATTGCGATTGGAGCACCGTATGAAAATAATTGTGGTGCAATTTTTATTTATCGAGGAACGGAAAATGGTCTACAATTGAGTCAAAAAATATTCGCCTCGGAAATTTCGTCACACTTGCAAGGATTTGGAAATTCAATTTCAGAAGCTCGTGATATTGATAAAAATGGATATCCCGATATTGCTGTTGGAGCCTATTTATCTGACGCCGTTGTTCTTCTTCGTACAAAACCAATTGTTACTTTGAAAATAACAAAAATGAAAGCCCTCCTGAGAACGAAATTACAAGCGAGTTCTTCATTTTTCGACATTGAAGTTTGCTTTTATTACAGTGGCAAACACGTGCCGAATAAATTGAGTAAGTTTCCTTTTTCAGGGTTGCCACTTCTTTTTCAAATAAATATTTAATTATTATTTTTCAATAGGAATTAAAATTCTTCAAAAGATTCAAATTCAAACTAATTTCAATTTGAATTTCACCTTTCAGATGTGACATTAAAGTGGAAAATCGACGAAATTTTCGGTAGGGCGAGACTTTCACCTGAAGCGAACAATGCAACGATTTATGAACTCGAGAGAACTTTAATCGAAGATACACAATTATGTGACAATTTTAAAATATACTTAAACGTAATACTTTTTCTCTATTTTCAAATTCTTTTATTTTTTCCAGTTCTTTTTTTCTTACCTATATTGAAAAAAATTAAATTTCACTTATTTATTTTTCAGAATAAAATTCAAGAATTTATGAATCCACTTGAAATATGGCTCTCATTGAATTTAAATTCAATGAAATTGAATTCAACAACAAATACAAATGATAATTCAACAACTGTCAAGGACGAATTTTGCAAAAACTGTCCGGTTATAAATAAAGAATTTTCAATAATTGAAAAATCATTATTGCTACCATTTGCCGTCGAGTGTGGCTATGATGATATTTGCACTTCGAATTTAACAATAACAATGTTCACGGATTTGACGATTAATCATTTTATTCTTGGATCACGAAAGACTTTTTCATTATTTATCAATATTGTTAATGATGGTGAACCCGCGTATAAAAGTGAAATTCGAATAATTATTCCTAGGCCTTTACAATTGGCGAACATTCCACCGGATTGCAATGAAAATGAAATTGACATGACTTGTAATGTTGGAAATCCTTTGCGAAAAAACGTAAGACGAAATTAATATTGATTGGAGAGAAGTTAAAATTATTTTTAATTTTTTATTTAAATTACTTAAAATTTTTGTTAAAATTACTTAAAATTTTTATTAAAATTTTGTGTTACATTTATTAATTTAAATTTTGCTTTTAATTTTAACAATTAGTTAAAATTTTAATTCACTGTTTTGGAATTATTACAGAAAACAATAGAATTACAATTGTCGACAATTGGCGTCACGTGCAATTCAACATCAAGTGAATTGGAAGTTTTGATTTTCACTCAAAGTGAAAATTCAAACGAAAATAATCATTTCAAAATCGCGATTCATTTTGCCATTGATCTCGATATGCTTTTATTGGGGTGAGTTTAATAAAATTAAATATAATAATTAAAACAAAATTAATATAATAATTGATAAAATATAAAAAATAAATTAATATAAAAAATAAAATATGAAAAAAAAAGAATAAAAATAAGCACGAAACTAATTAACTAGGTAAATAAATTAATAAATATTCTATAACACTGAAAATTAATTTTTTTTAAAATACTCAAAAGATTTTTACTAACTTTCTTTTCATTTTAAAATTAAATTAAATTATATTAATTTAATTTGAATTATAATAAATTTAATTTAATTTTTAAATTTTAATTTTCAAAATTAAATTAACAGAAAAATAAAAAATTGTATTTCTCTTTAAGGAAAGCTCAAGAGGATTCGTATTCCTATACAGAAGAGGAAAATATAATGAAGATAAAAAATTTCACTCACATTTATGAGATACAAAAATTCGGCTCATGTTCAATTGATGAAATTGAAGCACTGTTTAAAATTCCCATTCTCTTGAAAGATGGAAAAAATAATTTTCCAATTATTGAAATTCAACAAATTAAAGGATTAATTGATGATCGTGAAATTTTGTGTTCTCAATTAAATAATGAAAATTTAATTCCAAAAGAAAATCATAATTCTTCAATGTCAACGAATATTGAAAAATTAATGAAAAACGAAATTTTCAAGAATTTCCATCATGGAGAGAATTCCTTTAAGTACATGCCACCTGAAAATAGAACATTATATGTCAATTGTTCAAATTCAATAATTTCCTGTCTTAGTTTCAAGTGTAAATTAACGGGACTTTTAAATTCAACGTCAATGAAAATTGTTCTCAATATGGAATTTCAGCCGAAAATTCTTCAATGTAAGTAAAAAATTATCAAGACTTATTTATAAATTGTTTTTTGGGAATTTTAATTAATTTTCTTGAAACAATTTAATTATTTCAAAAAAGATAATAAAATTCTTCGCAGAAATTCAATTATATTCAAAAATTTTAATGAAATTCTTCCAAAAAATTAAATTATTAATTTAAAATACATTTTTAACAAAGTTTTTCAAAAGAATTCAATTATTTTCCAAAATTTTATTAAAATTATTTACAAGAATTCAATTGTTATTAAAAATAATAAAATTTTTCACAGTAATTCAATTATTTTAAAAAATTTTAATAAAATTCTTCTAAAAGAATTTAAAATTATTTTCAAAATTTTGGGTAAAATTCGCTTATTAAATTCAATTATTTTTATTACAATTTTAGTTCATTTTTTCCAAATAATTCAATTATTTAAAAAAAATAATAAAATTATTCCCAGGAATTAAAATTTAATAAAATTTCTGAAATGATTCAATTTTTTAAAAAATTTTAGTAAATTAATTAAATTTTTTGAAACAAAATTCTTCAAAATAATTAAATTATATTTTGAAAAAATGTAATAAAATTCTTTAAAAATTCACTTATTTCAGATTAAAAATGATAAAAGTTACAAAAATTGTAACATTTATTATGGATTAATAAAGATTTAATATTATAAAGTGTGCGAGCTAAAAAAAAGAAAAGTAAAGAAAAAATATAATAAAAATTATTTTAATTTACTTTTTATAATTGTTTTTATTTGTAATCTATAATTTTTTCAATTTATTCTTTTCTATAATATTAATTTCATTTACAATTATTATTTTTTATTTTAAATATTTAATTTTTAATTAATTTTCTGTCACAGTTTGAAAACTAATTTTGCAAACTTGAATAAAAATTCAATTTTGTCTGAAAATTTTTTTCAGCGATGAAATTGCAAGAGAAGGATATTTTATTCTTCATCACGGAAGGAGGAGTAACTGTCACGAAATCCGAGGGATTTTCAAATGTCATTGAGACAAAAACTAACATCGTATTAGTGGGAACAACATTTTTAGGATTGCCTATTAAGCAAAAAGTTGCCACCTGGATTTTAATATTATCAACACTTTTTGGAATTCTTCTTTTAATATTTTTAATTTCAATTTTAACGAAATTTGGTTTTTTCACACGAAAACGAAGACAACAACTTCACGCCTTAAAAGCCGATAGAAGAGTAAGTTTTCTAAAAATTTAAAAAAAATTGGTTTCAACCAAAATAATGCATTAATGTTATTTTTCTTTCTTTTTTTTGCAGAGAAAACGAAAGCAAAAATTACAATCAAGTTCATCGAGTCAAAATGATTGATAAATTTTTAACTTTCCTTAATATTTATTTATTCTCTTTTGTTTTCCTCTCTCTCTCTCTCTTGAAAAAAGCAATCGTGTTTACATAAATATTTAAAAACATTAGTTAGTGCACCGATTTTGTCATTTAAATCAAAAATCGTAGCATTTTTCTCAACATGGTGTAAAAAAATAGCTTATTATTTTTAAAATCTGTAATTCATCAACATACGGAATATATTTTGTTCTATTTTGTGTTAAAAGCGCAGCAAAAACATTTTTTTGTGAATGTAAAATTTTTCTATTTCTACTTTTTTCTTTTGCTTTGCAAATATTAATTTTCATTTTTTAAATAAATAATTTTGGTAAAGTATCCTCGAAATTGAGATTCAATTTTTGTTGGCAAAAAAAAGCATATTTCTAATCTTCATCGTCTCCAAGACCAAGCCCCCGGGAAATTTCAGCGGCGGACAATTTTCCACCACCGGGCGCTGGAGGGCTCGGTGATCGTGGAGAAGATTGTGGAGGTCCTGAATCGTGTTGCCTTCCTGGATTTTGAGGCGGAGCGTACGAGGGACGATCTTCATGATGAGGTGTAGGAGGATTCTGTATAAAAATTATTTAAATTCCTTAATAAAATAATTTTCTTTATCCTCAGATTCTATATTAGTCGTTAGTCAAAAAAAAAAAATTCAGAAGCGGAAAATATCCTTAAATCAATACAGAAATTTTTTTATCCTATTAGCGGTTAGTTTTTAAAAAAAAATTCAGAAGCAGAAAATCGGAAAAATTAACAACATCCATACCTCTTCTAAGATATGACGAACTTCTTTTACAAAAGCGTCGACCTACATGGAAAAATCGCATTTTTCAGGGTTAGTCACAAGCTGCTTTTCACCCCCAAAAAGGAGCAAAGCCGAAATATTAATTCACTGATTTATTAAATACTCTTTACAAAAATTCAACATGCAAAATTACATTTTTTTTTGTTAGAAAAATATACAATTTCAGTCTTGAATTAAAATTAATTGTATAAAAAAATATTTACATGCAAATATCACAGAATTTTAAACTGAAACTAATTTTAAACTAAAGTCAAGAAAAGAAAAGGATTAGAATAAAATTGAGCGGCTTAAAAAAATAAGCAATTTGAAGATTTCGTGGAAGATTATTTTACACTCTGTGTATTCGTTTACTCACGTCCTTGCGTTTGCTTAGACCATCGAAAGCCGAACTGAGGAGAGATGATCCGAGATTTGATAGAAGATCGGAACCTTGAGAGCCTTGTGGCTGTGGATTATTTCCATAGCCTCCTGATGGTTGATAAGCGGGTTGCTGTTGATGTCCACCGCCCATGAAATTACCTAAAAGTGATCCCAAACCACCGAGAGAATCGGAGCCAGAATGACCACCCGATTGATTGCCACCTAAAAGTGAACCTAATCCACCGAGTGGATCTGACGATGGCTGACGATTTCCACCTCCACCTAAAAGTGCACCCAATCCACCGAGAGGATCTGAGGATGGTTGCTGATGTCCTCCTCCACCTAAAAGTGCACCCAATCCACCGAGAGGATCTGAGGATGGCTGCTGATGTCCTCCTCCTCCTCCTCCACCTAATTAATTAAAAATAATTTATTAAAGATATAATATTCTAACAAATTTTAGGTTCGTCTACAATATTTATTAATATACAAAAAATTTTTTATTTTCAAATATCAACTACAAAACTTCAATGATTTTTCATAAATAATAAAATTCTTTACAAAAATTCATTTTTTTAATAATCTATAATTAATAATCGTTGTATTCCGGTAATCTGTTCGCAATTTGAAGTTACTTACTGTTTGCTTTTTTGTTTCCTAACTCTCTTAATAAAACTTTTTATAAAAAAATGATTTATTTATATAAAAATTTGAAAATAATTGAATTTTGCGAAGAATTCAATAATTTTGAATGATTTTAATAAAATTCTTTAGTCAATTTATAAATAATAAAAATCTTCGTAAAAAATTCAATTATTGTTATACAAATAGTAAAATTCTTGTCAGGATTTCACATATTTTCAATACAATTTTAATTGATTTGTTCAATTATTTTTAAAAATCTTATTGTAAAAATTCTCCGAGAAAATTCAATTATTCTAAAAAATAATTAAATTTTTCACAGGAGTTCAATAATTGTTTAAAAAAATTTTAATAACATCCAATTCAAAAATTCAATTATTTATAAAAATAATGAAATTTTCGCTGGAATTCAATTCTTTTAAATACAATTTTTATTGGATTTCAGGGAAAATTAAATTATTTTTAAACATTTTTTTTTAATTCTTTGAAAAAATTCAATAATATCAATAAATAGTAAATTTTTCACAGAAATTCAATTATTTTAAATACAATTTTAATAAAATTCTTCTCAAAAGTTCACTTATTTTTTAAAATTTGACAAAAATTCAATTATTTAAAAAAGTTTTAATAAAATTCTATTCAAGAATTTAAATATTTTAAGAAATAATTTAATTGTCGATGTAATAAAAATCATTGAATTCTTGTAAAATATTTATAAAAAAATTTGAAAATAATTGAATTCATTTCAAGAATTTTATTAATTCATTTTTTTCAATTGAATTCTTTTGAGCAAATGTAATTAAAATTGTATTGAAAATAATTTAATTCTAGTCAAGATTTTTATTAAAATTCTTGAAAATAATTGAATTGTTTTGAAGAATTTATTTCAGTTTTCTTGAAAATAGTGGAGTATTTTAAAACATTATTATTAAATTTATAATTAAATAATTAAATTATTAAATTATATTAAAATTATTCATAGAAAATTAAATTCTTTTAAACAATTTTATTAGAGTTTTTGTAAATAACTATATTTTTTTTAAAGAATTTTATTAAATTCCGTAAAAATAATGAAATTTTCTAAAATAATTTTAATTGAAAATTTCGAAAATAATTGAAATTCACAAAGAATTTAATTAAAACATATGGAGAACAATTGAATTGTTTATAAAAATTTTATTACAATTTTTAAAAGTAATTGGACCTGTTAGAGAAATTTTATTAAAATTGTAATGAAAATAATTAAATTTCTAATAAAATTTCTTCCAAAAATTCAATTATTTCCAATAATAATTCAATTCTTAGCGAGAAATTAATTTATTTTCAATACAATTTTAATAAAGTTACTCGAATTCAATTAATTTTCAAAATTTTAATATAATTCTTTGGAAAAAATTTAATTATTTTCTTAAATAATAAAATTCTTCTGAAAAATTCAATTATTTTTCATAAATAATAAAATTTCTTGCAAGAAATTCAATTATTTCCAATAAATAATTCAATTCTTAGCAAGGAATTAAATTATTTTCAATACAATTTTAATAAAGTTTCTTGAATTCAAATAATTTATAGAATTTTAATAAAATTCTTTGCAAAAAATTTAATTATTTTGCTAAAAAATAAAATTCTTCTTATAAATTCAATTATTTTTCATAAATAATAAAATTCCTTGCAAAAATTCAATTATTTCTAATAATAATAATTCAATTCTTAGTAAGGGATTAAATTATTTTCTTAAATAATAAAATTCTTTGCAAGAATTTAAATATTTTGAAATTTGAATAAAATTTCTCGAAAGAATTCAATTATTTTTAAAAATTTTGATATTCTTTAAATATAAGAATGAAATTACATTCAATAAAACTTTAATTTAATGTTTCGGAAAAATTTTGATTATTTTCAAAAATAGTAATAAAATTTTTCGAAACGATTCAATAAATAAATTCAATACCAACAAAATAAGGAAAGAAAAACGACTTCAAATTGAAAACATTCATCCGAAATACGATTATTATTAATACAGATTCTTGTAAAAATATTCGAAAAAATTGTAATATAAAAATTGTTCTGGAATTTCTAAATATTAAATTCAAAATCCTTTTTTTCTTACGAGAAATTTTCATATATTAAAATTTCGACGTACTAAAATCGAAAATGAACTATGTAGTTAAAGAATAAAATGAAGTGAATAGAAAATGAAGATAATAAGTTTAAATTACTTGAAAAATTAATCATTCTTATCTAAGATCAAGTTTTGTAGTCAACTAAAATAATGAGAGAGACATATAAATTTAAATTCAAGATGAAGATAATAATCTCCATCTTGAATATAAATTTTTAAGTCTATACATTTTCAAATTTTTGGATTAAAATTAATTTTTGTTTATTCCAACAATATTTCGTGATAAGTTCATGATCTGTGATGACTTTTTTGATAGAACCTTGAATTTAATAATAGATTTCTTTTAATAGAACACGCAATTGCGTGACTCATTACATGGATTTTTCTTGCTACTCAAATATTTTCCTTTTTCTTTCATATTAAAAATTCCTCAAGTACTTTTACAAATATATATATATATATATATATATATATATATAATTTTGTAGAAATTAAGGAAAGAAATTAGGAAGAAAATATTTGAGAGAGTCCATTAGTAACTTTAGTAGTATAATTATAGATAATCTGTTATTCAAAATAATTAGTGGGTTTTCAGAATAATTTAGATAAGGAGTTAAAATGTAAAGAAAAAAATATTTTTTTTTCTATTTTCAGAATGTACCTAGTGAACCAAGAATGGAGTCCAAAAAGCCTCCGGATTCCTGTGATGGATATCCAGCCGATTGTGGTCTGGTACCACCTCCTCCTTGGAGGGCATTTGCTGCCAAACTACTCGCCAGGGCAGCGCCCAGTGATCCTAAATTTAATCCACCTTCTGTTTGCGATTTGGAAGCGTCCTCTTTCTCGTGATCGCCGTCACCTTCCTCCCTCTCCCGTTGCTTTTTCTTCTGTAAAAGAAAAATTTTATTTTCTCTCGTTAATTTAATTATTTCTTCTTCCTCCCTCTTCCTTTCCTTTTTTTCTACAAAAAAATTTAAGTTTCTTTTCTTAAAACGAAATATTAATTAATTTTGCTTTTCGCTAGCAAATATTTTGCTAAATATAAAAAAAATATGAATGAAAATTGAATTTAATGAAAATTGTCAGAGAAAAATAATTTTTCTCTGACAATTTCCATTAAATTCAATTTTCATTCATATTTTATTATTATCCGAATTATTCGGATAATAGAAAATTGAGTAAACTGGAAATTCGTCTAATTAGAAATTAAACTAAGGTGCAAATTTGACAAAAAGGAAATTTGTCTATCAATCAATGGAGAAATTTGGAATTTTCTGAATTTTCTGCTTTGTAAAAATTCAAAGTCAATATTTACATTGTAGGCATAAATAGCTGCCGCTGCTCCACCAGCAGCGACCAATCCTCCAAGAGCCAATCCCATTTTATCCAAACCAGAGTCCTCCTCTTGTTCTTGCTTTTGATATCCAGGTTGATAATTATAACCCCCGGAATTATTAGCCCCTGGTCCATAATTCGAAGGCTGATCATATCCTCCAGAAGGAAATCCACGTGGCGCTCCATTCGGAGCCTGAGGGTCCAAACTTGGATATAAACTGCCAGGTTCTGAAAAAATTTTCGAAAATAATTGTATTTCTCAAAAGAATTTTTGTATATAATTTAAAAAAACTGATGAATTTTTTTTTTTTTAATTTTAATTAATAATAATAAATAAAATTTTTCCATTCACAGAAAACTTACTCGGTGGACCAAAATCAGCTGGTGGAAGATCATGAGGAATGGGAGGCGGTGCCGAGGAGTGTTGTGAACGTTGTGGATCGGGAATTGATTCATAGAATATAGAAGAAATTTCCACATCGCCGTCAATTGTTAAATGGCTAATCTTATGGAATGGAAGTCTATGAATAAAATCGGCAAAATGTCGTCCATTAACGGCAATTTTGAAACAATCGTATTTGCAGAGAATAATTATTTCAAAGTCCTGTCCAGGTTGAATCAATAGTGGACCAAAATTCTCCTCCTCGCCCCAATTCATCAATTGTATATGATTTCTCGTCATGATTCCATCATTAAAACGTGGCGACACATGAATTGCAATATCATCTCTGGGATTTAAATTTGGTCCCAATTGATAGTTGATGGCAAATCGCACAGCATCCGATGACGTTTTTCCTTGAACTTTCACCATTTTCCCTGGAAAAACGCCGCCCTCGACTTCTCCCACGTATGGAATATCCTGGAGAAAAAAAATTTCTCTCAATTATTCGGGAAAAATAAAAAATTTTCAAATTAAAGTAAACTTATAGTATTTTTTAATGCAGTAAAACTATTTCTATTCATTTTTCTAAAATGCAACAAAAAACTGAATTTCCATAGAAATAATTTTGTTATTAAGTAAAATAATAGTAATTGTAAAAATTGTAAAACTTTTTCATTTTTTTTCAATGCAATAAAAAACTAAATTTCCATACAAATAATTTTGCTAATAAATAAAATAATAATAATTGAACAACTACTTTTCATTTTTTTTTAATACAATAAAAACACTAAATTTTGAAACAAATGTTTATTCAGAAAAAAATATATTAATAAATAAATAAAATAATTGTAAAATTATTTCTTTCCTTTTTTTCAATGAAATGAAAAATTAAATTTTTATACAAAATAATTTTGAAAAAAATAATTCTGAATTCAGAAAATAATAATTGTATAATTATTTCTTTTCCTTTTTTTTTAATGTAATAAAAAACTAAATTTGCATACAAATAGTTTTGTTTTGTAAAACTTTTTCTTTATTGTTTTAATGAAAAACAAAATTTAAACAAACAAAACTTTGAAATAAATATAATTTTGAAAAAAAATATATATGTACATAAATAAATAAAATAATAATTGTAAAATTATTTCTTTCCTTATTTTAATGCAGTAAAAAGAAACTAAATTTTCAAACAAACTTCCTTGTAAAAAAATAAAGAAAATTTTTCCTTTTGCCACGAGTGATAAATTTTATTGGCACTAACAAATGTTTACGTTCATCGCTTTCCAAATTCATAGCAGAAAAATTTAATTGACAGTGAAAATAAAATTAAACCAACAAGCTGTATTACATATACATTAAAAATATAGATATATAAATATTACTATAACTGTATTCAAACAATATTTAATATTCACAGGTTGCAGAGGTATTGATAAATTTTTCCTTCAGTTTGTAATCAATATTTCAAATAATTATCGAAAAGAAAACAAGTAGGTCATATATATTAAAAATATTTTTGTATATAAAATAAATTACAAATTATACTCACAGGATTATTAACTTCTTGAAAGGACATTTTTTTTCGTCTAAAAATTCCAAAATGCGCACTATTCTTGTAATAAGATTTCGTGTAATGTGCTCCAAAATAATAACACACTACAATATACTGAAACACACTAAAATTTTAGAAAATTACTGCGCATACACTGAGACGACCAGCGCCTTTTTGATTTTACAATATTACAACAGTGACAATTACATTCTCTTCTATTTACAGCACTGACGTTTTAGGTATTAGTATAAACCGAGTAGAAATTGATCTGAAGATTCAGGAATTTAGTTGGGAAAAAAGAGGGGAAAACGTGATGAGCTATAAATTCATGAAAAAAAACTACATAAGAAAAATATAAATTTTACTATGAAAAATTAAATTAAACTAAATTTAAAAAATTCTGAAATTAGGAAAAAGAGAAATTAACAATAAAATTAGTATTTTTTTTTAAATTAGGAAAATGTTTTCTAAACAAAATTTATGTATCAGTTGCTGATAGAATAGTTTCACGTCAACAGTTTATCAACGGAGTCGCGTTGATTACTTTCGAAATAGTTTCAAAAGTTCTCAACAGTTTGAAACTATTTTTTTTAAACTAAATAATTCTAACTTTTATTTAATTTTAACGAGTTTTAATTTTTAATTAATTTTAACTATAATTTCAATTTTTAATCAATTTTAACAAATTCTAATTTTAATAATTTATTAATAATTTTAATGAATTATTTAGTAATTTTTTAATTATTTAATTATTTAGTTAAAATTATAAATATATGTATATTTATAATTTTAACTAACTCTAATTTTTAATTAATTTGAAACTAAATCTAATTTTTACTCAATTTTAATTAATTTTATTATTCTTATGCAAATTACAAAATTTTTTATTTTCAAATATAAATTTTTAAATAATTGCATAATCAAAATTTAAAAAATTCACGTATTAAGTACGAAATTAATAATTAGGTAAAATTTTTGCAAAAATTGAATTGTTTTCAATAAAATTTTCGCGAAAGAATTAAATTTTTTTCTTAATTCGTTATAAAATTTTTGAAAAGAATTCAATTATTTTCCGAAATTTTAATAAATCCTTCGAAACAATTTAATTATTTTTATAAAAATAGTAAAATTCTTCGCAAGAATTCAATTATTTTCAATACAATTTTAATTGCATTCCTCTGAAGAATTCAGATTTTTTAAAAAAATTTTAATACATTACGAATAAATTCAATTATTTTTTAAAATGTTATAAATCCTTCGAAACAATTCAATTATTTTTATAAATTGTAAAAATCTAAGCAAGAATTCAATTAATTTTATAAGTAGTAAAATTCATTGCAGAAATTCAATTATTTTTTAAAATTTTAATAAATTTTTTCTTTTCTTATTTATTAGCAAGTGAAACTTCAAAAGAAGTTTTATTAAATTATTTATTAAATTATTTTTAATCAAATTTAAATAAAATTACACGAAAAAATTTAATTGTTTTTAAAAATTTCCATAAAATTTAATTTCTACAAGAATTTTTAAATTCTCTAAAAAATAATTCAATTATTCTCAAAATATTTTTAAAAAATTCTATATAAAAATTAAATTACTTTCAATGCAATTTTTAAATATATTCGTAAAAAAATTTAAAGAATTCAATTATTTTCCAAAAAATAAAAAAATTCTTTTGGTGAATTCAATTATTTTGAATATACTTAATTTTAATAAAATTCTTTAAAACGAATTTCAATTATTTTCAAAACAGCTTTAATTGAATTTCTCGAAAAAATTTCATTAATATTTCTTAAAATTTTAATTAATCCTTCGAAAAAATTCAATTATTTTTATAAATAATAAAATTCTTCGCAAGAATTCAATAAATTTCATAAATAGTAAAATTCATTGCAGGAATTCAATTATTTTCAATACAATTTTAATAACTTTTCTGGAAAAAATACAATTATTTTGAAAAGTATAATTAAATTCAATTATTTTCAAGAGTTTTAATAAAAATTCAATTATTTTTATAAATTGTAAAATTCTTGGCAAGAATTCAATTATTTTTGTAAAAATAATAAAATTCATTTGATAAATTCAATTATTATTTTCAATACAATTTTAATAAAATTTCTAGAAAAAAATTCAATTTTATTTAAGATAATTTTAATAAAATTTCTCTAACAGGTTCAATTATTTTCATGAAGAAGAAAATTCTTCGCAAGAATTAAAATATTTTCCATAAATTATAAAATGTTTCGGAGGAATTCAATTATTTCCAATACAATTTTAATTGAATTCCTCTGAAGAGTTCAATTATTTTGAAAAGTATAATTAAATTCAATTATTTTCAAGAGTTTTAATAAAAATTCAATTATTTTTATAAATTGTAAAATTCTCGGCATTCACAGTCGATAATCATCAGGAGATGAAAAAATTATTTTTTGATCGAAGGTTATCTTTTGTTTATTAACAATTGTTATTAAAAAATTGTTTATTAAACCTAAAAATGATGTTTAATGAATAAATAGATTCAATTGTTTATTATTTATAAGTGCAATTAATTGTGAATATGTGAAAAATATGTGTAAATATATGCGAAAAAATTTTTCCAAGTCAGAAGGATTCGAACGCAAAACACATAAACACACTTTTAAACGACTCAACACCTGCGACCAATTCCATTATAAGTAGAATAATAACTAGAGAATCAATAAATTGTGTCTATAAATAAATAAAACGAAGAAAAAAGTTGATTAAAAGAAATAAAATTTTTTTCTTCCCGAATTTTTTTTTGTCTAAAATTTTAGCCGTGAATAAAAATTATTTATAAAATTTATTTTAGCAGACAAAATCCATGAGAAGAGATAAAAAAAAATAATAAATAAATTCCAAATAGATTCAAAATTTTCTGTTTTAAAATTAGAAAAATTTTTCCTATAAATTATTGAGAAAGTTTTCGCTCTTGTATGTTTAAAGCAAAAATATTTGCTCTGCTTTCATTCATTTGGAATATCTTGGAAACGTGATCCTTATAAACTGTGAAGGCTACCAAGAAAATAAATATACTGCCATTCTTATCTCGCATCCAGAAACCGTGGGTGAATAATCATCCAAAAGATATAAAAAAGAGTTTCGCGTATAAAAAAAAATATTATTAAAAAAGAATATAATTCTCTTATTTTTCATTACTTTATGTTTGATTCTAAAAATAATATTCCAATTGATATTAGTACATTGAAAAATAATTATGATCCCCAAGTTTTGAACGTTCAAATGAACGAAATATTTTTTATTGAAGATATTTTTATAAATTACTTACTATAATCACAAAAAATTTAAAAACCGAAATATTTACGGTTAGAAACTCAGTTATTAATTTTTTGGATAGTGACGCAAAATAATTGCAATAAAAATTTAATTTATAGAAGAAATAAATAAATTTCGTTCATTTGAACGTTCAGAACTTTAGGATCCTTTATTTGATTCAAATAACCGATTACTTGTCTAAATAAATATTTATTTGTATCAAATAATTTTTATTTCAATCAAATTAATTTTATTTCAATCAATAACTTCAGTATTTCAAGCAAATATACGATTTAATTGATTTAAATAAAAATTATTTGATATAAATAAATGTTTATTTTATAATAGATAAGTTTATTTGAATCATTCTAATTTTTTGTATTTTTTTCTCTATAAAGAAAAAATTTATTTATAAAACTTATGTACATGTGTTAAATCTAAAAATATAATCTATTATGAAATTATATATCTCTATACAAAATATTATATTATTATAAAAAAATATTATTCTTGGAAATAAAGTAAAAAGATTACGTCGATTATGTTCTATTAAGGTGAAGTGAAGAACGCTCAATTAATTAACAAGACGACTAAATCCGCCTACAGTAATATGTCCTTAGCAAGCAATTTGTATTTAATTTTTCCATTCATACATAAGTTTTTTCACTTTCATCACTAATTTCAATTATTTTATTTCTTTCCTTTTTTTAAAAAAAATGTTTTTTAAGTTTTTTTTTACATAACAATTGAGTGTAAAAGTTTTTTTTTCTCAATTCGAATTATATTTCCTAAAATTTTTAGCAATTAAAAAAATGTAACATTAGACAAGATTCGAACGCACGACACTATCTCGTATACATCACGCCTTAGCACTTGTGACCAAAAATGGATTAAAATTTTTTTCTTTAATTTTTTTTCCACTAGGCGTCAATTTTGATCCAAAAAAGGCGACATATGAAACTATTATTAAATTTCAATAAAAAAAACTAATAAAAACAAAAAAAAATTAAATACAAATGGTTTAATCATCCCGATAATGTGTATGGTACGAAAACAATGAAATGGAACTGGAGCATGTAAAAAAGTGGGCTAGGCTATGTGATTTGATGACACACCCATGATTTTATAGATGATAGATAAAAAATGCATTAAATTACTTCCAACGAAAAAAAAATTTTAACTCTAACAATATAATCATACAGATATATAATTATAATTAGTTCAAGCGAAAAAAAATGCACGATATTTTCAATATTCTTTTTAACATTATTATATAAAAGAGGACAGCAAATTGTTAAAAAGATAAAAATTCCATTTCCGACTTACAGAATAATACATTATGTTAATGAAACACGCATGCGGGTTAACATTAAAAATATCACTGCTCTTTACGAATCACTAAATATTCCAAAAAAAAAATCTTCACTATAAAAATTCAATCTTTATTTCAAGATACGTCTTTGAAATCAATTTAAAAAATTAAATCCTTAATTTTTACTAAAATGATTAAATATAATCTCGATATAAATTTGAATTTATATTTTTTTCGATGGTCTCAATTTTCGTTTTGGTCTCTAATCAGAGTTGCAACAAATCAGGGAAGTCAGGGAATAATTAGGGAAAGTAAAATTGGTCAGGGAAATCAGGGAAAAGTACTGGAAAAAATTAAATTTTTAAAATTCAAGAGAAAACTCTGAATCTGATGTCTGGAAATCAGGAAAAAGTCATGGAAAAATAAAATTATTTGTGGCAACTCTGTTAATTAATTTAGTCCTTAATTAATTATTTTAATCAATAATTCAATTTTTAATTCTTTTAATAAGCAATTCAATAATTATTTCAGTAATTAGTTATTTGAACAATTAATTAAATAATTAATAACTTTAATAATTAAGTAAATAATTAGTTATTTTAATAATTAATTATTACCCAATTATTTAATAAGTAATTAAACGTCTTTAAATTTGCAAGCCTTAATTATAGAAAAA